CACCTTTGAAATTTATCACTTGCATGTTGATTTGCATGCCACCGTTTCCGGAATTATAATTTGTCTTTATTTTATATTTTTATCCTTCCCAAAAAATTTATTTATTTATTTTTAAAAATATAATTATACATTTTAATTTCATTTTAAAATTTAAATTTAAAATTCTTTTAATTTTAATTAAACTATTTAGTTATCTTAATCTTAATTGCAATAATTATTTTTACTAAATACACTTTTTAATTACTTATTAATTATATTTTACCTAAATTATCATATCTACACTAACATGTCCATATTACATAGAACGAAGGGAATATTAGATTGAGAATTGAACGCAAGACAGAAGGACTCAACCATTGTAATGTATCGCTATTATTTATTTATTATTTTAATTTTTATTTAAATAATATTTTAACCTAATATTTTATAAAAAATTAATATATTTTTATCGGAACCCATGAAATATGAATAATAGTATAAATTTGTATTTGAAATTACATACTCTACTCAATAATCTACTCATAATTAAAAATTAACAATCCAATACAATATATCATTAGTTATCATGATTTTATACCCATGTGTATATATTTTTATACACAACATAAAACACTTCAAATTGTTTATTTATTTTTATAGTTTTAAATATTTTTATTGTGAAAGTATAAAAGAATCATGAAATAATTACAGTGGATTATGTTTTATTAATTTTTATAAGTTTGTATATATATTATATATTGTATATTATTATTTTTTTTTATAATAATTTTGTGAAGTTGTACAAGAATAAATCATTAGTTAATAGTACAATATTTTGATTAATGGAGTAAAAATATAAATGTATCAAATCAAGTATTGAAATAGTTATATGGTTCAATATTGTAATACTGAAAATAAGATTCAAATCTTTTATACATTATTACATCATTTTAATAAAAAAATAATTTATTTTTGTTGTTAATTATAACAAAAAAATTTAAAATATAAAAATTACTTCACTTAAATAACATTACAATTCTCCTATTTATTTTACTCCCTCCGTCCCATAATAAAGTATTCATTTTTTTATTTTACTATGTCCCATAACAAAGTATTCATTTCATTTTTTTAAGTAACTGTAATATCTGCTTAACATTACAAATACCCTTACAACTTACAATACACTGTATTACATAAATGTCATTACCTTTATAGTTATTTTAGTAATTTATATTCTATTCCTACAATATCCCAATATAATATTAATATTTCTAAAACTACGTCCAAAAAGCAAATGAATACTTACTTTTGGGATGAAGGGAATATATTTTTACAATTTTAAATAATTAATAAAAAAAACTTACTATGGGGTAATTAACCAATTAAATTTTTATGGAAAAGTCAAAATGCGATCATCCACTCTTTTCCATTAATTCATTGATTAATAATAATAATAATAATAATAATAATAATAATAATAATAAAAGTTGATAGGTTCTAAAAGGGTACAAGTGAGATGAATTTTATTTTAGGAAGTTGCTAAGTTACTTCCTTTGAATTTTATTTAATTCACGCATGCAATATTGCACATAATGTATTAATTTAGTTGGAGATTTTTATAATTATAATCTAGGACAAGATTTACATACACTTAACTTTATTTTTAGTTTGTTATATATATATATTAATAGGTCAATTGAAAAGTAGTAACTACATGCATGCATGCCACAAATATTATCTGAGTGTCATTTAGAAAAATAAAATAAAATAAACCAAGTTATGTATAAATAATTAAAAAACAAATCATAATTGTATAATTATTATTTTTAGTATAACACAAAAAAACATTTGTTTTATTTTATTATATATAGATATGTATATTTTTTAAAATAATAGATAGTAAAATTTAAATTGAGACCCACAAACAAACAAAAGTATATTCTATTTTTCAAACTCCACGTTAATAAATTAAATCAAATTATACATATTTTGAACTTATGATTTTAAGGTTATAAGTCAACAGTCTATGCTCTTATTATCTACCCCTATGTCCCAATTCAAATTGATAATTTGGAATTTTAAATTAAATTAAAAAATAATACTCCTCCGTTATTTAATTTTATTTTTACTTTTTTTTATTGTCATCAAAATGTATTATTGTTTCCTATTTTAGTAAAAAAATCATTTTTTCTATTTCCTTTTTACCATAAAAAAAAAAAGTATATTTTTACTCATTTTTTTTTTTAAAATTTGTGTCAGGTCAAATGGGCATAAATTTACACAAGAGAGTGAATAGTATTTTATTGATTAGTAAAAATATGTAAAATGTTTTAACATTTTTTGTTCTTTAACTTTATTTGTAATTTAAATTAAAATTAAAAGTATTTTGATATTAATGTATGATTACCTTTTTCTAAAATATAAAATGAATTTTTTTCAGTGAGACAGATAAAAATGATAAAATGAGTACTTTGCATTGGGACGGATAAAATATATATTTTCAATTCGTATGCATTCCTATAGATTCATTTACACAATAAAAATCAAATCTTTCAAAATTTAAAAATGTTGAAAATGATATTATTATTATTCTATTAAAAAATAAATAAATAAATAGAAACAAAAAGAGTGTAGTGAGAGACAGAGTGAACCTAGATGAAAATTGTCACTTTCATTGTGGTCACCAAAGTGTCCAAAGTCCAAAACTTTCCCTATCCTAACTTACATTCCTCGAAACATCTTCACCAATGTTGTCATTTTGTCTCTATGCTACTTTATATAAATAAAATAAAAATAAAATAATTTTTTTTTTTGTCTTGAAAAGTCCAAAGTCATTCAAAATTTAATAAGATTCTAATCAAGTGGATAATTATAAAATTAATATTTGTAATATTGTGGGGGGTTTTTATGAATTGCTGACATTTAATTATAGAGTATGTCGCACTTTAGAATTATTATGAGTTCTCTATTCATACCCAAGACAAATTTATTTATTTATAAAAGTCAAAATTAAAATCAAATGTGTCCACACGACGCACTGCACGTGCAAAATTATTTAATTTGTGCTTATCCAAACACAGTCGACATTGTTTTTGTATGTATCTTTTAAATTGCAGCCACAATAGGTGCAGTTTATCGTCCGACGTAGCAAAATTAAATAATATTTTAATGGATTTGATCAAGTTCGATTAAATAAATTCATAACATCAGCAAAATATTATTGAAAATTGAAATATTAAATAGTAAATAAAAAATAACAATAAACAAAATATACTCTTTTATATGTAGGCTTAGTGTCACGGACGGACCGACATTTTTGCCCCTGGTTCTCGGCTATAGTTCGTCCCACGTGTGCGAGGAAAAAAGAGAGTTTATCCGGTCTTACGGTTTTTAATTAGTAGCTAAACAGGAGGAAACAGCTATTGACTTTTACCTATTGTCAACCCACTGGGGTTTTCCTTCTTGACTGCCTTGTGGTGGGTGATAGATCGGCAACCTCTTCGTGCTGTCAGGCACTTATTGCGACCTGCCCAGAATGCCAATACACATACTAAAACCTTGTTCACACAGTTCATAGAGTCATTCGGTCTGAATGCTACATGAAGAACATAAGCCAGATGACGGAACGAGTCTCGTACGTCGACTAATGACCCATATCTTGGTGCATGTACGTATTCCGCATGATTCTCTCAGTATGGTATATCCCGGGCGTGTTGCGTACAGGGAACGGTTGGTTTGAGCCTCAGCGCGAACATGACCTAGGTGCCAGACGTGTCAGCTTCCGAACACGTTACATTAGGATCAAAAGAATGAAATAAAAACCGCCTCGTAATTGTCAGTTTTTTACATTTTTAATAAAAAAGATATATTTGTACTTTTTTATTTACTGGCTTATTAATAGCTTCCAAGAATTCACCAAAAGTTCATATTTTGAATTGTATTGAATTTGTAAATATTTTAGATATAATTTTCATAATGAATAATTGTTCTGCAATTTCGAGATTGAAACTTAAATACAAACAAATACATTTCTAATTATTCATTAGAGTATCTGTTATAGATATAGTCTCTAATTCATTATCTCTCATTCACATCGTATTTATCTCAACATTTAAATTATATAAAATATATAAATTATTTATTTATTTATACATATTTTTATATAATTTTTTATTTCAATTATTAAATATTAATTCATATAAATTTTAATATATTGAAATATATAATTTATTATTTTAAACATTGAAATTATTCAAATAAATCAATATATATACTAGATAATTTCTGTTAAATTTAAAATTTTAATTTTTTTTAATAATAAATATTTAGTTATTTTTATTTTATTTGAAGGTAATCAGTTTATAACAAAGGTAATAAGAACCTAAAGAAATGTAACTAATATTGTATCCACTAGGCCCACTACCAACATTGCTAATGTTGGGCCGAGTCGAATAAGATAATTTAACTTAACTAAATTTCATTTTGAACAAAACTTGGGCCTAAAGAGATTCAAAGATTCTTTATTTTTCTATTTTAATACTCAAATTTTCTTATTTTCTTTTTAGTTATCTTTTACATAAATAAAAAAAAATATCTTTTACTTTAATATTACATATTCCTATTTTATCATCAAATCATTATATAAAGAATATTAATATAAGTAGTGGCGAACCTATTAAGGGGCAAGGGTGGGCTGCCCTTGCCCAATCGCAATTTCACTTTTATCCTATTTTATTAAATTTTTTTATTTAAAAAGAATAATATATACATAATCTATAAAAAATATTTAAAATAAATTAAAAAATAATAAAAATATCAAAGTTTTGATTTTTTTTAATAAGAAATTGTATTAATTTTTTATTTTTTTTACAAAATATAATATATCAATATTTACTAATAAAAATTTTTAAAAATTTGAATTATATTTGATGTAATAATTAATATTTAATATTAGTATGTAAAAGATAAATATAAATTTATTAAGTGGAGGATAATATATTATTTTACCCCACCCTCTCTAATAATATACTACTTCCGTCGGCGACTGAATATAAGTATTTGTGATATGATTTATTTACATTAAGATGGAACTGCCTTTAGCAGGTCCTATCTGGCCCCGGAGATTCCATCCGACATGTACGACGACAAAGAATCATACGATCTGTTAAACCCACTTTCAGGTTGTTCATAGAACGCCACCTCTTCGCCGCCGGCCTCCGCCAATCTCCGGCCATAAAACCTCAAGAAGTTCAGCCCCTCCACCTCCGGCTCCGCCACCGCCACCCCGCCTTCCAGCATCCCCACCACATTCGCCATAGACGGCCGCCGCCTCGGCTCTTCCTGCACGCACCACAGCGCCACCCTAACCACCTTCTCCACCCCCTCCACCCCCACCCTCCCCCCCAACCGCCGGTCCACCAGCTCCACGTACCGTTTCTCCTCATGCATTTCCAGGGCCAGCAGCGGGAAGTAAACCGCCCGGTTCGACCCGCCCGGTCCGTCCCCCGAACCGCTCCGGTGTTGCAAGGAGGAGTTCTTCTTGCCACTTACAAGTTCGAACAGCATCATTCCATAGCTGTACACGTCCGTCTTGTCGGAAATCGACGCGCCGGTGAGCCACTCCGGCGCCAAATACCCCCGGGTGCCGCGCATCGTCGTAAAAATCCCCGACTCGTCAGGGCCAACGAGCTTCGATAGCCCGAAGTCGGATATCTTAACATGCAACTTGTCGTCGACGAGAATATTTTCCGGTTTGATATCGCAGTGAATTATGGTGTACTCGCACCCCGAGTGCAAGTACGCAAGCCCTCTCGCCGCGCCAAGTGCAATCCCGAACCTCTCGTCCCACCCGAGGACGCAATCACCGCCCTCGAATAAGGTGCGGTCGATCGAGCCCCGGTTCATAAACTCGTACACCAGAAGCCTTTGCCCGTTTTCGGCGCAAAAGCCTTTTAGCCTAACTAAATTCACATGATGAACTTTTCCGATAGCGGCGATCTCGCTTAGGAACTCCCTCTTCCCTTGGGATCCTAAGCAAGTGATCTTTTTCACGGCAACGTCGGTCCCGTCCGGGAGCGTGCCTTTGTACACGCTCCCGAACCCGCCGGCGCCAATTTTAGTAGCGAAGCCTTTCGTCGCCGTGAAAAGGTTGTTGTAGTCGAACGCCACGGGCAATCCTGGGATCGAATCGAAGAGTTCATCTCCGTTTTCGAATGACAACGGCGAAGCGTATCCTCGATCAATTTTCGAGGTTTTCGCCCTCCTAAACCAAATCAAACTCGCCACCGATATCACTGCGACTATAGCTAAGAGTGGCAACAATAAGGCCACAACCAAGATAGGGAACTTTCGCAATTTCTCACTCGAAACGACGTTGTTATTAACGACTTTAACATAGCCCATACGGCTCCCGTCGCTCGTCGAACTTGACTTGATCACGAGCGAACCAAAACTATCCGTGACGAAATAACACGACCCCGAGTTTCGAACGTAGAACACACCCATGCAAGAGCAATTCGTCGAGCACGACCTTTGGCAAGTCGAGAGATTCGCATTAACCATCGTTGGATCGACGAAATCGTTCAAGACGTAGTCCAAATCCTCCCTAAGGCTCAAATAATTGATCGACGACATAATCGAGCTATTGCAAGAACCTTCCATCGCCAAATTAGAACCTTCCGCCGGCACACATTCGCTGTTGCTCGTTCCCGGATGGAACGACAGTGCGCATCGACAATAACCTCCATTAGAACAAACGCCGAGGCTCCCACATATATACGGTGTTCGACACGAGTCGACGGGGCTCGTGAATTCTCGCACATTCGACGCGTACTTCGCGCTTGTTTTGACAATGTCGACCGCGCCGTTGTGATCGAGCTTTATTGTTCGAAAGCTCATCGAATCGTCGCCGGAAGAATCGTTGAATTCGATACTAATGATGACTATAGCATCAAGATGATTAATGCCATTCTTCCCCATCAAATAGACACCGCTAGTGTTCATCATCATGTATTCGACGGTGGCGGCGGCCGTGTGCCGGAAAGCTCGAGGGTCCATCGACATCTTCCAATAAGTCATCCCTTTCCATTGCAGCATCGCGTCGTCGTCGGAAAGTACCAATCGGTAATTACCTTCGGAAAAATTGCTATCAGTTGAGGAAGAAATCAGGGGCTTCCCAACCGTTAGATTCTGGCCTGGAACAATCACGTCCGTTGGATGATCGAAGCTTTGCCACAGAGAAACATTGGCGGAGTCGAGTAGGGCTAAATTTCCCGATTCCAGAAGGCGGAGAGATGCGGCGGCGGAGATGTTCTCCGGCGTTGACCAAACCGGCGGCGGGCTGCCGGAATCGTCGTATAAAGCGAGGCCGTAGTTCGAGAATCGAAGCTCCGAGGATTGCGAGATGGGAGAATTCCGATTGGCCGACCAGATGACGGCGTTGGAGGGAACGTGGACGACGACGAAGTAGAAGGATTTGGAATCAGAGTTGATGGAGGAGATTCGGGCCTGGAAAGTGGTGTCGGGTGAAGACAGGAACGCGCCGGAGCTGTCGATGAAGCTGTAGTAAGAAGCGGTGAAGTTGGGGCTGATGGAGGAGACGGAAACCGGGCCGGAGAGGACGGCCATGGGAGAGAAGAAGAGCAGGAACACTGCCGAGAAGAAAGGCGGTGGAAGATGAGTGAGAGCGACGCCGGAAAAGCCCATGCGGCGGCGGAGGGCGGCGTGGATGTATGAAAGGAGCGGCATTGTTGGTTTCGACGATCTACCGAACGTTTAATTAAAATATTTCAAGAGTAAGTTTTTTGTTACATTCAGGAAAAAACAAATAAATAAAAATAAAATTAAGTATTTGATACAGTATAATATATATTTTTTTAAAAATAAAATTTATGTGATAATATTGTCAAAAATTCTAAAAAGTGTCGTGTAAACAGAATTTTTTGCATGTAAAAATTATTTTGTTGTATGGTAAAGTTTTTGGAGATTGACATAGTTTCAGTGTGGGCCGGAGTGTCGCCGTTCGGCGACCGGACGGCGACGGCGACTTAGGAGGTGTGTAGGGATAAGAAGTATGATGTTTTTGTCGCCTATACTATAATGTTTTTAATATGTATTATTATTGTAATAATATTTGGGTGTTGTTTTTTTTTTAAATATACGTCTTTTTATATTATTTCATGGTTGAACAATGCATGCAAGTTGGGATTATTTTATGTTTATATACCTAAAATGGGTTGAACAATTGTGCAAAGTGTGTAATAATATATGGGATTGGTCAATATTGCAAGACTTGTTAGTGCAATTCTATTGGTAGAATACTTTATGAAAAATATTCATTGTTGCTTGCATGTTGTCCCAACCACCGTCTGTGTCAAGGCCATTAATGAGAATTAGTATTTATTTGGAATTTCTAAAATAAAAAATAAATACAGCTATTCAGAATATTACATTTAAACAATGGTTCAAACTAAAACTCAAAATCAAAACATAAATCTGAATCCCAACTGAAAAAACAAAAGATAAACCAGCAAAAAAATAGGTTTAGATCAATCAGTTGGATCAATTCAATATACATTTGAGATACATAAATCCAAAGTGTACATAGTTTTGGCAAGTGAATAGTGATGGCTTGAATGTACTAACTTCTTTCATATTTCATGTCCATCATTGGCTCATTGGGTGTCAATTCCTTTATGAAACCACTCCTGTTGTTTCTGGTATAGTCGAAAATCACTTCCGATGATGACGACTTCTTCCGGTGGTGTATGCGCATTTGCAAATCATAGAACTTCCTTTTCGAGTTTGAGCACAGCCATGAATGCTTCTTGGGGTACATCTACCTTTCCAATTGCTTTCATTCTTTTCTTTCCTTCCGCCTGATCGATCCATTCAGAAATGTTTTTAGTTTCAAGGTACCTAAAATGGTTTTTGTGAATATTGCTGATAATGAAGCAATTGTGTGTTACCTGTTTGCGTAAAAGCTTCTTTTTCCGCGAGATGTCCCCACCTACAGAACAAGTTGAGGAACCATAGGGTGCATGGTGAGATTAAATGTACATTGAAGTAAATAAAAATAAAATTGAAATACCAAAGATAACGAAGGAGCCATAATATATTTGTTTGATGGGAATGTTATGATTAATACGTCGTTTAGCTATAAATTGAGGTAAACTCACCATAGCATTTCGCAAGAACATCTTTCCTGATAGCAGATAAAGCTTCACTGGCAATCACTTTTGAGCCTATGCAAGCCTGTCGAATACAAAAGGATATTTTACAGTTTTTGTAATAGTGGAGCAAAAATTGCAAGCATTTATCTTGTGTGTGTTTGTTCATGCAGGTGGATCAATCATCTTGATTAATTTGGAAAGCAACTTATGAGAGCCCAGAAGAGACTATCTCTTGATATAAGTTCATCAAGGCAGAACATCCAAAAACACAAACAAAAAAGCACCTCCGGGTGCTTGTGTCAGCTGTGTTCATGGATAGCACTTTGGAAGTTAATTCCCAATGGATAAAGACGTGATATATCATTGCTATTGATAACTAACTATACGAGGAGCACACCTCTGGATATTGCATTTCTTTTACCTGTTCTTAAATGGAGTGGTTAACAAATATGTAAATCTTACCTGGATTGGTACTTTAAACATCTGTCTTGGTATTAGTTCCTTCAGTTTTTGAGTCAAAGCCCTTCCAACAGGATAAGCCTACAAAGGAGGTATGTATCTTAAATTCAAGATGACTCAAAGGAGAACAAACACGAGCGAGTGGTATTTGCACAAGAACGAGACTGAAAAGCCATATACATGAAATCATCATCGAAAATAAGACAAAAATAGGTAAGGAGAATAACATAAAACTGAGTGTATGAGAGATGAGAGAGGGACGGACAGAGGACGGAAAATAAATAAACTACCTGCAGGGCATTGTTCCATCAAAATGAACTGAGAAACGACAACCATGCCACTACAGACTTGAAGAACTCATTAATAAGAAATATAAGAGATTCTTGATAGGTAGCTATTGAATAAATAGCACTTGGTGGTAGGTGTTATTACAATCTAATGCTACTACACACATTAGCCTAGTAAGAAGAACATTTTGAAAAGTCATGGCTCAAATTAAAGTCAGCTGAGTTGCTCACCTTGTCTTTATGTACAATAGTCGAAAGAGGCTCCACTGGATCCCCATTAATTTGAATGTCGAGCTTCACTAGGTCGCTTTCTCTATACCTGTAGGATTCAAGTGAATATATTATCACACACATGTTTAACAGTCAGAAAGGTGTATATGTCCAGTTGGGCTTAGTATATGCTATGAATTTATCCATACATCACTGTGTGAAATGTGAGTTATTGTTTCAGTGACAAGACACTCATCACCAGAAAGAAGTTTTTGTTAGGATACTAAAAAGACATGATTGGATACTATTTGATCTTAGCTATGATTAAGACAATATCAGATCTTAATTCTCTTTCTCTTTCTTTAATTTGTATTTGTTAAAATATATTTAGAAGCAATATATAATATTTATGGTAGTTATTTTATTTAAGAGATTCATGGGATTTTTGTCTTATTTAGACGATTTATATATCACGATAAATATATACGTGTTCTTATGATTGAAAAAGAGAATTTCAGTTTCTTATTCTAACATGGTATCCGAGCCAAATTATCTCCGAGTATCTTCATAACCCGTTATATCTCGTATATATTTTTATATTTTATTAATCTATTTGTTTTTATCCACGATCATGCTGTTATTTTCATGTCGCCTCCGTCTCTACTTCTCCACTGACATAGTTTACTTTCGACTCTAACGCCGTTAAGAGTCCTGTTTTCGACTCTAACTCTATTGAGAGCGATGGATTCCTGTTTCCAACTCTAGATCTATTGTGAGGGAGCGAGTCCTGTTTCCGACTCTAGCTCTATATAATAAGCGAGTCCTGTTTTTTACTCTAGTTCTGTTGTGAGCGAGCGAGTCCTGTTTCCAACTCTAACGGTGTTCAGAGTTCTGCTTCTGACTCTGATTCATTGGACGGCTGCACCACTTTCAGTCAATCTAAACGAATTCAAATTCGTACGTGGAAGATCTCGCCTATATATTTTTCGATTACTTCTGACAAACTCAAGTTTGTTCCATTATATCTTGAGTTTGAGGAGGAGTGTTAAAATATATTTAGAAGCAATATATTATATTTATGGTAGTTATTTTAAGAGATTCGTGGGATTCTTGTCTTATTTAGACGATTTATATATCATATATCACTATAAATATGTACGTATTCTTATGATTAAAAAAGAGAATTTCAGTTTCTTATTCTAACACTATTTATAGGATGATATGATATTTCTCTATCCAATGTACCCCAAGAATTATAAATACAATGGGAAGGCTTGAGTAACTGATCAAGACTATTATTCCGATCAACAGCTTTTTATTATTTTATATTAAAAGAGTGCCTATGTATTAATACTTTGCAACTAAATGAGGGCTAAACAATCATCGACGACTTGTCACATGCCCTTGGCTTTTCAACAATAGTACTCTGATTGTCTTGCCTATTCAACATTCTAATTTTCCTACTAACGAACTTAAATTTGTACCCTTCCGTTTCCAGAAAATGAATGAATATGTTTTAATAAAGCAAAGAAATTTATGCAATTAGCCAATTCTAGTACTGTCAATTGGGAGCAGATCCTAGTTTGCCATTTTGGGCAAGTTGTGCACGGAAATAGAGAAATTCAAGAATAGGGGCTAGACAGGCAAAATTATGACAAACGGCATTTAGTAAGATCAAATTATTAAATTCTGCGAAGAAACATAAATATTCCATTCCAAATCCAAATATAGTAGTGAAACTCTATATTATTTTATATAAGTAATTTATCTAAATAAGGCTCATATCAGACACTATTTCCCAATTTCCAACATATCAGACACTATTTATTCCCGTGTGTTAATTAACACAATCTAAGAATATAATATACTATCATAACATATGTTGAATAATATTACCCAATGAAGGAGTACTCCATACTGGCATAGCCTTTACTCCTGGACTTCAGCTGATCAAAGAAGTCACCCACCATCTACAAAATGAATTATAAGGGTTTCTCAAACTGATTGCAGAATTAGAATGTTCTACATTATATAAAGGAGGATACCTCAGCCAGCGGTAACTCATATAAGAGTGATGCTCTATCCTCAGTGATGTATTTAATTTCCTTGAATTCTCCTCTACGTTCCTGAGCAAGCTCCATAAGTGCTCCAATATAATCTTTTGGAGTGAGTATTTCAATCTGATCAAGATATTACAGTGTTACCATTGAGAGCATGCTGGACCGTAGCTAATAAATTTGGTCACTAAATTTAACAACCTTAACAAATGGTTCTTCAATTGACCTTCTGTTTCCAGGTTCAGGAAGTAAGGATGGATTCGAACACTCAACCTAAATCACAAGCATACAAGGCATGAAGAAAATAAATGTGCATGCATTATCTTATATCCAGAAGAATCAACACAAATTTGAGGCACAACATTGAATCAGTAAATGCAAATCTTTTATGAGATACCAAATAATTGGAACATGCTCTAAAAGGAAGTATCCCTCAAATTTTAAATTCAACATTGAACTTCAACAGTTGCTAATTAGCCTGGTTATCCAATCAACAACTTTATTAGCATAAATTTTAATCGGTGACCACAAACAAGTTTTGAAATATAAAAAACCATTTGTTCGAACTACATCTTTGTTAGAATGAAAAGAAATGTAGATATGAAAACAAGAGACACACAGGAAAAGACACAAGCAAATAGCATCAGCTTCAAAAGCAAGTCAAGGAACAGAAAATACTAGACATTCTCAATACCCAGTTGCAATGTGAGGACACAGTCGTGAAGTAACAAGTACATTGACAAATATATGGGTTTCTCTATTGCATCGAAACATTCATAAGTTTCTTGAACAGTAAAATATCAAGTTCTCCTTCAAATAAATGCTAGATCTTCAGTGAATTATTTTTATACTGGACTGCAAGCTTGATGCAGATTCTCTTGTCCAGTTATTAACATTCATCTGCATCTTTAACAATTTTATCATCCAAGGACCTTTGATTCTAACTAATTTTTGTCATGTCTAAAAATCATTTGCCCTAAGTACAAATACTTCAAAATAAGCAGTGTCAACATTCAGTAATTTGTTACACTTGATATACATCAAAACTACCGATAAATTGTGGCAACCATAATTTGGTTGTAAGGAAATTGTTCATTAACTCAAAATCGCCGAACAAAAATTAGACAAAAGTAGAAGGCATCATTAGAGAATGAGAATAGGAAGAGAAGAAATTACAGTATCACCGTTTGCACAATTTACACGATAAACAACGCTTGGGGCTGTAATTATCAGGTTCAAATTGTACTCTCGTTCCAGTCTTTCCTGCAAGATTAACTCCTTGTGATACATGGAATTCTAAACACAACAAAATTTAACCCACCAGAAAATTTTAAAACTCTAACCTGAACGATTTCCATATGAAGAAGACCAAGAAAGCCACATCTAAAGCCGAACCCCATGGCACTTGAGGTCTCTGGTTCAAACTGTAAAATAAATTGACATTGTGGCAGAAGTCGTTCAACATGAAGAGAGCAGTGTATCAATTGTGTGGGCAACTAAAACTTATGGGAAAGAGGCGCAAAGGAATGTACTGGCATGTCATTATAAAGGAATGTAATTGAAATATTTAAGGCATTATACAACTCACCATGTTCAAGTATTGGTTGAGTCAGGTTGACAATTATTTTTCTATTTTAAGTGAAAGGAGAACAATGAAGACAGGGTAGCTTTTCATACTTATCAATTAAATGCATGATCCCAAGAGTATTAGATAACCTTTTCTACCGAGTATTGGAGTGTATTTATTGCTTTCAATAATCATTCTACAATCGTTAAGGGGTTTATCTTTCTAATCTAATTATGTTATCAACAGAGAGAAATATGAAGAAATGAAGTAAGAATTGAAAATCCAGGTGAATGGAATTTAAGATATATGTTCAAGTTACAGTAGACGCCATCGACCCAGCTTCATTAGTAATTCATGGGTTAACAGAAAACAAGGAAGATCAAAAAGGGGAAACAGTTCCACTGTTTGCCATTAACTATTCAATTTAGTAGCCATATGTTATCATTATGCTGCATTCTTAGGATTCCCATAGTTTATTCAGTCACTAATGTGACTTTTATCAACTCCACCATGGACATGCATTTTATTCCAATACCACAAAAAAATACCCACTTCTATCCAAAACATATTTTTATCCATGTCTAACTGAGTGTGGGAAGAGATAGTGCAACATACATATGCCCATATCTTCTCCATTATGAAGAATTTCAGCAGTAGAGTAGAAACACCACATGCACAATCAATACACTATTTTACTCCTGCATGAGTAGATTCCAGAATAAACTAAATCAACTCAACTTAGATACATACACCAGACTTAGTTTTCAAGTGTCTTTCAAGCAAATGGAACTATGAGGAAAAAAATATATTACTTGTTGAAAAATAACCTAGACTGTGGCATGGAGACCTTAAACTCATTTTTATATACAAAACCAATGGTTGATGAGGACAAGTTCCCCTTCTTTTGATGAAAAAGATGCACGAGATATTATGAAAACTATTCTGTGGTCAAAAGAAAATTAATAATTGTTAGATAAATTAGTTATTAATAAGTTGTCGATATTTACTTGTGGTCAGAGTAAAATGCAAATTCTATGTATGAAGTAACAAATAATCATTCATGGAATGAACCATACCTTTAGAGCAGCATCATTAAGCTGCAGTTTCTCTAAAGCATCACGCAACTCGGGAAATCTAAAACAAGAATCACAAAGAAATTTTATTTCAGTATCTGCATAGTTGCATTTGGTGAAAAACGAAAATGTTATAGATGTATACTGGTCAGCATCAACAGGAAACAAGCCACAGAAAACCATTGGAGTAGCCTCTTTGTATCCTGGAAGTGATTCTTCTGCCCTTCTACTGAAATGTGTTATCGTATCGCCAACCCTAGCATCTGCAACAGATCTTATAGAAGCTGAAAGATAACCCACCTGAAAGGAACTGATTATAATAAAAACACAAAATGTAGAGAAATGGCAGAAGAATCATAAGAGAAGTACGGAGACACACGACAAAGAGAAAAATAATAACAACAACAACAATGACAACGACAGTACAATAAAGCCAAGAACTGAAATTGCCAAGTTATCAACAACTAGAGTTATATGATGCTCCTGATATAAAAAAAGGTCACTAAAAGTTTTCTACCTCTCCGGAAAATAACTCGTCAACCTGCAATTGGTTGGGAGATAAAACACCAACCTCATCAGCATAATAGTCCTGCACGTAAAAGTTCAATTCAGGTGCATGCCAGGTTTTTGAAAGTTTTATAAATATAAATAATTGTATTGCATACATGTCCACCAAAATGTGTGCTTCAATTAAGAAATGTAATTCCTAAACCAACCTTAAGCATAATAAAAATCAACAAGAACAATAATAAAACAAATGACTCCATCAGGGAAACCCTGCTTTTGTGCTAAATTGATGAATTGTGGTATATTGTTGGGGAAATCCGCTGAGGAATATCTATACTATCGTTCATCTTTGAATATTTCCTTCCAAGGAAATCACGTTAAAAATTGCCAAAATGGTATTCATTAGCCACTAAGTTCTGAAAGCTCTCCACAATTATATCTAACTAGCTTTAAGACCACATGCCCATACCTTTCCACTGGCCATAAAAATGATCCTGTCACCTTTTTTTAGAGTTCCATCAATAAGTCGAAAATATACAATGACACCTCGGTAGGCATCATAGTAACTGCAAACAAACAGAATCCATCAGTAGCCCCAAAAGAATAACAATAAACAATGCAAAATCAACAACACTAACTTCACTATTTCAAAAACTAATACTGAAAAAATACACAAGAAATCAGAACCTTTTTTCACTAACTGCTAAGGATGATATTTGGTTACATATTTGTCAGCAAAAGAAATGATTTCGTAACACAATATTAGAGATTGAAAAATTTTCAATTTCCTAAGAGAACATGGACCTAAACATTGTCAAAGTAGTGTAAGAAGTGCCAATGAGAAATGGTTAACAATCATATCTAGCAACTGCATCTAATTCCAACTCTCTTTCCAGTTGCAAAAGAAAAACATCAGAAATTACAGCAGCATCATCATTATGAGCACCAATTATAGTAAAACCATGCAAATAGCTATATGAATCATGATACCAATGAATATTACATATAATCACAGCATTAAGGAGTTTGATCATAATACCTAAATAAGATACCTATCAAATATGAGAGCCCTCAAGGGCTTATCTGCAGTATCCTGAGGTGGGGGGATCTTTTGAACAATTGCACATAGGATTTCATGGATGCCTATTCCTTCCTACAAAAGAAAAGAAATGTTCGATACAAGATAGGTCACACTCACTTTCAGATATATGCAACAGATGACGGGAAGTGGGGAATAGATGCCAACCTTTGCTGAGCAGTATATTGCATTGCTACAATCAAGACCAACAACCTATTAAGAAAATAAAGACATAACTGAAGTTACAATTTTAACAGATCTAGAGTGTTCTGAGATTGTAATATTCTGACTCGTGCCAGGAATATATCATTGGAAACAAAGCACTGAGTGAATGAAATAATTTTCATACATTGAAATTAATTTTACAACTAGAAAGCATGGCAATGACACCATGGGTGAATAAATATAAAATGATCAATGCATTAAACAGACTATAAGGCCAATAATTAGGTACTTAAATTCCTCACTGAAGTACAGTTTATGCAACAAACCTCTTCTATCTCCCGACAAACACGTTCTGGCTCAGCACCTGGAAGATCAATTTTGTTAAGAACCTGCAAATTGAAAGTAACTCCCTAAAGTACACATCTGGATGCAGCGAATTCTTTCCATGCAAGTAATACAAGTAGGCAAGAAAGTAGAAACTTTTAAGTGACAAAAAGGTCAAACACAGGATTGAAATTATGAGTTTAGTAGTTTACTAATACCTTATAAGAAAAATTAACAATTGACTTACAGGAATTATCTCGAGATTGTTTTCCAGGGCCAAATAGACATTAGCCAATGTTTGGGCCTCCACTCCCTAAGAACGTGTTCATCACCAATCAGTACACTCATGATTTCATGTAAGAAACAGAACTGAAAGAATTACTATCATGTTTGGCTTGTAAAACAATAGAACTCCTTTGCTTTTAATCTATTCGTTTTCATTTTTTGAGTGATAGTGCTGGGAAGAGGTTAGATGGGAGATAAATAGGTACCAAAAAATTTAGAAGAATGCATTAATACCTGGGATGCATCTACAACAAGAAGAGCACCCTCACATGCAGCAAGAGACCGAGAAACCTAATAAAATGATTAAAACAGTGTCATGATATGAAATATTTAAAATATGACCATTATATCTTATTGTGCCAAGAGTATACCTCATAGGAGAAATCAACATGACCTGGGGTATCAATAAGATTCAGGCAATATGGTTCATTGTTGTACATAAAGCGCATCCGTGCAGCCTAAGAAAGATAAAAGTTTCATTCAACAAAAAGTAGAATGAGAATAGGATTATCTCATGTATGGATCATTAAATATTTCATATCAGATGTAAAAAGAATGTTGTTCTTGCTTCGTAAGGCTTCCCACACATTGAAAATCCAAAAATCTAGGAAGATACAAGCTTATCCGAACAAGAACAACTGTTATGCTCAGGGCATTAAGTTTCCCTATACTAATAGTACAATAATTACTACACTTTTCCTTCAGCTAAATGTCAAATAACTTATTCAAGGTTACATAGTCCCTGCCGTGGATTCAAAAATACCGACTCAGTACTACATCCAACTTGGCCACATATAGCACATCATAAAAGAGAAGCATTTACTTCAATTCCATCTACATTTTTGCATTGTATTAAATACAAGTTTTTAGGCACTGTAATATCAGCTTACTACATAAATCATTGACATTTATAATAACAATTAATAGATTAAGAATGCCTGGAAGTTGTTCCAAAGCTTTTTGTATATGTTTCAAGTTTGTAATGCAGAAGACCTGCAGCTTGATGGTGATGCCCCTTTCTCTCTCCAGGTCCATATTATCAAGAAACTGTTCCTTCATTTCTCTTCTCTCCACTGTGCCAGTCATCTGCAGTAGTTTATCTGCCAGCGTGGATTTTCCATGATCAATATGAGCTATAATGCTGAAATTCCTAAGATTTGAGGGGTGTACCTACAACAGAATTACACAAACTCATTAACCCTAGAATGAAAACAGACGGAATTAACAAATTACGCTCATTATAAATTAAATTAAACAATGCAAATTCATGTTGAAAGCATTATCACAAATCTAAAACCACATCTTCCTTTTACAAATTTGAGAACTTACATAAGCACGAAGATTCACTCTAAGGCAACTAATAACACAACAAATTACAATCTCTCTGTTTCTACAAGCTAAAGCAAATATTTTGGACCTTCAAGAGGCGATCTTTTCCTACACGAGCGGCGATTTCTAGTTCCGAATCCGAAGGAGCGTGTCTGGGATGAACATCAGTGCCAGTAGCCTGGCAGCGCGCCCCCGAACTACGACGTGATTTCGCGCGCAAAACACTGACTTTGCACGTACCCAAACATTTTCTCCGACAGACTGGAACTCCAAACTCCTTTAAGCTCAAGCAACCGGGGCTACTGAAGATAGAAGGGCGGCAAGGAATACTTGAGGACAAAACAAAATTCAGGCGGCAATAGTCGGCGACTGCCGCCATCTTAGCCGGCAGTGTTCGTGGGGCTGTCAAATAATTGCTGGGAAATTTGGAGGTAGTGTCTGCTTCGTTTTTCAGCCACAAAGGAAGCGAGAAGCAGCCGAAGGCGCAACGGCTATCCAATTACTGATGATTTTCCTTTGTAATTGATAATGAAATACTAATTTTTATTTATTTATTTATTTTTTTAATATGAAGTGGGAATCTGGTGCTATCCGAAATCGCTGCCTTTTTTATCGAACTTAATATCCCGCAAATCAGACCGAAAAATACACCCTAAGCGGCAAATGCCTCGAGGCATCCGGTTTGAACCCATTCCAAATTTTGGACATGAGTCCTCAAAATCCAGTAAATTGGAAGAAAAGTCTGTTGGTTCAATTAAAATTGGACTGGGTGTATTTTTCTCCATAATCAAAGTTATTTATTTATTTATTTTTGTAATAAATACAACGGCTTTATTTGAAAAATTAAATAAAAATTTAATATTTAATTTAATATTTTTATAAGATAAAAAATATATTTAATATAATTTATTTTAAAAATTAAATAGTGTCAAATAAATAAAAATTTATAATGTAAAAAAGGTCTTGTAGTTTGGTTAGCTTTTTAACTCCTGTCGGTACTTACCATAATTTTACTTATTTTTTTAAAAATATTATCATGTACTATTCACTTAAAAGTTGTTTATAATCTTTTATTTTTTAATAAATAAATATATTTATATACATTCAAAATTTATTATTTATTTATAAAAAAAATTTATGTTAAAATTAAATAATTAATTATATTTTTTTATTTATTTGTATTATATAAAATTTTATTTTTTACAAAACAATATTATTTTCGTCCACCAAAATTTATTAAACTTTTTTTTTTTTGCGTGATTTACAAATGTAACTAATTTTGACAAAGAGTATCATATTATATATGTTTTTATTAAAATAATTACACATATTTTAAAAAATATATGCTCAAAAAGCAAACGCCACTCTTTCATCGGACGGAGGGAATATATAATTCATTGTAACTTTTCCGAATTTGCAAGGTTATTGTTTCAATATTTTCTATATCCCCAACTTAGGAATACCAAGGGTTTGTTTGTTTGAGATTCTTCCCCAAATATACTATTCATCCTATTTTTTTTCCAAAAAAATATAAAATCAAAACACTTATTTTTCATTTTTTATATTATACTAAAAATCAATTTTACATTCAAAATATTACATTAACATCTATTTATATCATATCATACAACTATTCAAATTTAAAATTTTTATTATTCAAATCTCAACTCAAAATCCAAACCCCCAAACATCCTATAACAAAGTATCAATTTCGTTTTTTTAGTAACTTTACTATCTATTAATTTACAATATATTACATACAAATGTGATTACCTTTGTATCATACAATATTAATAGGGCAATTTAGCTTTTTTTTTATTTTTATTTTTACTTTTTTACTATATTCTAATATAATACTAATATTTATAAACTAAAAGTAAACGACGGGACAGAGAGAATATTAAACCTTTTTTAATTATATTATTTAATATTAATAATTTGTTATGAAACATATTTCTACATAATTTTATTTTTCTATTTTTTAAAATATAACTATATATTCTATATTTTATAATTTTTTAAATTTTAATTAAATTATTTAATTATTTTTATTTATAAGTATTTTTATTAATATATTTTTAAATTATTTACTAATTATATTTTTAGCAAAGTTCTCACATTTACAGTATATTGGACAAAATTCGTGTGACGAATGAAGTGTATTTAATTTAAATTACTACTTAAATAATAAAAAAACTCCTACTCGTTTACTAATCTCACCAAATTACCGCTTAAAGAAAAAAAAAAAAAAAAAATTCTAAACAAAACACGTGATAAAACTGAAAATACTACCCGTCGTTTTCATTTCCCGCGCGCCGCCGCCAGCGGCGCCACCAGGTTGACTTGCCGTCGCCGGCACCGCCACCACTCTCACCATCCATCAACGCTCAATTTCAACATTTCAATGCTCAATCCAATAAAATCCCATTACGAACTTCTCCCACCAACCCCACCTCACCAAAATACCTAAAATAATACCCAATAAAAAGTACTCCACATCATATCGTCTCCTTTCGATTGATCAAGCTTGCCCGCTTCCCAATTCTTGACCAGTCCCCAATTTTCCAATTCAAAGCCCAATTCCTAATCTGTTACTTCCCCACCCACCAATATTCGTCACAGTTCACACGATAATGGCGGATGGATGACCGCTGGTTGACTTCTATTCCGCTCGGTTAATTCACCGTCTCTGATCATTAATTTGCCCCCCAAAATTAGGGTTTTGGAGACCTATATTCTGTTGTCGAATAATTAAGCTATGGAAGGTAGTAGCAGCAGTAGTAGTAGTAGTAGTAGGAAGGAGACGGCGTTGAGGCTGAGGGCTGCGGCGGAGGAGGCGGTGCGGAGCATCGGAATGGGTTACGATCTGACGCTAGACTTGCGATTGAAGTACTGCAAGCGTCAGGAATCCACAAAAGAGGGGTCTAGGCTGATCGCCATGGAAGATGATCAGGTCAGAGATATCGCCATTCCTGGGGGCATTTTGGTCCAGAATGTATCGAAATCCATTAACTGTGATAAGGGGGAGAGGATGAGATTCAGCTCTGACATTTTGTCTTTCCAACAGGTAATTTATTGTTTTTAATGGCAGAAGTTAATATGCTATTGATCAACAGAATGTTGAATGCATTTCTTCTTGTTGGTTTCCAGGATATGCATTTTTGTTCAAATCAATTTTATTCTTCACAAAAATGTTAGAAAGCTAAGGATGGCAGAATTATGATTTTGTTGGTATAATTTAGGTTCTGAGATCATTATGAATATTGTAAGGTTTGTGTCTATTTTCAAATGAGTAAGAAATTCGTTTGCATAGTTATAATAGCCATAAGTTTTAGTCAATAAAATTAAACAAAGGAATCTAAATGTGTCGCTATCGGTTCCACACATTCATACACTCTGTACCAGCAAGAACCATTTCGAAGAAAACAGTCACATCAAGTGATACCAAAGCAGGAAATTCCCAACAGATTTGGATGTTTGATCTTTAAACATAATGAATTTGATTTGCTTATCTTGTATATTTGGTTAAACTATGAATCGAAGAGTTGGTTTGTGCAATGAATTCATCGTGATTGCTAAAAACTAGCAGACTTCTGATTGAATGAATGGGATTTGATCCAAATGGTAATGATAAAAATTTCATCTTCTAGATGTCAGAACAGTTCAACCAGGAAGTATCACTTTCGAGTAAAATCCCAACAGGCCACTTCAATGCCGCATTTGAATTTTCAGGTCGTTGGCAGAAAGATGCTGCTTTTACGAAATCCCTTGCTTTTGACGGGGTGTTCATCACACTCTATAGCATCGCTTTAGAGAAGTCTCAAGTGACTTTACGCGATCATGTCAAAAAAGCAGTTCCATCCGCGTGGGATCCAGCTGCATTGGCGAGGTGAGTAGTGTTTCTGCACATTAATAGCTATTCATGTTTTCATTGTATTACTGAATTTTTTTTACTTCCTTATACGAGCATTTTCTCACTCCCCAAGAAGGTTGCAGATTACATGACGATGCCTTTTTGTAGGAAATGTCTGCCTGCTAAATCATTATTCAGTCTTCCAATTAATGACATTTGGATATGCCCTTTAGTTAGAGACATTGCTGTTTTATAAGTAATTTTCGACAATGTATTTCCAGGTTTATAGAGAATTACGGTACCCATGTTGTTGTCGGTGTCAAGATGGGAGGAAAGGATGTGATATATGTAAAGCAGCAGCATTCGTCGATGATCCAGACGGTTGAAGTGCAGAAAAGATTGAAGGATGTTGCGGACAAGTGGTTTTCCGATGCAAGTGGACAATCTGGATTGCATGATGGGAAATCCCAAAGGGGGGAATTGGTTGGTTTTACTATTGCACTTTTCCCGGCTTTTATTTTCAAGTGTTCGGTTTTTGTTTTGATGTGATTATGTTTGCCATGTGTTCTTTGCCTACTTTGGTTTCGATTTTCTGAAAAAAATACTGAATTCTAAAACACGATTCCCATTTATTAATAGCCTTTTATATTTGATCACATAAATCTTTGAATCTGTTTCAGCATGTGAGCCATGAACAGGGACTTGCTTACTTGAATCCAAGTTTCGACTCTAACCGAGAGGTAATTGACAGAGGATGCAATGCCATGTATCTGAGGCATTCTCGATTCCAGCCACTGTTCTTTTGTATGATTAGCTAGCATGTACCGTGCATTTATTCTTTAAAATGAAAATTCCAGGACATTACTTTCTTTCGGAGGAGAAGAGGTGGAAGCAACAATATGAATCTGCATCATGGTAAATGGTGTCAGTCGGTTCACCTTGAACCTGAAGTGATCTCAATGTCTTTTATTCCAATATCATCGCTGTTGAGTGGAATCGATGGGAGTGGATTCTTGGGTCATGCCATTAATCTATACTTGCGATGTAAGAACCACTTTCTGTTAAAGTTACAATTCGTTTTGTTGTTCCTCAGTATCGCATACACATTGTTTGGAGGTATGCTTGAGTAGATACTATGCTGGATTGAAAAAAAATTTGGGCCATTTTTTCTTGATTGAATTTCGACGTGATTTTCAAGTTTTTGTTGGCGTTCTTGTTATCATGTGCCTGACATTGTCTGAATCGACACACTGGATTCATATCAAATCTTGCTACTTATGCAGACAAGCCGCCAATAGAAGAACTCCATCAATTCTTGGAATTTCAACTCCCTCGACAATGGGCTCCTGTTTTTGGTGACGTTCCCCTCGGCCCTGATAGGAAGCCACACGGCAGCGCAGCTTTGCAGTTCAGTCTGATGGGACCTAAACTTCACGTCAATACGAATGAGGTAAGATCGGTCATTTGGGAGAATAGGCTCAATCTCGGTTTTAATTGTATGTACTAATTGATGGAATCGAAATGGCTGTCCGAATAAGCTCACCGAACAATGTGGCTGAATAACAGGTGGATTCGGGCGACAGACCTGTGACGGGATTGCGATTATATTTAGAAGGAAAGAAGAGCAACTGCTTAGCAATCCATTTGCAGCATCTATCCTCCATGCCGAAATGCTTCCAACTCGGCAACGGATCGACCGGAAACGAAACCAATTCTTATGACAGGAGGTACTACGAGAAGGTCCAGTGGAAGAGCTTCTCGCATGTCTGCACCGCGCCAGTCGAGTCCGACGACGAACTCTCGATAGTCACCGGAGCGCAGTTCGAAGTCAAGGAATCGGGTATGAAAAATGTCTTGTTCTTGCGCTTGAATTTCTCCAGAGTTAGCGGCGCCGCAGTCGTGAAAATACCCGAATGGGATGGATCGTCTGCGTTGGCTCAAAAATCGGGAATCATTTCGAGCATCATCAGCACCACGTTTTCGACTGCGCACAAGCCTCCTCCGAAGCCATCCGACGTTAACATCAACTCTGCATTGTATCCGGAAGGTCCACCGATGCCTACACAGACGCGGAAGCTTCTCCGATTTGTCGATACCACGGAAATGACGAGGGGGCCTCAGGACTCGCCGGGTTACTGGGTGGCGTCGGGTGCTCGGCTCGTCGTCGACAAGGGAAAAATATCGCTTCGGGTTAAGTACTCTTTGTTGGCTGCCAACGAAGAAGAGGTACATTTGATTTGAGAATATCGGGAAAATTGCAAAAAAATATCTTCTATGTATTCTCTATTATTACTTTTGTCATGTATTTATCTTGTTGTCAAAATATATTTTACATGTTTGCAAAATTCGCTATTTGGTTGCACGTAGCCGCGCATGGTGTGAGCGTCACGCACGGCCAGCCAAATTACAAAAATAGTAACTTTTACAAACATGTAGGATATATTTTGTCAGAGAGATAAATACAAGACAAAAGTGACAAAAGTGATAATGGAGTATACATGAAGATATCTTTTGCAGTTTTCTCGAGAATATCAGAATCTTATGTGAATTGATTTGTGTGTTTTGTGAATATGTTAATAGATTTTGTCGAATGTTTGTTGTCATTTTGTAGTACTTGGGCTTCTTTCAACATTGTCTTTCTATTTCTTGTTTCACTTACAACTTCTAGTGTGTCTTGACAACATCGATTCAATGTTAAAAAGAAATGGATTTAATGAATATATTTCTTGTGCTGAAACTAATAATAGTATACGATAAAATTCGATCGACGAAATATTTAAGTTTGTGGATGTTAGAAGTTTAGGACAAGATCCACATTAGAAAAATTGACCATCCTGTAAGAGCAAAAGCTGCAACTAAGTATGTCCAAAGATACAGCATCGAACATTCTTCTTGTGCCACATCAAATAGTTGTGTCATTGTACCTACAATTTCATCATTCATTTAGGATGAAATTTATCAGAAAACACTAATATAAGTACATAAATTTTGAATTTAAATAGGGCCAATTTATTCTTTACAAATTCATATTTAATATGTTCTTCCATTCAAAAAATAAACAAAATGAATAACAATAACATTTAATGGTCAGCTAGAACATGCCCCCAAACTAGTTTAGATGCCAAAATTTTCTACTAAACAGCCTTATAGTTCTAGGTAAAAATATGCTTATTTTCTATATAAAAGATTATATGTTACAAACTATTTCAATTTGAAAACAATACAAAAAAAAGATGCATACCGATATTTATCCCGGGTGGAAGCGCAAATTGAATCATCAAAATAAAGTGGTAAAGAGGGTCCGAGGGAAGGAAGCCTAAGTATGAAGCTACTTTCACGACAAAAATTCCGGTGACGGGAAGTATCAAGTATCTTATGCCGATCACTGTCATCACCACCATTGGTCCTACTTGTGCCTTGCTTATCCCTGCATCGATTGTTTTTGCCTTTTACATATTATCTATACTACATATGATGTTCGATTGCAAATATTTTGCATATATATAGGGGAAAAAAAATCACTAAAATGTACCTTGAGTTAAGTTGCCACCTAAGATCAAAGTTATGCAAGGAATAGTTCCATCCCTGTACAAAAATAGAATGATCCTTGATGTTATTGTGTAATTTAACTTGATCCGATTTTAAGTTGTAATAAATCCAAGTATCAAATTTAATACATGTGGGCTCAATTTGTTATACATTTTTTAGAGCACAAATTTTCTTTTCACAAATGAGTGAATTTGAAAATGCAAATTAATCGAGTCCACATGTATTAAATTCAACAGTTTGATCGATTATAGCTTTAAATAAGACAAAAACAGCCTTATTACACACTTGGAATATGGACACAAAATCAATGTAAGTATGTGAGCACAGATGAACACATATATGTAATTATTTGCGCACCCGAGTAATGTAATGGACTCATTAAGCGCTCGAAGTGGAGCTGTGTCGCCAATAATAAGATTTCGAAGAAATGAAATTGCCCCAACAAGGAATCCTAAAATCTGAAATTAATCAATGCATATGAACTCAAGATTAATTGTTGATGATGGATAAAAATGATTTTATAAGTGAATAAACTCGACTTACTGCAGCTAGGACCGGAGGTGCCTTTAGCTCCTTCGCTAACCGATGGAAAATTGTTGATGTATAAGTCCATAATGTCGCACTATGCTCCAAATTTTTTTTCTGCGCTCAAAGTACATGGATGAGAAACCGAGATATAAACATTGTCCGAGTTCAATTTGTATGAGTTTTTATAGTCGAATCCGAAGAATTTCACCTAAAGAAATTGAAAATTTTATTTTGAAAGAAAAAACCACCATGGCTCATCCAAATATAAGACAATTTGTATATAATCCTAAGTTGTCAATAAATAAAATGATTGAAAACATGCATTGTTTCTAGTTGCAAACACAACAAGTATTGATAAAAATAGAAGAGAGTAAGACAAATTTGGCGAAAGAACTTACATCTAATATAATTTTATCATCTCCGGCGACATTGGAAGGTATCACGACACGTTCGTCTAGATTGAGAAGAAGACTAGCCGTCTCATTTGCTTCGGTGCCATTGTTGGCCTCTTTAGAAGACTCATCGGCATTCCCTAACATTGCGCAATATTTTGCCTTGGCACTTTGTATTAAGTGGTAAGTGTAAGTCCATGTGTAGAACGACCCAATCTTTTGATCGGCAACAAGTTTTAAGTTCAGCGATTAGGTCGCCTCATTCTATGTAAATGTGAAAGAGTAATTGAATGGAGAAATTTGACATGTATATATAAATAAGGGTGTAAGGAAAGCTTACAGCCATGGAGAAAGAGACATATGAAAGCCCCAGTTGTCTACAAACAGTCTTGTCCCCAAATGGGCTCCCATCCTCACTGCAGATTGCTGGAATTATTACCAGTAGAATGTTTGCAAAGTTCCCTGTTCCATTAGAGTGCTGATTAGGGCTAATCAATACTTTGTTGATTAGCTAGCCCTAATCAGGATACGGTGATAGTACACACAATATATGTCCTAATTAATCTCATCACAAGATTGCACCTTAAAATAACACAAATAATGACAGAACTTAGTAATAGTTCATACAATACATATTAACATAGAAAAAATGTATGGTATGATTCTGAATTTCCAGTACATGGTATTGGTAATAATTCACACAGCACACAGCATGCTACTTCTAATCATTCAATTTATATATATATATATATATTTACACACCTGTGGCACACATAGCGATGATGAGATCTTGCAGATATGGTTGAGGTTTAAGGATTTTAACTGCAATCCATCCAAGAATTCCTCCAACCAGAAAAGTTATTCCTATGTTAGCTGCCATAAACCACCTACATATAAATATATATAGTTTAGGTTAAAGCCTTATAATACATGATAATAATCCACACAATATATATGACGACTAATCTCAGTAAAAGATGTATGTTATGGTAACAATCCTCATAGCACATGTTGATGTAATTTAAGTCAATTCGCATAATCAACATTTCTCCACACATATATATATGTGTGTGTATATATATGCATTAGAAATTTTGAAATAAAGAAGAAGAAAATTGATTGATTGCTTATATATATCGAGAAATTGGGTGGTGGATTGTTTGATCATAGGTATAAAAGAGAATTGTTAAACTATATTAAGAAAATTGTTAAATCATATGAGAAATCTGTTGAATAGTATAAAATATGTGGTGAGCAATTGAATGATTGTGGATATCGTATAGTAAAGTTGCTGAATGCCTAGTGGTTAAAAACGACAACAAAATGGAACCATATGTTAAATAATATTTCGACATGGAATGCAATTGGAAAATCAAAGTAAGACAAGATCCTAAATATATCATTGATCTTACCATGAGATTATGTCTTGAAAATGGACGGTCTTTGCCAGACTTGCAAAAATCAGGGCTGGAGTGAACACCACAAACACTATCTGAATCACCAGAAAACACACATTATAAGATATATACACCTACATGTTTATATAATTGCAATAATATCTTTAGATTGTCATTTAAGGTGTTTATGTTTCATTAGGACATAGTCCCGACTTGTGTTCAACACCATTATCGAGTTCAAGGAAAATAATCTACGAGAAGCGGAGGTCAACAAGACAATTGCATATATTACAATTTAATCAACAAAGTATGAACCTTCCAAGTCCCAACCACAGGGCAGGCTATAATCAAGAATGGCAAAACAGAACAAGAAGTTTTAATGCTTCGAAAACTTAACCTTACCACAACCTCTGGAAAAGGCGATAAATTGATTCAGTTATTTGTTAAACTATACTTTGGCTATATTTGTTTGATCATAGAACTTTACAGATGTATTAACTTAAGAACATTAATCTGGAATATTGAGTATTTTTAGTCTAGAATTCACTATGGTTTCTTGATTGTCTTGTAGGTTCAGAGAGATCATTTTTTTTCTTTTTCGCCTATTTACTCCATTGAATGTAACAGTAACAGTAACAAGTTGATCAAAAAACTGCAGTGTCTAAACTAATCCATTTTATTTTAGATGCCTAGCTATGAGTTTAAAGATACAAAATAAGGAACCGTATATATTATATATACACACACAGATATATATATATATATATATATAGAGAGAGAGAGAGAGAGAGGGTTTACCCGATTCAATGATTTGCAGGCATGGGGAGGAAGAAGGTTAAGATATTGGGTTGCCATGGCAGCCCCCAAAAGGCTAATAATGAGCAGCTGAAGTATTGGCATAGATGATACCTCCAGCAATGACCACAACCCCATTTTCACTTCTTTTCCTTCCTTCTGGTTCGTCTTCTTCTTTGGTTTATTTTCCACAGAAGATGCAGCAACCCAAGTTTCTTTCTGTATATACTAGTGAACAAAACCCTAACATATATGAATATGTGCTTCCAAAAAACTGTGTAATTCAGTGTTGGTTGTTTATGGATTGTGATGGATGTTTTGAATCAAGAAAGACAAAGAGAAGAGTTGACCCTCCAAATCCAAATCACAAATCAATCAATCAATAATGTAAATCAGGTGTGAGGGTGAGGGGAGTGGTTGCCACTTGGCAGTGGCATCCATTGCAATTTCTTCTTCACCATTATCATCGTCACTAAATATCTTTCACCAATGCCAATTCTTCAGAGCAAGAGAGTATCAGTTGGTCTCATAGAGTATTTAGTTTATATTTGTAGATTTTAATTTTTATTATTTTTGTAAGAAATAATGTTTGAATATACTCTCTTTCACCCAAAAAAATGTAGATTTTAATTTTTATTATTTTTGAAAGAAATAATGTTTGAATATACTCTCTTTCACCCAAAAAATAAAAAATAAAAATAAAAATAATGCACAAACTAATGTGGTGTTGAAAATAACTATAATAATAAAGATGCACAGATAAAATTATATAGAAATTAAAGATAACACAACCAACAGTTTGGGCTGTATGAATGTCCTGAAACCTCCAACTGAAGTAGTAGATATGGAAGATTAAAGAATAATTTGATATCTAAACCGAACCGAATAAATACCCGAAACCGCAAATCGTATCTGAACCGAAAATTTCGGTTAACCGAACTAACAAAAATATTTGCAAATAATTGAACCGAATCAAAATTAAAAAATAATTTAAATTCTAATTAAATCAAAATATTTGCAAATATTTCAAATATCCGAATCGAAACCGAATATAATTATTAATATAAATTTTAAAATTGAATCATATAAATATATAAATATATTTAATTCGGTTAACCAAACCGAAAAAAACATCAAAAATCAAAACCGAACCGAATAAATATCAGTATTTGTATTCGAACCGAATCTGTTCGGTTAATCGAAAACTCGGTTCGGTTCAATTTTTTTGCCCACCCCTTCCTTTTATACTCTGGGAATATACCCAAGACCCAAACTGTATAAAACACAAAATATTCATCTGTGGGATTCTTCTTCAAAAGCTATGAACAATATCTCATGTAACAAACATTGGTTTTGGTATCATACGAATGCCAAACAATGGAAACAATAAAAGAAAGATAGTAGTATTGAACAGAAAGCTAGAACCATGACAGGAATAACAACCATGATTGCTTTGATGACGAAAAGTGTGTAAAGTAATGGAAGGAAATCTAAATAAAATGTGACAAAAGCAATAATGAACAAGTCCAGTGCACTGAAACTTCAGAAGGATCTTTATGCCTTTGGATCTCTAAACTGCAATATGTTGATAAGAATAACCTTTTTCAAGGGAGATGAAATTTGGCAACAAACAAACTGCAGCATAAATTTTATTCTGTTGTTGCCGATGGCTTTTTGCGCATGGTCCAAAATGCAGCATAATATCGGTTCTGTGTTAATAAGAAGGAATGGAAGTCATATGCAAGATGAAGTCAGGAATATAAAGAACATAAGTAGGGAACCAAACCACATCTTACTTGCATCATTGATCTTGGATTTGTGGTGTAAGTTGTAGCTATTGTTGATTCCTTCTGTTTTTCAACAAATAAACTATTGCTTATTAGATTTCTAGTGGTAAACAGAAGCTTCTCGGATAAATGTTAGCATACCTCCATTGCAAATCCATAATTATATGCAACCCTCTTTACGTGTTCCAAGCTCAACTCAATAGACATCTCCTGAAAGAAGAAAATTGGAAGGAAAACACAGGGGCAGAGAGAGGACTCGATGGATCACCCATTTCTCGAGCTGATGATAAGGAAAAAATGCTTATCTAAATAGGGTTAAAGGGCTTACATCTTCATGGTTATACATATCAGCAAAATGGTAAAGCAGTGGCCCCAAATTTATCCAGACCTGCCAACCACTCAGATTTAGATATGAAGAAAAAAGGATTTAGCAAGCATACATCTGTAAACTACTTACACCACCATCTTTGAGAATCTTCGAGATAATTTCAATATATTCAACAATATTGTGTGCCGTATCAATAAAGAAACAAGTCACAACAGCATCCCAGACTCCTGAATGCATGAATGGAAACATAAAAAGGAAATTAAGGACCAAGCAGATGAGAAGGTATGAAGCAGGAGGTAATCATAGAAACTGCTTTAGCTCACTTTAGTTAGCATAGTTTATGTACCGCAAGTTCTGAAAGATCAACAATCTTCTTAAAATTATGCCTATATGTTATATGATGAATGTAGAGCTGATGCTGAAATAGTAATAACTCAGAACAGGCTATGGAAAAATGATGACACGCTGCATGCCCAAACTTGAGGCTTTAGGCTTAACTTTCAACACACACACACACACACACATATATATATTGCCATGGCGGTGTTATGTACTGAAGTAACTGCCACCTGCAGACATCTCCATATCCATGAAAATAAAAAAAGAACAAACAATGCAGTTCTTACCTACTTGGCTTTGATCACTATAGACTTCAACAAAATCACCTCCACACATAGAGAAGCCTTCTGTGATCCCTGCACTGTTCCGACAAATTTCAATTGTGAATAGGTGGTTTGGTTCCAGGAAAAATGTTGGAAGTATTTCTTTCTTTTGTTTCTCTGTACCTTGTACCACTATCTTGAAGTGTTAAGGAAAACACAATTTTACAAGTTCAAGTACACATAGGATAGGACAAAGGTGGCTACAAGCCTAAAACGAACACCTAAATGCCAATGACCTCTAACATGCTAGATTACACATTCATGACATGGTGGAGGGAGTCACACATATGTACTTTTCTTTGGGGAAGGTGTACATTACATAACATAAGAAACGTGACAGCAAGTTACGCAAGCAACAAAGCAATGGACCATCCGATCGAAAAAGAAAAACAAAGCAATGGACCAGAAGAATATTCACATACAGAGTGAACAATTATTTAGCCAATACCTAGCAGGATGAATATCTGGAATTGAAACCGGGCGAAGCTGGTCGTCATCTGAAATTGAATTGCAGTTACTGTGTATCCATGGGTATATTGTCCATTCCTCAGCAACTTCGCAGCTATTAAACTAAAAAATCAGTATGAAGCCTGGACCTGATCTTTTAAAGAAGAGTCATAGTAAGTCTCTTACTGATTTAGTATAAAGCTGGAGCATATCATCATGTAGTAGGAAAACTCATTTCCTTGACATACGAAACCTGTGGCATTCAAGAAAATAAAAAATAAATAAATACAAAATGATCAGGCTCCTAGTTAGAATTGTCATAATAAAGTGATAGGCACTCATCTTAAAACACACCTAGAGATGAGATTTCTAATGCCAACCTACCAAGTCCAGCTCCTGGAACTAAACATGCAGGAGGATGTCTGTTCAAGGAAAGACAATATATCAGAATTCATAATGACATGACTAGAGTTACCACCTAGACATCGTCTTTGTTCTCAAACGTAAAGTTTAAATACAAATGTGTTATCCCAATAAAGCCAAAAAGTAAAATCCTACCATCTGAGTCTCATAGAAAAACATCACATACGCACCTGTCCTCAGAACGATGTGGAAATAATTGTTCAAGTTCCTTAAGAATTGGCTTATAGCACTCGTCACGTTCTTGTTGACCCTGAAAACAAGGAAAAAAAATGTAAAAAGATATCTTTCTACCTTTGCTTTTGCTTTTTACAGTTTTATCTGGATTTATTATGTTCATTTTTAACTGTCAATGCTGCATTCATAAATAGCATGAAAATCAAATATTCACCTCAGCTGCCCAATCTCTGACTATGTTCCTTATGATGCACCGAACCTGGAATACAAATGTATATATTTGAATAACTAAATCTTTGTTGGCCAAATGAAATTAACGTGGGAAGAAATATTAATGTATGACAATGCAACATAAGGAAAGCCTGCACCTTCGGATAGAACCATGCCATTATGAACATAAAATACAAATTCTGACAGTACCAATAACTTATGAATACCTAAATAGATAAATAATGGATGGAAAAGCTTTGGAGAAATCAATCGGGAGAGAAGCAGAACAAGGGCATAGGTAAGAAAACATTGATGGTGCAATGTGGTGTGTAATAAATGACATAATCTCAGTTTGGAATGGCTTAAATGTGAATAAATCATCTACCAAAACGATATATTATCACCTACCTGTTATGTGTTAACCAAACACCAATACTAACTTCAAGGCTCTTACTGAAGTAATACCAATACTGACTTTCACAAATAACTAAAAAACTGGATATAATTCTATAATACCCATGTTAATCCAGTTGCAAGCTAGGTACAACCAGGTATAAATTTTCAGGAAGCATTTAACTCTAGTGCAAAACCTATATATTCTATTGATTATAAAAGCCACAACTTGCTCAAATTCAAGCAATTTGACATGAGTAAAACTCTAGAGAACGGAATCACCAACCAAAAATTCAATATCTACCAACTAGATGTTCAAATTCACCCAACTATCTTGACAGCTCAACTAGGATAATCTCGAGTGCAAAACCTTTATATTCTATTGATCATAAAAGTCAAAGTTGCTCAAATTCAAGCAATTTGATCATGAATAAAACTCAGAGATAAGGATCATTAACTAACTATTCAATTGCTACCAACTAGGTTTCAAATTCATCAATCATTTTGACAACACAAAGCCACTTCAGAGAAACTGTGAATCTCATCCTTCTCATGCTACGGAGCTCAATTTTTTTTTCTGTCACTGTAAAGAGACCAAGTGTCCGCATTTTACTATTATGTTATGTGGACACAATCATAAGAGTTATGATCAATGGAAATTCATTAGCAAAAAAATAAAAAGTGGAACGTGATTGCTAAGAGTTTCCATAAGATAGTACACCTTATCTACATCAGCTAAAGGTACATGAAACAGCAATGATGTGTTCAGCCAATCAGGTGATGATGAGGATACCTGAAAGAAGCTATGAAGCAAATTAGTGAAGGATAACCAACTTAACAGCATAGCAGATAAATTAGTGTGTTTCAGCTAAACTGCATGCAAAAATATTTGATGATATAAAATATATCTTTGTACTTAATAGCTTGTCCATCCACCACAATTATATATATATATATGTATCAATTCTTTAAATAAACTGTATAAATAGGGATGGCAACGGGGCGGATTCGGGATGGATTTTACAGGCCCCAAAATCTGCCCAACCAGAAAACTATAGGCCTCAGAACCCGCCCCACCCCAGCGCAGTCCCGCCCCCAAAACCCATCCCATCTTGAACCCTTCAAGTTCGCATGAGGCTCAGCCCTTCTTCCCTACTCACTCTTCTCTCCATGAAATGCTTCTATATAATATGAAAAACAATTTAAGAAAAAGAGATCACAGCACTTCACCACATATAACAGCTACCCTGGCCTCTCGGAATGAGCAATTTTATTGTTCCAATCCACAATGCTAAAGTCCTAATATAAAAGACATTTGTGCTGAAAGATAACTTAACAGGAATATAAATATAGAATATGCATCGGTTAGTAGAAAATTTTGAAACTAAGACCTTACATGTCCATCACAACAGAGCTGGGAAGATGATGCCAGTGAACTTTCAACATTCTGACAATCATGGTAATTGGCCTTTTCTGCCTGTCCATTACACTCTGAGCCTACAGAGCAGTCCCCCTCATTTTTGTTCAGACACTCAATTGGCTTATCCTGTTGTTATCTACAGTGGTCAAATTTTCATGATGAAAATAAAATTGAACCTAGACAACAATTGAACAAATTTTAAAGGAGAAGCCAGAGGACGCTTGTGAGACCTCGATAGCATTTCCTTGTTTAAGAGAACCATATGGTTCAGTAGCACATTCACCAGTTTCATCGAACTTCACAACATGGCTTTTTCCACTTTCTGAGTCACATTGGCAAGAAAGAGGTTTTGCTTCACCATACAAAAGGTTGTTATCAGAGGGATTCCCCATGGATTGGTCTTCAGAAATATAAGTGTCCGCACTCATATCAAGGGGGGGTTCAAAGGCCTACCAAAATCAACAGTGGAGATAACTTTAAAACAATAATTGAGCTACAAATAAATTGGATAGGGCCAGACCCTATACAGAATATAGTGAAATTTCACCTTTCCACTATTTTGAAGCTAGAAAGATGCATTCAGAAACTATACACATATGAGGAAACAATCATCTGATAAATGAGAAGACAATGCATGCGTACTAAATGAGGAATCAAACACAGAGGAGATTCGAGAATATAGATCCATGAATCACCTTAAGCATTTCAAATATGAAATAGGAATTTTGTGAAACACACCTGAAAGGAGCAAATAATAACTCATATCAGCCAAGAAATTATGGGAGAAAACCCAACACTAAAGATTATTCAAATTATATTCAATATCTGTGAAGTACAGTTTTTTAAGTGTATCAAGGATTTTTGTCTTTCACTTTTGATTTCTTATTAAACACACCTGAAAGGAGCAAATAATAACTCATATCAGCCAAGATATTACGGGAGAGAACCCAACACTAAAAATTAATCAAATTATATTAAATATCTGTGCAGTGCAGTTTATTAAGTGCATCAAGGATTTTTGGCTTTCACTTTTGATTTCTTATTAAACATGAACTCTTTTTCTAGAAGAATAAAAGCTCTAATCCATTTATACATACTAAAGTTAGAACAGCCACGCCCAGAAGCATGGAAGTTAATCCATTTTCAAATTCATTGCCCATGACTCTCATGTCAGGGAAATCATACAGTCCTGGTTAGTCCTCTCTCTCTCTCTCTCAAAGAAAGGGCTATATTAAAAATAAAGATAGCAAATTACAGCCCAAGTAAACATCAGGTCTCAAACATCCAACTGGCTGGAACACGCCTACAAGACTAGAAAAGAAAGTAAACAAATAAAACACTTGATCTGACTGAGACTTATAACCAGACTGAGATATCTGGGTTTTCCGCTGGCACCATGTTTTGCAAGGAAATCTGCCATTCGAGCCCTCACTTTATTAATATTGCTCCACAGTTAATCACATTGTCTATGTATTATATTTATTATTAGTTTTTGAGATAGATAGAGAAAGCATTGTAATCCCTCAGGTTATTCTATCTTCAAAGCGTATAAAAGGAACCATGTATTATTCACAAAACAAGTAACTATTCAATCATAACTCAGCCAGGAGTGTTATCTCATTATTCAAATAAACAAGATGAATGGTCAGATATACCATTTAAGTCTCTGAAATTTCATCGGAAGATGTGCTAGCAGTGCCTGCAAAAACCCAATGCCACAAATCAGTGTGTTCAATTATTAAAATGGCAACATGATAACTTCAATCAACTGTAATATTTTATAATAATTAAAGTGAGAAATTTCATATACAGAAATCTCTAATTGATGGAGCTATCAATCATAACCCAAAAGGAATAAAATAGAACAGATGGGAACCAGCGAAACTCTTTGTTTGATGATCGATACAACACAAATACAGAGCTAATCAGTTCAAATAATTACTTCTAATCAACTCATCCACAATTCACTGGCCCAACATTTTACATGTATACAACACTGTTGACAAGAAAGAAACCTTGTGGGAAAGGGGAAGCCTTTGGAAGCATCTTTCATATCTTCTAATATCCTCCTCAGCTGCTTCTGGATAGCTGTGTTAAACATGATGAAAACAGACAATATCACCTGTGTTCTGTTTCATAAAGTACGATTTATCATTCCAATTAAAAAAACAAGTAAAATGGCCAATCTCTAGGTGATGACAACTGGTGCATATGAAGCCACTGCCACATAGTGGAAGGGCTACATAGGCAATAACACAATCATATATGAGCAAAACTAATCCACTCAAGAACTCCTTTATTTTTTCAAAGTCAGAAGCTCCCTACCCTATAAATAAAGCAAAATACATAAGTTATGGGGTTGGTTTGATTGGTGGGGTGACTAGAGGAAGTACAACAGAAACTTGATGAATTCAGTATATGCTCTATGTAGCAGATCCTTGGCCAGAAACCAAAAGATGAGACATAGTTAACTAAAAAATCAATATATACTTTGCTCCATACTCGTTAACTTGGAAGAAAGCTAGATATTTAGCTTCATATCCAATAACTGATGGATAAACATAAAAGAACGAATGTTTGAGACGATATTTCGTTCCTTCGTGATGGTGAATGTTTAGTTTTAAAGATTCATGCAAGCTTCGAGCCTACTTTCAGTGCAGAACCAACCCAACTCCCAAATCCCAATAATTAATTGATTTTAGAGCTTCAATAATTGTGCAATAATCCCATGTAAGTCCTAAACTCCTAGCTGTACTTCAATTAGACAACAGGAATCTATTGAACTACTATTATTCAATATTTGCCATTTTGAAATGTAATCCTGGGACTGATCACTGATAAACTCATTCACTAGAAATGTAATTGAAATAATTGGTTAGTGCATATACTAGGTCAGCAGAAAACACGCACTCGGCCCAGGATTTCGTGTTATTAAAGCACCAGAATTGAAATTAGGGGAAACTGTATGCGCACATGCTAGCATCGCTAACAGCAAGTAAGACAGAGGAAGTACTTGAGATAAGCGCTGATTATACGACGGAGAGATTTGACTTCGAGGGCTTCTTCAAGTTTCCGGCGACGCAGTTCATCATCTTCGGCCGACGACATTGCTTTCGTTCTCGTACTTCTTTTTCTTGACTTGTTCTATTGTCAAACCGTCGAAGTATTTCCAATTTTTAGTAGCTTTTAATATGGTCCGGGTCGGGTCGCGTGAAGTTAATGGACCAAGGTCCAATTGAAATTTGTATTTATTGTGAAATATAATAAATAAATATTCCCATGGGCCGTTGGATGATTTGGCCCGGCCTATTAATTATACACTTTAATTAATAGTTTAAATTTTATAATTTTTTTAATATAATTACCTATTTAATTATTTTAATTTTAATTTATAATTATTTTTATTAATACACCTTTTAATTACTTACTAATTTTATTTTACTTAAATTTTTGTGTTTACGTTACGCTCATATTACATAGGACAGAGAGAGTATCAACTATGTGTTTAGTATGCTTTAAAATATATGAAGATAGAAAATATATATGATCTGTAAGTCGATAAGAGACTACTATTTAAATTATTTCTAATAAAAATAATTTTTTTTAAATATTAAATTAAAATATTATTTAAATTAAAAATCTAAATTTAAATTTAAATTAAACAAACCCCAAAATTAATGTAAAAGTATTAAAATATGGAGTAGTATATCTTTTTTTTCTATACACATTTTTTACTAGATGTATAGACCTTTAGAAAGATTTTAATACTATTTGCATATTTAAATAATATTTTTTTCGTCCCACTTACCATATCCATGTTGTAGTTTCTGTTCGTCCCACATCTCATGTTATTTTTTTTTTAAAATGATTGTTCATTTTAATTTTATTTTAAATTTTTTAATTTAATTTTTAAATTTTAATTAAACTAATTGATTATCTTAATCTTAATATATTATTAGTTAATTATTTTTACAAATACATTCGTAATTATCTATTAATTATATTTATTTTAAATTCTCGTATCTACAGTGACTAAAACACCCAATATGAGACGAATGAAGTATCTAGATAGAAAAAGAAACAAAATAAAATTGTTTGTATTGCCATTCTACAACATTGACCGATTGTATTTTTTAATCCTTTGAATTTTACTTTATTTAGTTATATAAAGCCATGAAAGTATTAGTAATATATTTATTTTATTAATTTAAAAATATATTGTAAGTTGAATTTATACAGTTCCTTTGTCCACTATTTTTTTAATAGAATAATTTTTCATAAATATTGTTAAACAAATACAAATATACACACATTATTATAATATATATATCAATTCACTAGTAAAAAATCAATTATTCAACACAACATATTATTTTTTTATATTATCAACAGTTTTTCATAGCATACAAAAAAAAAATTTATTAAAAAAATTGATTTTTTTTTTATAATAATCTTTTTTTTAAAAAAAAAAAAGAAAGAAAAAAGAAATTAAAGAATCATGTATTAATAAGTGCAATAATTGGCTCTCCCTCTCACTCATTGAATTTGGTACAATTTTCATGATGAAGATAACTCAACTAATTCAACACGTGAATAGTATTATATATACTCAATATTCATCAACATATTATTAAAAAAACATTTGTATATTGAAAATAAATTAAATAATTGAATCAATTATAAATTAAATAAATTGAAATGATTTGGGAAATCCAACGTGTCAAATAATTTGAATTACTAATTTATTTTATAAGGCTGAAAAGCACTTTCAAAATGACGACACTAATGACCGACCGTCTTAATCATCATTAAATTTCAATATTTGTTAAATTAATTAAAGAATAAAAATAAAATAAAGTGGGGAGGTTGGAACTTGGAACATGTGAGGCAATCATGGACGCCCGTTGGACCTTGCAAGAAGTTCGAGGCCGAATTCAACGATGGTAGGCTGGAAATTTTTTGGCAGATTTCCAAGTGATGGATGACTGATGCTGACGGCGGACCCCTCTCCAGTATTCCTCTCTCATGTCTTCACTGTAGTGTTGTGCGGTGCACAAGTTCTAGATTCAATCATCGGATCGGACTCCTTGTTGGAAATTTTCTTCTTCATCAGCTTGACGAATATATGTCAAGCCCGACCAGTTGACTTCCGCATTAATTTGGTAAATCTTCGGCTTCTGAGAGCTTGAATTAGTGTCAATTGTTGTTGGTTGTTTGTGCCATGGATCGTCGAATCTGAGATGTTCAAATTTGCTTCCAGGTTAGGGTTTTAGTTTTTTCGTTTATAGTTAATATATATGTTTTTCAATTGAAAGCTGCGTTGTTGGATGGGAGGATCCTAGTTTTCAATTTCGGCGTGAAAAATTGATTCGATTGCGTGAGAATCTGAAATTGGCTGAGAACTTGGTGTGGAGTAGACAAAATTAAATCTGTAAAAATGTCGCCTGATCTCTGTGGATCAAGCTTGCTCTTGTCTCTGCCGGACGATGTGTTTTCTGTAATCACGGCTTCCCTCTCGCCGAGGGATGTTTGTAGCCTGGGTCTCACCTGTAGGGATCTGAATCTGTGTGTGGCTTCGGACAAGGTGTGGTTGTTTCAATGTGATAAGCTGGGAATGGTTCAGTGCCCTACTCTGATTGAGTGGAGGAAGGGGGTTTCTTCATTCAAATCTCTTTGCCGATTCTTGTTGAGTGTTCGTCCATTGATGGGCATTTGGGTTCACCAGAATCCGGAGCTCGGCAATGTGGTGTACATCATGCCTGGATTTTTATCAGTTGTTGCTTGTCGGATAATCCCTCAGGAGGTTGGTCCTCTAGGGCTCGAAGACGGTCCGATCTTGTGGACTCCTGTGTTTGAAATTATCTGCAATCATGAGGGCTCTTCGGCATTTTTCTTACATGGGAGGGAGCGGGGGATTGATTATGTTTATCCTGGTTTTCTTAAATCCGCCGATGGGAATTGGAACGTGCTTTTGCTTGAGGTAGAGTCTAGGCATAAAAGAAATGGAGGGAAACTAGCATATAGCAAAAGTTTTGCTAATGAAGCAGATGAAGAGGTGTCGTGTAGGTTATCTAGGTCAAATACCAGGGCTTCTAAGTCGCAGAGGATTGTTGGACAGAAGGGGCCTGCGATACCTTTTAGCCGTTTGGCATTTGGTGATCGGAGAAGGCTTTTAGACGTTGTCACTAGCCAAGTCAGATTGATTGTTCCCAGTGAAGCGAATGGGCTGTTGTTTCCTCATCTGAGAAAGGATGATGCCGACTGGCAACGGGATGTGGCCTTGTTGCATGAAAGGAGGTCGTTGCTTTTGCAAATGTACAAACGCCGTGGAGCAGGGAATCATGGTCATATGTCTGATTTGGAATCACCTCTAAATCCTACTGAATTGGGAACAAGCGAGATCTGTAAGCGTCTCGATTGTGTTAGCGGATATCGTTCTTCACGTGGTGGAGATGAAGGTCAGGCTCCATGCACTAAAGGCAGGACCCTCTCGGGGTTTTTGCGAAATGGCATAAAACAGATACTCGGGAAATCGAGCGCAACAACAAATAGTAGTAGCCGTGAGTTGCATAAGAAGCTTTCTTCAGCTTCTGAGGCGAAACACGTGCAGCTTCATGAATTTCTTCAATCAGGAGATACCATCGGTTTATGCTTACGTGCTGTGACTATGAAACTATCTTCATACCGAGCGTGGCCGAATATGCACGACAGCCGATTTGCCCTGTATAAGCTGCCGGTGTGCGCGCCAAAGCCAGGCCATGAATATGCCGGTCTATGGGGGGGAACTTTTGGTTGGCCCCCGGGGAAGCCATCTGAGGACAAGCCAGGAAAAGCCCTTTTCTTTATCTTAATTTCATACGAGGAGTCCGAAGGGCAGCGTTTACTAATTGGCACAAAGATATTGGAAGGTACATCTTATGTCCTGCACCCTAATGGCTCGGCTATGTTCATTGTTAATATAGATCAACCATCAACGGACACATTCCCGTGGGATACGGATGAGGACTCGAATCATATTGATGTTAAGCAGTCTTACTTGGGAGAAGGTATTGCAAATGGTTACGGGTTCAGGTACCCTGGTTCTAAACCTGGCTCGTTATTTGTTATTCAAAATGGATTGATGGTGTTCTTATGGCGGGAGTCTCGGGCTGTGTTGGTGTTGCGGAGGCTTGACTTGGCAGATCTTTTGAGGAAAGGTGAAAGGATGCCATCTTTGTCCCCTGTTTCCAACTTTGCATATCTGACCAAGACGTACTCCAATGTGTTCTCTGGTTTTTCGAATTCGTCGAATACACTAAGGTATCTTTTTCCTAACGACGTGCTTCAGTTTTGTTTTATTTGTTTTTTTTGAAGTTTACACTTTCTTGTTGCCCTCTACATATTTCGAGCTAACCCTTATATTATCTCATTCTCTTTAAGTAGCAGATCAAACTTTTTGATTCTGCGTAGTTCGTTTAATATTCAGCAGTTACTGGCCATATTTCTTGATTCTAAGCTGCAAAGGACACTAAAAGTAGACTTTTAGAATACAATTTGTCCGAAGTTTAATATTCAGCAACTAATGGCCATATTTCTTGATTCTAAGCTGCAGAGGACACTAAAAGTTGACTGTTTAGAATACAATTTGTCCGAAGTTTAATATTCAGCAACTACTGGCCATATTTCTTGATTCTAAGCTGCAAAGGACACTAAAATTCCACTGTTTAGAATACAATTTGTCCGAATAAATTTCTCTAGCTTGAAATGCTGTCTCTGAGTCACGCAGCTATTAAGAAGAGTAGATACTTATACCATTTGGATAATTTACCGGTCTTGATTGATCCGATGCTGCAAGACAGATAGTCCTCATAGTTGTTGTTCACAAATAAATGTTGCTTAAACATACATAATGCATTCACCAAAACAATACTTGTATAATTTGCTCATCGAGTTCTTTGCTCATCGTTGCATATTTCTGCTATGGTAATTTAATCTGTGCTGTTTGCAGCTGAACATGCTTATCATTCTGCACAATTTGGTTACTTGTTTCCTCTTACTTTTCTTCGATGCCGTTAATGGGCATATGTTGGGAACTCAATCTTGTCATGTTTATTTGAAAACAGGTGAGCTATTCGACTTCTTCGATCGATACTTGGATGGCATTCTGAACAAACAAGTCCTGTCTTCCTGCACAAGGTTCAATTTCAGTAAAGTCCATCGATTTTGCAGTAGTTATGGTGTGTTAATTGAAAGCCTAGATATAATGAATAAGAGAATAAGGGCTTATTTTCACAGTTACCAGCTTTAAAAGTTATATTTCATTTAAAAATACTTTTGGATGATAAAGCAAATATATCCTTTATTCCTGTTCATTCTTGAGATTTTCCTTGGCAATGCCCAATGGCAAACCATATACTGAGGGATGGATTTACCAAAGTTTGTTACATATTTTTAAATATATTATTTTTAGTAAAAATTTTATAGTAAATATTTAACATTTTTAAAGAAAATTTATATACTATATAATAAAATATTTAATATAAGCAATAATGTATTAAAATTTAATCATTAGAAATAAATTATGAATTATAGTCCATAGCATATGTATATGAAAAAGTTAAAAAAGCCAAATGAATTATTTAAATAAATATTGATGCCATAATTATTTACTATTGTTTATTTAACCATGTTAGGAATAGGATTGACTAAATACTTTAAATATTATTTTATTAATTTATATAGATTGTTGATATAAAAATATATTTCAAAAATATGTAATGTAATTTTATTTTATTTTTTTTGTTTGCATGTCAATATCAATCTTTAGTACAAATAACAATATACTTATAAAATAAGAGCCATGTGATATGTGTTTGTTTTTAAATCGAGATTTTAGAAAAGTATTTCTAATGCTCTATATAATACATATTGCTCGTTTTGTAGAAATCTATATAATGTTTTATTTATATAAGGTTTTATTGTAATATTTTATAAGAAAAAATAAATATTTTTATTATGAATTATAAAAGTCCCATGCTACAAAATTGAAATTGAAAAGAAAAAAAAGAAACATTCCCAAAGATTTTATAGAAACTCGTGTTTGGTTTAGGTTTTTTCAATCCAAAAAAATAAAATAAAATACTTATAATTTTTAATAATATATATATATATATTAAATTATTATTACACAAACTTTGTTATACTACATTTTTTTATGCGAGTAAAAATGAATGGAATAAGTATAAATACTTCAATCTGTATACAATACATGTATATGTCTATATGATGGATCTATTTAGATTAGCATATATATTTGCTAAATATATTGTTCATGTTTATCTACGTACATAGAGCCGGCAAAAATTACAAATAATTTTAAAATTCAAATATTTAATATGGACACATGTATTTTCTTTTATTTTTTTTTATTATTTTTAAATAAAATATTTGTTGGGTATTATTTCTAAAGCTATAGATATCATCTGAAAATTGAAGTAATTAAAATTATAAATAAACTTTAAATAAAGTACAATTTCAACAATGGCCTATTAGCTCAGCTGGTTAGAGCGTCGTGCTAATAACGCGAAGGTCGCAGGTTCGAGACCTGCATGGGCCAAATTTTTGTTCAACCTATTAATATTGTGTAATTACCAAAACGCCCTTCGACATATTATTTTTCCTTCAAAATTATTAACCTCATTCAGAAATGACCGTTAAACCCCCCAACAGACTGGCCACTCCGTTCCGACGCTACAGCAACGCTTCTTCCTTACCAATCCAACGGCTTCAATTCCTCGTCGGAAAATGCACTTCCGTGGCGGAGCTCAAGTTAGTCCACGCCCAAATCATCCTCCGTGGGTACGGCGAGGATGCCATAACCCTAAGCAAAGTAATTTCCGTCTGCGCTTTGTCTCCCTTTGGGGACGTGGTGCACGCGCATTACCTGTTCGACAAAATTCCCAATCCGAATCGGCACATGTACAATACTATGATAAGGGCGTCTTCGGGTGTGAAAAGCTACGATGAAGTTATTAGGCTTTACCAGAAAATGGTCTGCTCAGGTGCTTCCCCGAATGAGTTCACCTTTCCTTTTATTCTCAAAGCTTGTGGGAATCTAATGGCGTACAGGCAAGGGGTTGTGGTTCATTCGAATGCCGTGAAAACAGGGTTTTCAGAGTCTCATGTATTCGTGCAAAACGGGCTTGTGAATTTCTACATTGGTTGTGGGAGGATAGAGTGCGCCCGGAAAGTCTTTGATGGTATGGAGTTTAGGACATTAGTTTCGTGGAACTCGATGATCGGTGGCTATGCGAAATTCGGGGGGTGGAGAGAAGCTTTTTCATTGTTTTGTGGCATGAGGGAGGATGGAGTGATGCCTGATGGTCATACCTTTGTTAGTTTGCTCTCGGTTTGTTCGATAATCCGTGGTGTGGTGTTAGGGAAGTTTGTTCATTGGTTTATTGAAGCGAATGCAGTTTATGTCGACGTTTATGTTCATAATGCTCTTCTTGATATGTACGCCAAGTGCGGGGATTTGCAGATGGCAAAAATGGTGTTTGATCGAATCCCGGATAAAACTGTGGTGTCGTGGACTTCTTTTGTGAGTGCATATGCTAAACATGGATTTGTTGAATTAGCCGAGAGTACTTTTAATCGAATGCCTGTGAAAAATGTGGTTTCTTGGAATTCAATGATCTCTTGCTATCTTCTAAATGGTCACTATAGAAAATGCATAGAATTGTTTCGTAAAATGTGTGATTTGTGTTTTGTTCCTGATGAAACTACGGTGGTTAGTGTTCTTTCTGCGTGTAGTCATACGGGGGACTTGGTTACGGGAAAGAAATTGCACGACTATTTGTGTGGAATCGGGATGGAACCTACTATTGAGCTTTGTAATTCGCTTATGGACATGTATGCGAAATGTGGTTTAACCGAGAAGGCATTGGAGATCTTTCTTAACATGCCGGAGAAAAACGTTGTTTCGTGGAATACGGTGATTAACGCTCTTGCATTACACGGTCACGGAGATAAAGCAGTCGAGCTTTTTCAGGAGATGGAGGCTAGCGGAACACAGCCTGATGCGGCTACATTCGGTGGCTTGCTTTCCGCCTGCTGTCATTGCGGGAATATCGAAATTGGGAGGTATTTCTTTAGCAAAATGAGGAGTGTTTATGGAATACGTTACGATATCGAACATTATGCGTGTATGGTTGATATTCTCGGGCGACGAGGGCTGTTAAAGGAGGCGCTTAGGCTGGTCGGAGAAATGGAAATGCGGCCGGATGTGGTAATCTGGGGATCTGTTCTTGGCGCCTGTCGAACTTTCCGGAATGTTCCAATTGCGAAGATGGTTTTGAAGCAGGTGCTGGAGTTGGAACCGTGCGCGAACACAGGGGGGTTGTATGTGCTGTTGGCGAACGTATTTTTCGAGGATCAGCGATGGGATGAGGCGAAGAAAGTGAGAAAACTCATGAGGAGTCTCGGCGTGAGAAAGAGCGACGCGGTCAGCTCGATTGAGGTTGGAGGCCGTGTTTTCGAATTCATGGTTTCGGATGAGAGACACGAGGCTTCGGATCTTGTCTACGCGACGCTGCATCGGATGAAGGATCATTTGAAATCCGAATGCCAAGTGTTTTTATTCGCCGGGGGAACTTGTTAAAGTCGAGGGACTTTGATCGGATCGATGGTAGCGACGTGCATTGAGTTGCTTCCCGGGATTTCTGGCGAATATGATCGGTCGGATCATGTCTGGAAATCTGCTTGAAGAAGAAGAAGAAGGCTGTTTTGGGTTGAAGGTATGTTGCGAAAATTAGATGCAGCTATTAGTAGTTCTTGAAGTTTTGTTGTCCCCTGATTTATTTTGGTAAAATTTTGCTTGAAGGAAATACTTGGTTTGTTTGATCAAAATTTAATTTGTGATACGAATTTTTAATATATATATATATATACATTTTATGAAAATATTATTTTTTATATTATTGGTACTTATTTTTAATAGTTCATTTAAAAATTTTTAAATCAAAATACTAATCAAACAAACTGATACAATGGTTTATTTGAGAAAAAGGTTAATAAACTGAATAGTAAAAACATTGTACTGAAAAATGTTTATATAGTACCGAGTTTAAAAAAATATATTATAAGAAAAAAATTTTGTCATCACTTAAATTGTATTACGTTGATATAATAATTAATATTAAAATATCACAAATCAAAAAAATAAGTATATATAAGAATAATGATTTGATGGTAAAATAAAAATATATATATAAAAAAAATATACGATAATTACTTAAAAATATTTTAAAATAAAAATATATATAGTTTATAAAAAATCAAGTGCGATTTAAAGTAAATGGCTGGATTACATTATTTACTTTTAATTTGCTAACTTTGTCATCAACTTGGATGATTTTTTTATTTTTTTTTCAAATTGAGTAAAGCTACTTAGAAAAAAATTCAATTTATTTTTTTTACACGATTTATCAATATTTATTTCTTCTTCCCATTTTCACGTAAAGATCGATTCCTCTGCAAAAATAAGATAAGCACTACAATTATCCAGAACAAAGCGGTGAGTAAGTAAATTACTCAACGGTCCCGGAACCACGGGTCCCGGCTCCGCTACCCAATAACCACACGGCTCCCGGGACTTCAAGTCCAAGGAGCTCGTACATATTATCCCCAAAACGGTGATTAAATACACATGTATATACGTATATATACATAAATACGCATAAAATACATACAGAGGTTGTAAGAATACAGAGAATTGAACCTAATCGTCATCGTGAAGCTCCCACAGTTTGGCACGCTGCCTACCCTTCCTGTAATTGAATCCATTCGAATTTCTTATTTCATGTTCAGTTGGATCAAATCGCCATTTTTCTAATAATATATACACACAATATATATATATATATGTATAAATGTGTGTATTTATATATCTGTGTGTATTGAGGAGGAATTGAGGTAATTAATTGAATGGGTCTCTGCAACTCCTGCGAATCGGCACCGGCTGTAACGGCGCCGGCGAAGCTGATCTTCGACAATGGCAGATTGGAGGAGTTTCCCTATCCAATCAAGGCCGTCCACGTGTTGCAGAGAAACCCTACCTGCTTCATCTGCAATTCCGACGAGCTTGAATTCGACGACGTCGTTCCGGCCGTCGGCGCCGACGACGATCTCCTCCCCGGACACATTTACTTCGCGCTGCCGTTGAGCCGCCTCAACCGGCGGCTCCGGCCGGAAGAGATAGCCGCATTGGCGGTGAAGGCCAGCGCCGCCCTGGTGAAGAGTCGCCGGGAAATATATTGCGGCTGCCGCCGGAAGGCGGTGGAATTCTCCGTCGACCATGGACTGAAAAAATCGAGGAAGGTTGCGTGGGAGGGGGAGAGGGGTAGGAGGCGCGGCGGCGGCGCCGCCGCAGTGGTCCGGAGAAGAGGGAAGTTTACGGCGAGATTGGCAGCCATAACGGAGTAGGGGCGTTTTTGCAATTTCACGGGATTCCAGTGTTTGTTTAATTTCCTGTAGATTTTTTTAGGGTGTGATGATTTGTGTATTATTTCTTTTTATGGTATAAAATTGAATATTTTATTTTTTAAGTTCTAGAGTATTCTTTTGTAGATTTTATCACACATTTTTATTATACATATATTTTTTTCTCTTCAAAAATATCAAATCAAACAATTACTTTTCCTGATTTATATTATATTATAAATTTATTTTACATTTAAAACATCACATCAATATTTATTTATATCATAGGAAACAACTATTCAAATTCAATTTTTTACTATTAAAAAATCCAAACCAAAAAAACACAAAACCACAAACAAACACACCCTAGATGTTTCTATAGGTTGGATTTTGGTTTGATTTTGATTTTTTGGTTTGATTCTTTTATATTAGTAATATTTTGATATATTGTTTTGTAAAAGTAAAATATTGTATTTTTATTAAAAAAAATTTAATGAAATGAACAGTCTTAGTCTTTGATTTGAAGTTAAAAATAAAAAATAAAAATAAGCATTAAGTTTTTTTTGTCTCGATATATATCAATATTAAACTATAAAAAGTAAAGCAACAAAGTAAGAACGTGTTTAAATATTTTTTGGAAGTATTTTGCAGTTTTATACTATTAACTTAAGAATAGTAAAAAAAATTATTAAAAATTAGTATTTCTTGTAATATAAAAAAATTTAAGTATAATATATTTTTAGTTAAATATTTTAAATAACAATAAATGTTGCTTGTAAAGAGAAGTTTATATATATATATATATAAATAATTAAAGTTTTTATTAATAAAGAGGAGTGTAGATTGTAGATATTTTGAAGAATAATATATTGCGTCATTTTATATGATAATATATATCGTAAAATATTTTTTTGGTAAATTTTGTGCATGAAAATGAGTGATGATTTATTGGGACATGTATTTATTTATTATTTAATACTAGTATTTAATAATGCAAAGCCAACCAAACACGCCTTTAATTTGTTGTATAGAAATTATAGTCTCAGCCTTATATTACAATGGAAATTGCGTATAGTGTTTATAATTTTATTTAATACAAAGTAATTTAATTCTAATTTGTTTACTTTTGAAATGTTTTTATTTTTCTCTTTAGCAAAATTCAGATATTTTTTTTTTCTTTACTACAAAAAAATTAATAAATAAATAACAAAAATACACTCACATTAAATTGTACCAAAAAAAAAAAACAATCGAGCACATATTTGAAAGACAGAATATTAAACGTTTGTTATTGTTCTATTGCTTATTATAGAGTAATTGCTTATTATAGAGTACTAAGGGTGTGTTTGTTTGGAGGTTTGGATTTTGAGTTGGAATTTAAACGGTAAAAATTTTGAATTTGAATAATCGTATAACGTGATATAAATAGGTGTTGATATAATATTTTGAATGTAAAATGAATTTTAGTATAATATAAAAAAAATGGGTATTTAATTTGATATTTTTTAGGAGAAAAAAATGGAATGAACAGTGTATTTAAAATTCAATCCACAGTCAAATACACACCAAATATAAACATAGGCATATGTTAACATTCCTAATGTCTCGATCATAGTATTCAAATTTTTTTTAAAAATAATAATATTTTATTAATTACTATAAATATATTAGATATTTTTTATTTTACAAGTATAAAATAAATAAATAAATATTTTTATAAAACTTGAAAAGTATTTTGATATTAAATATGAATTACTTTTACTATTAAAAATTACTTTTAAATTTGATCAAAATAGTAAAAAAATACCTTATAATACAAATGCAACTTATAATAATTTTCATCAAAAAATAATGAATCCAACTAACATCAAACTATATTCAATCACTAGTGTCAGTCAAGGTTTTAAATAGATGTAGTACACAATTTATATATATATATATATATATTTTTTCAAAATCATCCAATCAAATATTTATTTTTTATTATTATTATAATACTATGTGAAAATTTATTTTCAAACTTGAAAAGATTCCGGGACTCTTCATCGACCCAACAAAAGGTTGTTCGAACCGTAGGCTAGTCTCCCAAAATGTTCACACATTTATTCATCACACGCTAAAAATGTGGTTCCAGTCGAAGAAACACATAGATAGAGATCCTCGACACAATAAAATCCGGGCGTCGCAACTCACAAGTTACGGCATTATTATTACAAGCACACAATATAACAAAACGAACGATCTTCTTCTTTAATTTATGTGGGCTTCCATGCCGAGAGGGGTGGTGTTTCGGAGTTTCTCCATGTGAGATGCCCGGCTGGATTCAGTTCGCCTTTGACAGCTCCGGCTGAAGCAATGGACTCAAGCTCGGACATGTCTTCCGGGGAGAGCTTCACAGACAGGGCGCCTATGTTGTCGTTGAGATTGGCGATTTTGGTGGTGCCCGGAATAGGACAAACATCCTTCCCTTGGTGATGGACCCATGCGAGCGCGAGTTGCGACGGAGTGCATCCCTTTCTAGCCGCAAGATCTTTCACCCGGTTGAACAAGTTCTCGTTGTGCTCCAAATTCTCGGGTTTGAACCTCGGGAACTCCTGAATAGTAAAGCATATATGCACTTTCGATGAGGCCCGAAACTTGTTAGATTATCTACACTTGGTTTGGATTGTATTTCAAATCAAAATCACTACTCAGCCTATCGGATTCTAATAAAAATATACAAAACATCACATCCAAATACTATTTACATAAATGCCAAACAAACCCTTATGTTTTCAAATACATTCATCAACAATTCTCTTTTCAAAAAATAAAAGATCCTGATAGACTAACAAACATAAAACGTAAAGAAGATACAAATATACGTGGTTCCCCAACATATTGACTATATTCACATACAGAAATGGAGAACAGATTTATTGAGGACGACTGTGTTAGAGATTACAGATTTCATATCTCTAAGTCTATTCAAATAAACTAAGAGAATACATCAGACGGGCTCGCTCAATACCAACTCCAAAGCCCAATACGGCACGGCGCAGTGGGCAAACTAAATTCAAGGCATATATTAACATGTCCAATACCTATTTTTTATTTAAATATTGCCATCAAAATTTTATTTTATGTTCAATTTTTTATCACTCAAACCAACCAAAACATCTAAATAATTTTCCTATATCCTTTACGCCATTGCAATGCCTCAAAGAAGAAGGTCCATTCTTTTTGCACCTAATTTCAGTTTTTCACTATGCAACTCTTACCGTCTTTCAAAATATTATGTCAAAATACTATTTAAACTAAAAATCAAACCCAAACACCAACCAAACATTGTATAGTATTTTGAAAAACTATCATTTTTTAATGCTACTACCTATTCAAAGAAATGAACAAATGGGCATCAAACATTAGATTTTGCATCCATGACAGAGATACATACCTTCCTCCGGTCTTCAACTGATAAATTCTGTATCAGTTGTGAACCTCCTGAAAAGAACCCCCTCCCAAGAGGGCTGTAGGCTACAATACCGATCCCAAGTTCTCTGAAAATCAGAAACAAACTTTGTGTAATATTCAACGATACCTAAGTCCTAGCTCATGATACAATGATTTAGAAGGTATAATTTAGCCAGACCTGCAGACCGGAACAATTTCTTCTTCTACTTCTCTTGCCCACAAAGACCACTCTAACTGGACTGCTGTTATCGGATGAACAGCATGTGCTCTTCGAATTGTCGAAGCAGAGGCCTCGGACAAACCTATGTACTTAATCTTACCTTCCTCAACCAGTTTCTTTAGCTCTCCAACCTTTAACAGAACAACAACAACAATAAGGTCAATTAATTGGTGCAAAGATCTTTCATGGCAAGTTAGAGGCATCACTTGTAATTGATAAAAACTATTTTAAGATCAATCAGGAAGATAGCTACTAACTGTGACTTCAATGGGCACAGTCGTGTCAACACGATGCTGGTAATAAAGATCGATACAGTCGACATCAAGCCGCTTCAAACTGTCCTCGCAAGCAGCCCTGACATGTTTTGGATCACCAACAATTGTTATGTTTGAGCCATCAAGTTTGAATCCGAATTTGGTCGCTAACTCTACTTTTTCCCGCATCCCTCCTTTCAGTGCCTGAAGAAATCAGATGTGATTCTAACTTCAAATTCGACCATTAAATCAAGCTACACGACCACTAACTTATAATTCAGTTTCTGCGTTACAACCTCAAATTTTAAAGAGTGAAATTAGTAGCCCTAATTTGTTGATGGAAAAGCATTCACTGTTCAATCTATGAAAACTAATTGAATCACGATACTTTGCCCTAAACAATTAATCATGTACATTCAATTTCAGACAGTATAATCGATCAATTTGCGAAGGGCGAAACCAGAAGCGAGATATTAAACAGACCTTGCCGACGAGTACTTCGTTAGTGTAAGGACCATAGGCATCGGAGGTATCGAGGTGCGTGATTCCGGAGCGGATAGCATGGTTGATGAGCTCAATCATCTTGGCTTCGGGCTTCGGAGGCCCGTAGAAGGCGGACATTCCCATACAGCCCAGCCCTTGGGCAGAAACCTCCAGGCCCTGCGACCCTAACTTGATCCTCGGTAAAGCTGCTGCCATTTTTCCGGCGAAGAGAATAGAGCTCGGCGACGAGAGGCACGGCGGATGTGTGCGGTGAAGTGGAGCTTTAAGTAAGCAAACAAACTTACAAGAGAGAGATGGAGAGACAGAGACAGCTCAAAGGGAGACTAAACCAGTCAACTTTTGCGCACATATTTTCTATCTTTGAATTTTTGAATTGTATCTATTTAATATAATAAATATTTTTTAAATATTATTTTTATATTATATAATATTTATAAAAATATTTTTATCTTTTTATTATAATATATTATAATATAAATAAATATTAAAAAATCTACTTAAAAAAAAAAGTAAATGTCAATCCTGGAACGGAGAGAATATTATTATTACATAAATCTTAAGAAAAAGTTATGCGTATCTTTAACATTAACTCTTAAAATTTTATTACTACCTCAGTAAATATTATTATTACATAAATCTTAGGAAAAAATTATGTGTATCTTTAACACTAACTTTAAAATTTTATTACTATTTCTGTCTAAGTAGTAATACAAAAATATTCTTATTTTGGGACATAGAAAAATAATACTTCCTCTGTCAATTTACAATGTTTATATATTTATGGGACGTTCAATTACAAGGTTAACATTTCATTTAATACCCTATTTTTTTCTACAAATATCATTGTTTTACATCACATCATTACTTTTTTGTGCTTTTACACAAAAAAGTAAAGGCAAAAATATCATTACACTATTTTTAACTATTCACTATAATTAAAATACTATTATTTCTTAAACACTGCGCCAAAAGTAAATGTAAACCTTGTAAATGGACGGAAGTATCATATAGCATTTGAATTATGTTTTATTTGAATTTTTTCTTCTTTTTTTTTTCACAAACTATTCTACTATTAAGTGGTAGTTTAAATAATTCTTGGATATTTTTTTTTCATGTAATTACTGTATTATTTATGGGGAAAATGAGATATTTCTCTCCGCCACTGCAATTTTTATTTTTATTTTTTTTTTCAATATTTTGGTATTTTATTTTATTTTATTTTATTCCATTTTTTTAATAAAAGTAAGTAGTTGAGTTTTCAAATTCAACATTGCACAGACATAACTTTCAAACAAGACTCTAGAATAACGTGGACGTGAGCTTCATTTAGAAACGTATCAAAATTTGTTACTCTTCTCTCCTTTGAAATTATGTTCATTTGATCGATACTTATATATATATTTTTAAATATATTATTATTACTGTGGACAAAAAATTGTGTTATTTTTAATAAACACAAAATTTGTATAAATTATATTTGATTTGAATTTAAAGCGGGTCCTATTCTATAAATGGGTCCTTTGATTCTCCGTGAATTTATTTTCCAACTTGATTTTCTATGACTTCTTTGATCCGAAGAGATTTGGTCTTCGGTTTGATTTTGCCGACTTTTGGAGATTTTGGTCTCCGTGCGGGCGATTTGATCGTCAGCTTTGAATTTGATGTCTCTTTTTTTAGACGATCCGAGGCTTTGCCGCTTTTGGAGGACTTTGGTCTCCATGTTGGCGATCCGATCTCGTCTTTGGATTTGTTGTCTTTTTTAGACGATCCGCGACTTTGATCTTTGTTTTGGCTTTGCCGCTTTTGGAGAACTTTGGTCTCCGTATTGGCGATTTGATCATCGTCTTTGGATTTGTTGTCTTTTTTAGACGATCCGCGACTTTGATCTTTGTTTTGGCTTTGCCGCTTTTGGAGAACTTTGGTCTCCGTATTGGCGATTTGATCATCGTCTTTGGATTTGTTGTCTTCTTTAGACGATCCACGACTTTGACCTTTGTTTTGGCTTTGCCGCTTTTGGAGGACTTTGGTATCCGTGTGGGCGATTCGATCGTCGGCTTTGGATTTGATGTCTTCTTTAGACGATCCGCAATTTTGATCTTTGGTTTGCCTTTTCCGCCTTTTGGAGAGCTTCGGTCTCCGCGTGGGCGATTTGATCCTCAGATTTGGATTTGATGTCTTTTTGGACGATCCGCAGCTTTGATCTTTGATTTGTCTTTGCCGCTTTTTGGAGAGTTTCGGTCTCTGCGTGGGCGATTTGATCCTCAGCTTTGGATTTGATGTCTTCTTTGGACGATCCGCAGCTTTGATCTTTGATTTGTCTTTGCCGCTTTTTGGAGAGCTTCGGTCTCCGCGTGGGCGATTTGATCATCAGCTTTGGATTTGATGTCTTCTTTGGACGATACACAGCTTTGATCTTTGATTTATCTTTTCCGCTTTTGGAGGGCTTTGGTCTCCGTGCGGGTGATTTGATCCCAAGCCTTAGATTTGATGTCCTCTTTAAACGATCTGCAGCTTTGATCTTTTGAGAAGGTGGATTTGACGCTCTATAACGCTTTTGGTGGCATGTCCCTTTGACTTTTTGATCGAAGAGGGCCGAGTTGATGCTTTGGTGAGAACGCAATGAACATCTTGAAGCTTTGAGAGGAACTTTGAAGACCTTCCCTTGGCTTTGACGAATTCCTCAACGGCTTTGAGAGCTTTGATCCTTCCTCCAGCTTAAACATACGACGAAGAACGTTAACTTCATCGATTCGTCAACCAATATTGAAGCATTTGTCCACATCAGTGACTTTCGACGAAGAACCCTTCGAAGGATACGAAGAACATGAAGAACAATACAGAGAGAGTTTAGAGACTTACCCCTTTGTTTTTATCATCGATGAAACTTCGGTGTGTCAAATGAATTGGCCATGGTTTCTATTTATAGGGGATGAGTGGCCTTGGCTTCCTTTTCGGATGGTGCCACGTGTATGAAAAGATTTTATAATCTTTCATTTTCCATCAGATGCTGTTTTCCATTTTTTACGGATTTGATTGTGCACTTTCCTTTCTCGTCAAAATCTTTATATCATTGCCTTTTTTGGAAGATATTAATTTATATACTTCCTTTATTGACAATATTAATTTATTTTGCTGCCAAATTTATTATGGCTCTATTTATGCACGTAATATTTGTTGTACGATATCTTCCATATTTTTACATTAATGATTGATATTTATTGTACAAAAATTAACATATGTGCATAATTAAATACCATATATTTATTTTATTGGAATTTTATTTTCTTCCAAAATACATAATATTTAATTGATTTTAGTCATATATTTTTAGTGTCTACAATTACTTATATAAAATATCTAAAAAAATAATAATAAAAATTATAGTATCATTATGTTATTTTCTATTTGAAATTAAATTTATTTATTAAATCCAAAATTAATTTGTATCCTAAATGATTCTGGCAGGCTCTTGAAAGTAACCATATGAGTAATTATATATTTATTCATATTATTAATATGTATATTAAGTTTTAAATTTATCTCATTGATCAAAATTAAAATTTTCTTTCCTTTTTACAATTATCTTTGGCCGATGGCCTATATTATTATTATTATTGGACTATTGTTTTTATAACAATAAAAAATATCATCTATTTTTTACTGATACAAATTGTTTATATCATTTACTATATATATGTGATTAAAATAAATTTTACTTTAAAATTTATTGATATATCTATTATTACTATTATTTTAAAATAAATTTAATAATATTTTTATAATACAATTTATTTTTTTGCTCATGACAGTAGAAAAGTCTTGTCTAAATCCTTATATATAGTCCTGCATCTAGAAATAATTTTGGACACCGGTGAATTAGTTTATTCCAAGCTTATTAAAGTGACATTTGAGATAGATTAGAAAATTAAGGAATAATAGTACTACTTTCGTCGACAGCTAATATATTTATTTGTATTTAACGTTATTATTTTTAGTATTAAAAATATCATTATATTTGTATAATTTTTCGTACAAATATCATTACATTAATATTATAAGACACCAATAGAAGTATTTTTGTCGTTTTTTCTTGATTTGTACTACGTTTTGATATAATAATTAATATTCAAATATTAACATGCAAAAAGTGAAGAGATAGATTGACAGTGGACGAATGTAGTATTATATTGATAATTAGTGTAAAAGTATTTTGAAAATACCAAAATTCCGTACTTTATGTAATTATTGAAAAAAATAAAGATAATTTTGTAAAAAATAGATGGTTGGTTACTAAAAATAAAAATGAGATTATTATTTTGGGATAAACTATATTAAAATAAAGCTATTGTTTTGGAACGCCGAAAATTAATTATTTTAAGTGTTTAGTAAATTAATTATATATTAATTTATTAGACTCAAAAGACTAATTTCTAAAATATTGTATACCCAGCGTTTTGATTATATATATATACATTTTTTTTTTTTAATTTCTAGTTTGGCCTTACACATTAATCTCTCATTCACACATATATTAATATATATATTTTTATTATATTCTTAACGTCCGCCAAAATTAGTTACAAAAGTAATATTTATTAGTTATGTTAATATATTTTTTTTTCAATAAAGTGAGTTTCTATGGAGCATACGACATAAGTCGACAAATTAAAGTTAGCCTGTGATATGTGATATCCGAGTAACATTCTTGAAAATATGTGTGGGTTGTAGAAAATAATAATAGTATCATGTTTGAAGGAAATAACGGTGACAACAATATACAGATGAAAGTACAAAAAACACACAAGAAAAAAGTATTATGATTCACTGGTTACTTCACTAATTCGGGCGATCAAACTCGAGATTTTGGTCATAAAGTCCATTGAGTAGAAGAATTATTCATCTTGACGTCCCCAAATGAGTTGAATGCTACATATTCTTTGAGAAGATAACAAAGTTGTGGAAAGAGCTACGGAAAAAGTTGGCATACACTTGGAGGAGGATAGTGTATTATACAAGGTGGTCTTGTTGGGAGATGCCGTGCATTCGAGCATCGTGATCTTCAAAATATATCATACGAAAAACTCGATAGCTTTTTAATCCATCAACAATGCAATTGGCTTTAGAGTCGGAAACAATGGGATCAATAGTAAGATCTTATACTTGGCAGATGATATCGAGAAACAATTTGAATAGACAAAATTGGTGTGTTCGAGGCAAACATAAAATACTCATTCTATCCGAAGAATATTGAAGAAATGACCATAAAGAAGTTATGTGGCCTAAGGCATTTAGGGAGCATCAAAGAATGCATCAACCAGTTGTTATCCCTAATGCTCGAGGTTTCCTATATGTCCAACCTAATTTGTTCCCTTATTCTATTTTTGGTTCTCCCACAATTTGTCATTTTTTTTAAAAAAAAATATATAATTATACATTTTAATTATATTTTAAAATTTATAATTTTTTATTTTAATTAAATTATTTAAATATTTTAATTTTAATTTTAATTTTAATTTATTATTATTACTTTTATTAAATAATTATTATTTTTACTATTATATTTTTTAATTAATGTACAAATTAGAGTGAGGGAGTATTATTGACATTTTAATATCCAGAAACATAATAACTGGGACATGTTAATACTAATTCATCTATCAAAATTTAGATAAAAATCGCTATATGGGTTTTGACGATTTGCAAAATCGTTTAACCAAAATATTCAAAAAGTCAAAACCCTAAACAGATTCCACCAACAATGCCATTGCCAATGCCTCAACCAATCTCATCAGACGACGAATCGCCGCTGCCGCCGCCGCCGGCGGCCGCCGAAGACGGCGAAACTCCGTCAGAAATCCATCAGACCCACCAACTGCCCTCTATCGGCGCCGCCATAGTCCTCCGCCAGATCCCCTCTCAAGGCATCCCCTTCCAGGTCTGGCCGGCGGCCACCGCCCTGGTAGCTCTCCTCGACCGCCACCGCCTCCACCCGAACCCGCTCCTCCCCTTCCCGCCCGCCCCGACCCGAATCCTGGAGCTCGGATCCGGAACCGGCCTCGTGGCAATCGCCGCCGCGGCGCTCTTCGGCGCCAAAGTGACAGCCACCGACCTCCCCGCGGCGCTGCCGAACCTTCAGTTCAACGTGGATGCCAATGCCGCAGCCGTGGCGGCCCGCGGCGGGGCGGTGGAGGTGGCGGCGCTGCGGTGGGGCGAGCGGCGGCACGTGGAGGAAATCATGGGGCCGGGTCGGGCGTATGAGGTGGTTTTGGGGTCGGATTTGGTGTACGACCCGCGGGTTTACGATCCCCTTCTCGAAACCCTAAAATTGTTGGTGGTGGAGAAAGGTGCGGCGGTGATAATGGCGCATTGCCGGAGATGGAAGAAGAAGGAATCCGTCTTCTTCAGGAAAGCCAGGAAGTTTTTTCATCTGGAGGTTCTGCACAATCGCAACCAGATCGAGATCGACACTGGCAAAAATCGGATTGCCGTCTATACATTCTCTCCAAAATAGTAATTAGAGTATTTTTTGAATAGTAATAATTGTTTTAATAGAAAATCAATTCGTTAGCTGACTACTTTTTTTTTGGTTTGTTCTAAGTGGTCTGATTTACAAAAAATAAAAATAAAAATAAAATTAATAAAGATATATTTAAAAAATATTGATATTATATTAATTATTTTAATTTATTTAATTTTTAATGATATAGAAATTATAACGGTTGAGATTATTTTTTTTCTTTTTTTTTAAGAAGATAGTATTAATCGGTTAAAATAAAAATAGAACAGTATATAATGAAGGATCCGGATCATGCGCTGAACACTTCGAAATCAGCACATGCTGATCTTCCGAAATCAGCCCTCCTATCACCACTCCCTCCTCCTTCACCGCCACTGCCGCCTCCACCTCCCCCCACCACACCCACCAGCTTCTCTTCTTTTTCTTCACTACCAGAGCGGCCGTCTCCTCTACCATTTCCATTCAAGCTGTCCTCTAACACTATTGTCGCCGTTTTCTTCATCTCCACGAAATTGTCCTCCTCTACCACCACTGCCGCCACCGCCGCCTCCTCCTCCTCCACCACCACCCCCTTCTTCTCCTCCACCCAGTTGTTCATGCGCTACTACCATCACCACCAATAAACTCAACTGTTTGCCACCACCTCCACATTGCCACCACCAACACAACCCTACTCATCATCATCATCATCGTCGTCGTCTAATTCATCATCCTTCAAGATCCGAGGGTTGAAATTATTTTCAGCACAGTGCTGAAAACTAAGTTTTCAGCAACTGATTCAAATTCATTATAATGGGTAGTTAAAAGTAATGTAATGAGTCTTTTGGTATAAAAATAATAATATAATGTAAAATAAAAATATTTGTAAAAAAAAAAATAAGATATTCAATAAAATATTTAGTTTGCAATTGAATGTTCCAAAATAAAAAGAGGGAGGGAGTAGTATATTTTCAAAGTTCAATTTTATTTATTCTTAATCGGTAGAAGTTATATAGAAAAATGTACAGGCAAAGCATGTCATCAAAGAGACAACAACAGATGCTGATAGAGGCCAACGGCCATTTTGCACAAATATCCTGTCGTATTCCTTCCTACAAAGCTTGATACAGACCAACTTCACCCTCCCAAAAATACACACACATATATAAGAATATAGAGACAGTCTGCATAAAGAAAAAAGAAAAGACAAAGAGCAAAAAGAACATATGTATATATATATATATATATATAGAGACAGTATAGTAGAATGAAGTCATGTGTATACGTAAACATCGAAATGAAACACATTCAAAAAACACACACAACACATAAATATATATATCTGAAAAGAAAAAGAATTTTTCTGGACCCATACCTATCAACCGTCCATCAATCGCCATCGTCAGATGGGATTCTGGCCCCCTTACTAATAAATAATAATTATACTCCTACTACTATCATTATCATACTATGTTAATTAATTAATTAATAATTGAAGCCTGACTGACGGTGACGGTGACGGTGACGGCGACGGTCGAGGTCGACCGCTGGGTTGGTTATCTTGTGAAGTCATGCACGAAGCTCGCCCGGTCGGTCACGTTGAACCGCCACGAAAGAAACGGAATCCCGCCGGCGTCGGCGTCGGCGCCGCTCCCGTCGTTCTCGGAGAACCGGAATTCGTTGCCGCCGGGGTAGTGGGAGGGGTAACACGACGTCGTTTTGTGGTGGTGATTTGTTGCCGACGGCGGCGGCCACGGAGTGTTCATCATGTATTGCGCGTCGGCGCCGGTGGCGGCCGCCGCCGTCGCCCGCCGCTCTTCCTTCTTGAAACGAATCCCGCAGGCGTTGCAGAGGGACTGTGCGAACCCAACGCCGATCGATCGTCAAATTTCAACGAATTGATTAACAAATTAAATCCGCAATTGATTAATCAATTAAATTTCACCTTAGGGCCTCGCGGGCCGTTCCTCCAGAGAGGAGTGGAGGTGGTGTCGCAATTGGCGCACCGCCGCGCCAGAAGCGGGTCTCCGGCGGCGCCATTGGAGCGTCCCTTGGGGGCGGTGTGATGAGACGACGCCGTATTCTTGGGCAATATATTCCAGCCGAAACCTGACATGTAAGAAGACCGTTTCTTCATCTCCTTACTATTATTATTATTATGACTCTGATCGGCGTCGCCGGAGAGGCGCGTCGACGGCGTCCCTAACGACAGCGTGCAATCGACGGCGGGCGCAGAGCCATATCCGTACATTTCCTGTTCATCGTCGTCATCAAATCCCCTGTGGCCGTTCGCCATGGCCAACACCATCGAAAACGAATTGCTCTGATGCTGATGCTGATGATGATACATAGCTACTACTAATATTATAAATTATATAATTAAATCTCGACAACAATGTATGTAATATACTAATAATGATAGGGAGGGAGTGGTAATAAAGAAAAGAACAACTACTTAGGATAGAGAGCTGATTTCTGATCAGGGCAGCAGCAGAGATGAAGAAGAGATGTCTGTCTGTCGTATGTATATCGACTTTATAAACAAATATTAGTATATGATATGATATGAAATGACAGAGAAAGAGGACAGCAGGTTGGAGTATGCAGGGAGTGTAATTTGGTGCAAGACCACAATAATAATAATAATAATAATAACAACCAGTAGGGTGGCAGTATATATAGAGGAGACAAGTACATTAATAATTAATAATTAATATTACAACTAGTAATAGATAGATAGATACATAGATAGATAGACATACGTATGTATGTATGTATGTCTGTACGTAAAAGGGTATTGGTCAAAAGAACCCACGTGACCAACTTCTCCGATCACGAGGCACCACAACACAACACTGCCTCTGCAAACCCCAATTAATACAGATCATATATTTCAATTCCTCCGCCCGCCGCCGTACGTACCCACCGCCGGCGGCCACCCTCCGCCGCCTCCACTTCAATTATACATACACTACATATATATATATCTGTGTGCGTGTGCATGCATGATGCCTTGATGGATTTTCTCTGTATTATTATTGTTATTATAATTATGTGTTATAAATTAATTAATTCATTCATGCACAAGTATGAGGTATTAGGTTCAGCAGGTAATTTATCCAGTTCACACTTTCGAGTAGCGGCTGCAGATTCTCACGTCATAGAAAAAATAATAATAATAAAAAAAAAAAAATACAGCTCTCTAGATTTGCATACTTTGTTCTTTATTTAAAATATTCTTTTCTAAAATTTTGAATGCTTGCTTGCTTACTTAGACCATCAACAATATGTATTATAGAATCGGATTTTGCCTTTTCAATTCTATAGGTTTTTAAATTAATGTAGACGTTATTTACTCCTTTTTTTTTTGTCCCTTTGTATTATTCCTAATAAAGAACTGGTTTGAACTATTTTACTATTTTATGAGTATAAATGTAAAATGATTTCTAATATATAGTATATTTTTCAATACACTATTTAATCCTAAAACATAACAGTCTACAAATTCACAACACAATATTTTAAAATATACTATGATTTTGAGCCTTTATTTGGGATTACAATATCTCATTACCAAATTATGAAAATTAATAACTATTGGCCATCTAATGAAAACCAAAACCAAAATAAAAATAAAACCAAATAGTTAGGCTGCGTATATTTTCAAACTTGTCTTCCACAATGTTCCTAAAAATTCATTGTCCAATAAGACATTACATTTTTTTTTTTCAAAACATCACATTTGGAGTCTATTTATTTTATTACATCAAATATTTATTTTTATATCCAACTTTATACTATTATTTTTAAACCTATCAAAATATTTATTTTGGATTGTGATAGGACCATTACCATTACCATTATTACCATACAAGAAGAATATATGGTAGTAGAAAGATGGATAGGACAATGGGGTGCATGATTCTTGATTCCAAGAAAAGTGGCAAGTGATGTTATGAATAAGATTGATATTGAGAAGAGAGGAATAAGATCTGATATGATAGATTCTTGTGACGATGTATATATATATATATATACCATAATGATAAAAGTGAAAGATTATTTGGGAGTAGGGTTGCAATCATCAACATCTGTCCTGTCTCCCTCTCTCCTGTCCTAACAACAAATCTTTGACCCAAAGTAGGGATGAAACTTGGGAACCCAAAAAAAAAAAAAAAAAAAAAGCCCTTATTATTCTACTACCACTTCGTTACGCCACCCCACCCCACCCCACCCCACCCTAATCCCATTTATTTGTTTGTTTATATATTTATACAACTTCTTTTTTGAATTGCCTAAAATCTTGTGTGGCAAGGAAATACTTTAACCATCTTTTATAGCAAAAACACATCACAAGTAAGTAATGTGTGGAGGGACAAAACGACAAGTACAAAAAAGGTGGGCCCACATCGACGATGATGGAAGTGGTGGAATATATCGATGATCGATTCGATCAAAAGATTCAAAACACACTATAATAATTGGATTCAATTTTTATATCTAACTAAATATTTATTTATTATTTATTTATTGTTGTCTTGAGATTGGAGTTGTGAGTGAGGCAGTTGGACGACCACCGCTTTCCAAACTTCGATTTGCCCGACGTTGTTTTATTACTACGCGCCCCATTAGGCGCGTTTCCCCAACGCTCCTTCTTTTTTTATTATTTTTTATTTTACTTATTTTTTTCTTGAAATTTTATTAAAATTAGTAATTCTTATAGATTTTTCTCAGTAGTTGCTGTATATTTTTCATTATGTTATAAAAAATCATAAAATGTTACGAAATACCCCCTCCGCATATACCGTGTCTGTACATTATAGATACGGTATTTTAGAAGGGGTATAATTAATAGATAATTAAGAATATATTAGTGAAAATAATTATCCTATAATATAAATAATTATAAATTAAGATTAAGATAACTAATTAATTTAATTAAAATTAAAAAAATAAAATTTAAAAATTTTAAAATGTGTAATCATTTTAAAGAAAGTGACATTGATACGTGGGACGGACAGAAACGGCAACATGGAGGTGTATTTGGGAGAAAGAGGGAGTATTTATTAAGCAAATATATAAATAATTATCCGAAATTGTGTGTTTCTCTCTCCCACTTTACTGAATTCCAATCATGACTTCTCCTCGGATTTGGTGGGACCCATTCTTTTCAACTGTCCAATTTTGACCGCCCCTACGTTCATACTACTATTTTATTAACCCATAATTTAAATTGTCACGAAAAAGACATTCCCATGGGTTAGTTCGTTAATTGGATTTTCTTAAAGATATATTCATCAAGATCTTTTTTTTTCTTTTTTTTTTCTTTTTTTTTAATATAATATAAAATATCAATTTTTTATGTTTTTATATCATATTAAAAATTAATTTTATATGTAAAATATCATATCGTACAATTATTTTAATTTAAAATTTTTATTATTGAAATATCAACTCAAAATGTAAAATCGTGAACAAGCACTTTTAAAGTGTGCATATTCAAAAACTTCCAATTTATGCTTACATTTTGAATTAATAACAATATTGTTGCAATATGATGTAAGAATATTTAATTACACAAAGAAAACTCTTGAAACATACGTTTGTTTATTTATTTGAAATTAAATTTTAGTTTAAATACTATTTTGCATATATTAGAAAAATTATTGAAAATTATTTAAATGAATTAGTATTGATTTTGGTTGAAGAAAAAGCGAAACAACCCTGCATTTATAGCGTAAACATATTCGATAATTATCAGGCTTATAACAAGAGCAGGGTGAAAAACTATTCAGGTCATAGATGGTCCATATTTTAAATTATTATCTATTATTATTATTAAATTTTAAAATTACATTTTTACTTTTAGTTTTTTTTTTCTTCATTCATAATTATCCTATTTAATTTTAAAAATTAAATTTTAAATTCTAATTATATTTATATACTATATTTTTTCTATCTCTTTCTTCCTAATCAGGTTTTACTCTATCTTTTCAAGTTTAATCATCGTTTACACTTCTTTACCTCACACCTTTATCGTATTGTGCCCACCAACTGAGACCAAACCTCCATCACCTTATCTCTTATCTCTTTCATCCTCCTTCAATCCTTTTCGCTTTTCGAAAATTTGAACAGACTGTCTTTCATCTTTTTTTCTCAAATTAACATTGTCCAGACTACGATCACATTCAACATTTCCCCATTCGACGCCAATAAGTGATATTATTTTGAAAATTTATTTTAAAGTGTTTATAGAATTTATAATTTATTTTCACTCAAGAGCTCATAAAGTTCGAGACCGCCCTAATAATGATGCGTATCTGTAGGTCAGAGCATCATATATAGATACATATATCTACGACGTGTATAGTATTTAATTAATAAAATACCAAATCCAAAAATAATGTAAAGTAACGACACATTTATAAAGCTAGATATCGTCCCATCATTTGTACATGTAAGGAATAATCATCATTTCCAGATAGACATATGACACTAGTGTCATAAGACGATAAGATCTTATTATCAATTAATTAATATTATTATTATTTTCCCCAAAACTTAAAAATAAATGAAATAAAATAATGAGATATTGTTAAAAGCCCAAAAAAGGTTCAATGATTGGCATTATTAATGCACGTGCCACGTGGGATTTCATTGGGCCCTCCCCCTCCCCCATGCATGCATGCATGCAAATACCATTCCCAATTCTTGTTTCTATCCCTCTCAATTAATAATATATAATTGTTCATTTAATTATTGGTCTCATTATATTTATACCATACATAAATATTAAATATATATATATATGTGGGTATTATTGATTACTACAATACAATACAATACACTACACGTCCACAAGTCACAAGTCACGAAAAGAACAAACAGTATTGAATTAGCCCCAAAACCCATTAAAGAAGAAAAAAAAAGAATAAACATTCCTCAAAAGCAACAAGGGATCGCATATCACATCTGGAATTTTAATTAATTAATTAATTAATTAATTTCTCAAGAATCAATCCATCCCACTCTCCCACTTCTCTACCTACCTCTTTTCTCACTCTACAAATACATATACTATTATATATATATAGATATAGAGAGAGAGAGAGAGAGAGAGAGAGAGAGAGAGAGGGGGGGTTGGATTGGTGATTGGTCCATATCAGTGGCAGCAAAACGACGTCGTTCTTGACAGGATTTTTGCTTTTTATTTGCCACCCGTATATCGATCATATGTACTTAAACTTAATATAGTAATATCTATCGTTGATGCCTTAATTAGCTAATTATATTAATTGCATTTTATTGTATTGATCGTATAATAATAATAATAATAATAAATTAAAATATGATTTTGATTTAATTTGTGTAAGGTGGTAATTGTAAGGTTCAAATTAAATTGTGCCTCGATCGGTCTTCCTATATATAGCTATAGGAGGATAGACTTTAATTAATTTGCTTCTTCTCTTTTAATAATTTCCCTTGTCTCGATGATTTGAATGTAGTGTACCTTAATTCATTTCAATTTTTTTCTTTCTTTCTTCTTCAATTCGATATATATATATATATATAAATATAATCTTTCTTTCTTACCTTTAGTTATCTTTTTTGGCTGTGGTCTTCTAGAATATTGAACATATACATATATTTACATGCAAGGATATACATATCACACCAACCAATGAACTATCATATAAATATAAATATATATATATATATATATATATATGTAAGGAGTAATTGAATACAAAAAAGATAGCTTAAAGCACATATATATGTACATATTTTGCATTATTATTGGCCACGCTGGTTGACTGAATTTTTGAATGAATAAAAATAAAAATTAAATTATCTCATATTTTTCTTTCTTTTTTTCAAATCCTTCTTACTCTATATACTCCCTTCGTCAAAGGTTGTCATTTTTCATTTTCGTCTGTTCCAAAACAAAGTTATTATTTCGTAATTTAGTAATTGTACTACCTAGCTAACATAATAAATACCCTTCCAACTTACACTATATTACACAAATGTCGTTACTTTTATATTACACAATACTACTAGAGGCATTTTCATCTTTTTCGTTACAACCCATTATAATACTAATATTTAAAAATCTACGTGAAAAAAAGAGTAAACGACAATCTTCCACCGGGACAGACGGAGAATATTATTTCACCTTACTTAAAAAGGTATTTCCAAATAAGGTGAATTACAGTAGGCCGACAAGGTTTTGGGATTCAAATACACCAATTTGATTTATTAGATAATTCTGATTTGATAGGAAAACGAAAAAAAAAATAAAAAAATCATTTACCAATTTTCATTTGTTTAAAAAAAAAAGAGTTGTTGATTGTTGGTTTAGATGAATTTGAACTAAAAGTTATGTAAGTATATATTTTAAAATTACCACATAAATATATAATAGCTTGATGGGCTTATAAACAAAGACGGAATGAGAATCCAATCAAAGAAGGGTTAATTTTTCAATATTTTAAAATAAAATAATACTAAAATATTTTATTAGTTAAAGAAAATGTGTAAGAATTTTTAATATTTTTGCATTTTGATTTTATGTATAAAATAATTGTCTATGTAATGGTAAGTTTGTAATATAATAATTAAGGATATTTTAGTATTAATGTATAATCACTTTTTTTTTAAAAATAGAAAATTGATACTTGAAGTGGAACAGACAAAAATGATAAAAAATAAAAGAAAAATACTTTGAAGTGAGACGGAAAGAATATCTTATTTTCAAGCAATTGTATTCTTTAAGTTGTTATATTTAAAAACTGCACTTATTATGATGTTGATTGAGGCTCTTCGATTAACACATTATAACAATACAAACATCAAATAGTTATTGTTGAAGCACAATGTTGGCCCTGAAAAACGATTGACTTACACACAGTAGCAACAAACTTAAAAAATCAATATTGGTTATTCATTAGACGATTGAACTGCTTATGAACATACTAGTGACAAAGAACAATAGAAGCACAACGAAACGATAACCAAGATTGAACTGCACAGGATGTGTGGATACTATCGAACTACACACTCAAGAAATCTATCTACTCATTTCTTGATGATTTCCCATACTCAATCTTTCCTCCAAATTCCTCATCCTCAATGTTTGATTTTTCTCACTCAATACTCTACTAAAAACTACCATAATATACCCTTAACAATCTAATTTGTTCAACTACTAAATTAGTTATAACTAATTTAGATTCCTTCCATAGATGTTTCATCAATCTATTACACTGTCTCAATTTTGGGTCCACTATCATCACAAACAAACTTCTGGGGCAATAATAATGTCGGCCTTAATAATCTTTAGGCTCAAGTCGCGATAGTCCTACCGCAACCCATTCGATAGAAAAAATAACTAGCAACACATAACACATAAATATTATTCATCATTTTAACACATGCCTTTAAAAATATTGAGCGATCCAATGAACTCCAAGGACGGCCATGGATTGAAAGAGCATGTTGGCGACCACCTGCCGGCGGCGCAAAATGACACACACATCGGCAAAAGAACCACTTATTCATTGACAACAAATGAGTGTTCTTTCCAACGATGTCGCTACCTAGCTCGATAGCTGCTCCAGCAGCTCAGCAGGTTATTTTTCCACCTGTCATGACAATCTACCCTCAGCCACCACCTGTTGCATTCTACATCATCAGTGCCACAACCGCAATTGGTTTCCGAGAAAAATTTAGCGACAAATTGGGCCGGTTGAGTACCACTATTGCATCCGACGTATTTTCCAAGATATGACATGGTTCCTCCATGGTACTCTGCTGGCTTTATGCCTGCGTATGGGGTTTAGGGCAGGCCTACAGTCCCATGGGCGTCTTTGTACATGGACTGTACGGGTACACATCTCCCTCGGCCATAGTGGTTGCTCATACTCTGATTCCTCAAACTGCGATGTTTCCGATAGGTTTTGGCGCAATGCAGCGGTGTGTTTATATTTGAAAAGTCCCGCATTGAGCTGATATGTGTTAAAAAATGATTCAGACTTTCAATCTAAAACCAATTGGGGTGACCCTTCACCCTTATAAGCTTAGAGGAGATCCCACATTTTTTTCAATGAGGATATATATTCAACACTCTCACTCGAGATGATAATCTCGAAAATCCATTCAGGATCCAAACTCAATGATACTATGTTAAGAAGTGACCCGACTTTCAACCTAAAACCAATTGGTGATAAGTGGAGTGATCCTTCGCCTCAGTGAGAAATCCCACATTTTTCCAACGTGAAGTATATTCAAATTCAACAGTACGCCGCACCATGTCCCAATTCGATATGTACGTGGGTCGAGTAGGAAAAAGCTTTCTACGAGAGATTTTATACTTCATCGTCGGAGAGCACTGTTGCAGATGTTATGAGGCTTGCACTGCAAGAGTATTCGGATCTTCGGCAATTAACATCAAAAGCCATGAAGGTTAAACAACTGCATCGCGGAACGGAGGCTGCTCAGCAGCAATATTTTCTGCCCAAAACTCCTTTTGTCCGCAACCTAAAAGAAAATGTAATATCTGATGATAATGCCGAGGAGGATACTGATTTGTAATATCCTAATGCAATAATTTAAATTTTTTGCATTATAAAGATTTAGGGTGTATTTATTTTTATTTTATATAAAAATTATAATATTAAAATACTAGTTAAATTACAAATTTAATTTCAATTTCAATTCCAAATCAAACCATTATTACTATTATTATTATTCCATCTAACAATTTTTTATCAGTTGACACACATAAGCGTGTAATAGTTCATTAGTCATAGGTGGTCTCTACACCCTAACTCGAGGGTGTCAATTCAAGGATCGATTACTAGCGAAGTTTTGGCACCATTTCAATTTGGGGAATGGAAGCGTGATTCTCTCAGATTCACCAATCATCTCCCTTAATTCATTGAGAGGTTCGTTCTCGGGTACGTTTGGCAATCCTAAATGTTTCTCTTTGGAGGTTTATGCATCTCTATTTTAATCTTTGTTGCAATTCTACTGTTGTGCTCGCCGATGTTTTTTCATGGTGGTAATTTCTGTTAAGATTGCTCAGAAAGTTAGGGCTTTTTCATTTTTTTAATTGTCCCAGTAGGTAACTGTGCACCATTTGGTCCGTAATGACTTGCCACCACCTGTTCGACAAAATGCTTGTGTGAAAAAGAGAGATGGGGTTTCAGTGAGTAGTCTGAATATTGCAATTGGAACTCGATAATTCTTGTTAACTGGGAAGAATTTAAGCTTGAAAAAGCTGTGTGGGATGTATTGGTGCAGAGATGGGACCGAGAACAGTAAGATTCCATTGTTAGTTAATGCAACGGAGGATTGCTTGAGGTTAAAAACATTCAATTTCTTGGTCGCATATGTTGTGGCAACTTGGTGACAGCTTTTTTTTTTTAATTCAAAATTAGGAGATTGATACTGTGATTTTTGGGAAATTTAAGAAACTGAAACAAATCCCATAGCTTAGGGCGGTCATTAATGTCAGAGGGATCATGAGCCCGACTTTCTCTTGCTTGTGATTCTGTGGTAGAAGGTTTGAAGATATCATACCCTCAAGTACTAGCGTCCTGTCTCTTTTAAGATCATAGTTTGAGGAAATAAATTAGATTAAATTTGTGAAAAATCTAAGTCCACAATTAGCTGGATTATATAAAGACTTTAACTATATGATAGTAGGTATATTGTTTGTTATTAGACTGGATTTTCCTTGTGATGCAAATTCGATATTTTCTTGATTGAAGATTGATATATCTCAGCTATTTGATGCTGTGTGTGAGATAGTTGGTAATGGAAGCCAAGTTGTTCCGTTTTCTGAAGATTGTTGGAGTTGGGTTCAAGGCCAGGGCTGAAGGTGGAGGAAAGCTTCTGTACCTGAAACTGGGTTACAGCCATGAGGTAGAGCTGACGGTGCCTCCTGCCGTGCGTGTGTTCTGCACGTGATTTGCTGCACAGGGATTGATAAGGACAGGACACATCAATTCGCGGCGGCTGTCCGAAGCTGTAAGCCGCCGGAAGTTTACAAAGGGAAAGGGATAATGTATGTTGATGAAGTTATCAAGAAAAAGGAGGGAAAGCGATCCAAATAGAGAGACTCACCTCAGCTCATTTACAATCTCATCAATAAGTAAATAAGTAATATAGCCATCTCTGCTGTGCTGCCAATTCAATTGATGATGCTGCTTGTTTAGAGAATGCAATGCTGCCTGTTCTCTTTTCTTGATTGTTGGATAAACCTGTTTTCTTGATTGTCGGATGACCGTCTCACGTAAACGCTTTTAAGATAAAACATCCTTAATTGTCCTCTCCGATGCAGTGGAGATATGCGACAAGAACAGGCGAGACTCGAGCTTGACACCTATGATTCTAATATCACATGAGATGTCCAGAACTCACGGAATGATCATCTTACACGACGAACAAGTGATGTGAGACTTGAGCTTGAGACCTAAGACTGGTATTACATGAGATGTGAGATGTGCAGAATGATTATACCTAAGCCTATGATCAAGTGAGATGTGCAAAATTCACAGAATAATTATCTTATCTTACCTAAAAGGATCAAAGTATTAAGAAAATAGATCATTAATTCATTTATTTATCCACAAACGATAATGATCGTCGACAGACAAGCATGTCTCTGCTACCATTTGTCTATTAAATTGAAATTCATAGATGGATTATGATGGGAGATGGGTTCCCATTCTGACGACGATGCCGTCGATGTCTCGGACGTAGCCGACTCTCTGGCCCCATTCCTTGTCCTCCGGCGGGCTGACCGCCTCGGCGCCGTTGTCCAACGCCCTCTTGTAGGCGGCGTCGACATCGGCGTAGTCGAAGCACACCTCGACGGTGTTCCTCTCCGGCGTCCGGACTTTCCCGGTCAGCTCGTCGGTTTCGCGCTGCTCCCGCGGCGTGAAGGCTATGGTGGTGGCGCCGCTCTCCAGCTCCCCCCATCTGATCACATCAGATCATCAATCAGATGATAATAACAATTAATTAATTAATTAATTCAATAGACCTGCGGGAGTTGTCGATGCGGCGGAGTTTGTAGCCGAAGGCGTTGGCGTAGAAGGAGACGGACTTGGCGACGTCCTTCACGTACACTATTGTGTATGCAAACGTAGGAGGACCAACACTAGCCGCCATTACTGCTAATATTTATTTAATTACTGGTACTATATAGTTCTAGATCTATCTTTCTCTCTATCTGTGTCTTCTTCTGCAATTTAATTTGATGATCCGATGAACACATGCACATTATAAATAATGGGGGATGAGGAAGGAGGATTTGGTGTTGTGGAGGACACGTGTAGCTCATGCTGCTCAATACCCGCCACGTGGATCCTTCTCTGTCTAGAGTTCTATCCTTCGCCGTCAAGATATGCATGCATGCTTCCGTTAGTTTAGCTTCTCTGTGTTAATTGTGTTTGTTTGTGGGATTTTTATACTATTCCTACAAAAAAATTTCTCAAAAATATCAAAGTAAATATAACATCACATTAATTCTAATTTATATCATATTATATAACTATTTAAATATAAAACTGAAATTCTATGTGTTAGATTATGAAATATCACATCAATTCTATATATTATAATATAAAACTGAAATTCTCTATTTCAATCGTAAGAATACGCAGATAATATATAAATCATGTTTTGTTATTGAAAACTTTTTTTGTTAAATAATATATATTCGTTAGATAATATTTTTAGAGAAATATGTATAGTATTTTTGGCTTGAACGACCACAGCCTTAATCTTTTATTCAAATTTTTAACCTCGTTTGGTAGGGTGCATATCAGCTTCTATATACTTTTGATATTATTTTTAGTACCTCCAATATGCAATTATTATTGTATTATTATTTTTTTTTTATCGAAATATAATATCATATTAAATGTTTAGATAAAAATTTAAATTAAGAAAAGTACAAAATTATTAGTCATCAAGAATTCAACTTGTTAACCCATCTTAAAAGAGAATTGAATTGTAATTTTTTTAATCTATTAAAAAGGAGTATGTGTTAAAATAGATGACCTGTAGTGCAAATAAATATAATCATAATAACTTATTATTTTTTATCAATTTTATGTAAAGTGTATTATTTACCTTTTGAAGTAGAGTCAAAAAATAATATTTTATCGATAAATAAATTTGTATAAGAAGAAAATATATATATATATATGTGAAATATTGTTTAGGTTTAGTGTGGTAAAAGTGAAATGCTTGGTTGGGAGCACAGAGAATATAAAGCCAATCATATTTTAGCCATTTGCATCAAATTGGAAATGGACTATTTAGGTGTGACAAATTTTTAATTCGCTAAATTGCATCAAATTCTCTATATTTTTAAAATTGTGTCAAATTTTCTCGTGATTTCATAAACTTTGCGTCTAACCCCTTCAGCAATCCTTATTCAACGGTATTTGTTTTAAATGAGCTCAAACTGCGAATAAATTTTAAAATCTCAATTTCTAAACTCCTAAAATTACAAATAAATTTATTTTTTTATATATTTAGCCTAAAAAATAGTAAAAATAAACTCTTAAAATCTGAAAAAATAATTATTTTTGAGTATATTTATTATTTTTTGAGGGTAAATATAAAAAAAATAAATATATTTGCAGTTTGAATGCACAAAATTTATAAAACAACGAGGAGTTTGACGCAATTTTAAAAGTACGGAGAATTTGGTCCACAGTTTAGCCTTTTTAATTAGTTTCATAACTAAATCTCCAGTGAGCAACCCCCTAACCCTAAGTAAATAAATAGCATTTTGACAATTATATAGTTTTTAATTTTGAAAAGATTATATTCATAAAATAATGGAAGTGAAAGACTACAAAAATATTCGATAAATGAAAACTGTATTTATGAATTAGCATGTTGTTCTAAAACATAAATTATGTTTGCACTTCGAAACATTTATTATTATTATTATTATTATTATTGATTGATTGATTGTTAGCAAAATTAATATTTATATAATGTATAAGAATATTTATAATAATAATAATAATTATTATTATTATTATTATTCTTATTGTATTTTTTTAAGTTTATTTTATGAAGGGTAAATTAATGTTTATTTATTTTTGACTCGAACAAGTCTAATATCAAAATATAGAAATAAATCGATGTTGATTTTTTGAATGTATATATATATTTTTTTATAATATAAAAAATAAAAAATAAGTATTTAATTTGATGTATTTAAAGAAAAAAAATTGAATAAATGATAAATTTTTTTACCAAAATCCTTCAGAGCGTACACACCCTAACTAAATTGCTGAATATATTAGGATGTGTGTTTGTTTGAAGGATTGGTGTGAATTTTACTATTCACAAATATAAAATCAAACACCTATTTTTAATTTTTTATATCATACAGTTATTCATATTCAAATATTTTACCATTCAAAATCTCAATCCAAAATTCAAACTCCGAACAAACAAAACCTGTACCCTAAGAGAATAAAAACTGTTGCCTTTTGTCCTTCATTCTGAGATGAAAATGAGTAACAATGAGGAGTTGCTCGTTTGCTTCTTCTAGTTATTCACACTTTAGTTTGTATCATCATCAGATCAAATCATATCAGCAGCACAGCAAACTCACTCATGCTTATCACCAAACCCTTTGCCCTTTGCTATTAAATACTAGAGTATTATAACTTATTGCATCCTCAATAATCAATCGAACCTTAAGAGGAAACACAAGAGCCGTAGTAACTAGTGATTTAGTATACTCTAGCCTTGGGAGGGAACGATTCAACTTCGTCGTCGAGTGTGTTCATATGAACTGGCCTGTAATCTAGCCGAACCTTCTCCTCTTCCCAGTACCTGCAGTGCACTAATCATTTTAGTTATCCGTCAACTACATTGCATAATTGTTTTTACTAAATCAATCACATACCCTAGTGTGTGTTTCATCCACTTTGCATCATCTCGTTTCTGCAAAAACCAACATCAAGAAACCGAAAGGGGTCAGAAGTGGTTGAGCAGCCAAAAGTAGATGATCATGGAAATGGAAATGGAAATGGAAATGGATTTGGAACTAACCGTGAAATCTTCGCGTGCATGAGCTCCTCTACTTTCTTTCCTAGCTTCAGCAGAGTGCATTGTGATACATGCATTAATTAGAAGGTTCTCTAACTCGATTGTCTCTATCAAATCTGTGTTCCTGAAATTTTATAAAACAAGGGATTAAGTCGAACCGACTGCATTGGCATTCACACAATGATTGAAAAACAGGGATCTTGTTGATGAAGATACCATATCATACTCCTGTCCAACAATTTGACATCATGGAAACTTTCCCAGGTTTTGTCGATCAACTGGCAACCTTAATAAGATTAACCAAAAAGCCATATAAAGATGCAGCAATATATTGTTGGATAGGCTGGAAAAAGCAGACAAGAACAAAGACAGGGAAGATCTAATGTCAGTACCTTCCTCCAGTGTTTCCTGCGTTCGAAATACAGCAGCGTTGTTTTGCATTACCCGCTGCATGTTCAATCGGATGTCTGCTGTTGGAAGGGAGCCGTTTGAATTTCGAAGTTTGTCCAACCAAGCAATGGTTCTCTCTCCCGCATCCTTTTCCAGCGATTTTTGTTTCTCTCCTGAAATATAACATGCAAATATATCTCCAATTTGGACGGTATGCTATCCAATCATTACTAATGTTAAAAAAATGCCGGCTGCTTACCTGGCCTGTGGATCTCTGCAACTCTGTTTGCACAAGCCCTCCCAAAGACAACAATGTCAAGAAGTGAATTGGCTCCCAGTCTGTTGGCACCATGAACAGACGCACAAGCAGCTTCTCCAGCAGCGAATAGTCCAGGCACCACAGTATCAGGATCATCATTTTTTATGGTAACCACCTTAACAACAATAAATACAATATATATTTACAGAGTGTACGAGAGAGAGAGAAAGAAATCCATAAGTCTATAATATACAATTTGTAAAATATGTGCTTTCAGGTTACCTCTCCATGGTAATTTGTGGGAATTCCACCCATGTTGTAATGCACAGTTGGCAAAACTGGAATAGGCTCCTTGGTTACATCAACACCAGCAAAAATTGCTGCAGTTTCAGAAATGCCGGGAAGTCTCTCCTTGAGGACCTCAGGAGGTAAATGGTTCAAGTGGAGGTAGATGTGATCTTTCATGGGTCCTGATGAAAGCCAAAAATTCAGCACATGAAACAAGGGTTTGAATCAGTATCCGATCACTTCAATGAATATATCATGTTTACTTATTAACCAGGAACTTTGTTTTTTTAAAAATACTGGCGAGAAAAGTACACGTGACAAACAGCTCGGCAGATAAAATTGCTCCCAATGCAAAAGATTTTCACCATAGCATGTCTACTTGCACATAATGGTAGGCAATATCTTGTGCAGATTGCAATATTTCTGATATTCGCAATCAAAACTATGAATGCTTGCTTCCAACATAACACCGTCCAATTCTCACACGTTCTATTCATCCATCCATCCAAGAATCAAAATTTTGAAATAGAAAGGATAGAGGCGACAGACAGTACAAGAAGCGACCAATGCCAATGATGCAGGTACCAAAAACCACAGTCTAAGTAACAGCCCTCAACCCAAAATCTGGGATCATTATGTGGGAGCATACGCACACACATGAGAACCACTACTTTATAAAATTCGTAAGGAATTAGGTAGTGAAAAGAAAGCATCCCTAGAAGGGATATTTCATTAAGACTATCAGATGACCAACACAAGATTAACAGTGTTCTGTTAAGAAGTGTAAGGCAAGCTTTTCCAAAAAACTCTACTTTTATAAACCAAGAGAATTAAGTAATTGGTCGTCATAATGAGTTGATGTGGATGCCGACATGTGTTAACTAGTTCATAATCAAAACTCTGACCCAATTGCATCTGCCTCATTGTTAACAAAACTTACCAACACCACGCCCTTCTCGAATCTCCATGGTCATAGATCTTGATACAACATCTCTAGACGCAAGATCCTTTGCGGTTGGGGCATATCGTTCCATGAATCTTTCACCCTCACTATTTCTTAGAATTCCACCTTCACCACGGGATCCTGGCAAGATGACAATGAAAATAAACGAAGCTAAGAGCTGAGGGAAGAAAATAGAAACTGAATATTAAATGAAGGTCAAATAAGTAAACCTTCTGTAATGAGACATCCAGCACCATATATGCCTGTTGGATGGAATTGTACAAACTCAAGATCCTGCAAGAAGAATTAACATGATCTAAGTACTGGATATTCAATCCCAAGTTTATGATGTAAACTAACTGAGAGTACCTCAAGAGGAAGCCCTGCACGTGCCACCATGGCATTGCCATCACCAGTGCAAGTGTGAGCAGAAGTTGCAGAAAAGTATGCTCTACCATAACCCTGTAAGATAAGCCAAAACAAGCAACATATGTTGCACAGAGTGAGGATTTCACAACTATGTTTAATACAGAATATCCTTCAAGACAGATGATTACCCCAGTAGCAAGAATTGTTGAAGCAGCACGGAAACGATGTAAAGTGCCATCTTCCATATTTAAGGCAATAACACCTTGACAGCTACCTGACATCAACCAACACACACAGCTTAGTTAGCATATTGTATATGCCATCTTATCTGTATATCAAGAAGTAACAACAAGTTGACCATATTACAGGTGAGAAATGTTGGTTGGGAGTACATTTTTCTTGCAGTATCCAGTATCCCATATAATTAACAGAAAATAACTTGAGACTACATTAAAAATCCTGATTGCGAGAGATATCGAGTCCATTATTGTGTAGCATGGAAGAAACTGTTTAATGAGTGGACGCAAAATGCATATAGAGGAGAAAGGGCTAGGAAAACCTACCATCATTTCCCATGATTAAATCAAGAGCGAAGTATTCCACAAAAAATTGTGTATTATGCTTCATAGCCTGACCATACAGAGTGTGCAATAACGCGTGTCCAGTTCGATCAGCAGCACAAGCACAACGGTATGCTTGTCCACCTATAGAAGTATATTATCTCATCAAAATAATGGTAATAATAGTAATATCTAACAATAGTAATGATAATGTCACAAACAAAGGACTTTTGGTTTCCATGCTGAATCGCGTACCTTTTCCAAAATCTAAGCTTTGACCACCAAATGCACGTTGGTATATCTTACCCTCATCAGTCCGGGAGAATGGTAAACCATAATTTTCAAGTTCTATAACTGCTTTGGGGGCTTCTCTACACATGTATTGAATGGCATCTTGATCCCCTGTACAAACACAATATCGACACCCAATATAATAAAACCGAAATGAAACCCTACAATGTATTTGAAGTGAATTTCAACACCAATTGAGCATTTTTGTGTTAATGAGAAACTGCATCAGAACAAATAACAATAACACTAACAGTAACAAATAGATACTGAAGCTGGGATACAAAACTACATAATTAACTATCAACAATTGTACTTGAAATATTCTTTTAATGCTAGTATGCCCGAAGAATAGTCAAAACAATTTACTTCAGAAATAGATCAGTTGCCATTTTTCATCTGTTGCAGAACCATGCAGATTGATTTCATAAGCAAAGCATGACACACAGACACAGGCATGCAAACTAAAACCACATAAAGTGTCATATATTTGAACTACTTTACCTAGCCAATCGCTACCCTTTACTGTATCATACATATGCCACCTCCAATCATCCTCTGTCATATTTCCAAGTGCAGCATTTATCCCCCCCTGCATTGGAAAAACAGCAAAAAATTTGTTACTAAGATGACACCCATCAGAAAATTACAAATATCACAACTTATTGTCATAACCAACACAACACGTTAATGATTATAGTTGAAAATCAGATAAAATAGCAGCATTTAACCAGATATATAGGGATCCGCTGGGTTGCATTAATATCGAAGGTTTTAATTGAGAATGCACTTGAGCTTGGCAATCAAATCATTCCATCAAATGCAGGTCCACAAACTGTTTTAATTTATTGTATTCGGATTTGAATCAATTATTCTAAACTACATCTGGTGGAAAGTGAAAGTGAACATTCTGGAGGAAATGTCTCTAATACATACATAATCAAATTAACAATGCTATTCTTAAAATTTGCCACACCTTTCAATGTGCTCAGATACCTTACAGGTTTTGAAAGCAAAAATAAAACTCTTTGAGTCGATACATGAAGTGATTTCTAATAGTAATGAATAATGTTAATGAGAATTAGGTCCTCAGGTCATTAAAAATAGTTGACTGTACCTCGGTTTGTATACAAATTCAATTGTTAAAATATCTTGGTACTAAACAGGGAAGACTAGAAAGAGAAAAAAAAGCAAATGATCCACCTGATGAAATTAAAAAATAGATTTAAGCTGCACAAAATAGATTCAAAGAATCACATTCTGGGTGTGATCTTTTGTGTTTTTGTTTTTGTTTTGATGTTTTTGTCCGTAAGAGCAGTAGTAGGATGCTAGGACGTGATGTTTTATATTTAAATGAGTCATGGAGGCGATTTTTCTAGGGAATAAATACATGAAAAATAGACCAGTACAAAACTTATCCATATGCTACGCAGATCGTTATATACTCTCACCTAAGTGATAGATACAAGAAAATCAACAGAAGAAATCGAAGAAATAACACCTGTAGACTTTATTAAGTAGAACCAAAAGGAAAACAATTATCAAGGACAAATCTTGCACCAGAACAAACAAGTGATCACAGAAATATAGATGTATGAAGCTAAAAAGAACCAAAAATTACCTGCGCGGCAACGGTATGAGAACGAGTAGGAAATAGCTTGGTAATGCAAGCTGTATTGAATCCATGCTCCGACAACCCTATCGCGGCCCTGAGACCCGCGCCTCCAGCACCCACCACCAATGCATCGTAAGTATGATCCACCACTGTATACGATCCAGCCTATAGAAAAACAATAACCAAAACAATCAAACACAAACGAAAATAATCACCTAACCATATCCCGAACCCCGACTCATCCAGCAACAAGCTAAACTCAAATCCACCCAAAAAAAAAAGAAAAAAACTGAAAATCAGAAAATCAGCTCCAACACACGAAACCTAACCATGGATCAAAACATCACAAAAATAGAAAAAGACGAACCGATCGAGTTGAGAACAAGCGGCGAAGGGAGTGGGAGTCAGCAGAGCGCGAATAGTTGGAAGGAATGCGCAGGCCTCGCGACAAGCACCTCCACATCTCTACGCCTCTTCGTGTACGTGCAGCGACGGTGATCTACGGCTGGACTGATCCGCGTGAGCTTCGTCGATGGATTGAGGGAGAGGCACTGACGGTCGTGCAGAAAAGAAACGATTCTGCTGAAGACACACCATCTGTGTATATATATATACATACACAGACATGTATGAACACGTGCATTACTTTAATGCCTTGGGTAAATTTATTTATTCAGTACGAACCAATGAAATTAATTTACAAGTTAGTTTTGCATGAGACTGAAACTTCTGTGTATATGTAATTTAAAATATTATTATTATTTATTATAATTAAAAAAGCATATAGTAATAATTATAACGCTGATGAAAGGTAATGGCGGAGGATTGAACGCGCAGACAAATTTCCAGCCACGACGCAAGCCGTAGCCGGCTAAGCCACGTTGCCACCGGCTCAGCCGTGTTTCCGAAAAGGCTTGCTTCTCTGTTTAGAATTCTTTTTTTTTTTTTTTTCGTTTTTTATTAAATGGATTATATTTATATTAATAGAACAGAATATTAGGCATCATTTCCAAATAAATGAAACTCCCAATGCAAGGCTATTCTAATTTACTATTTTTCGTTACTACCTGTTTTATAAAACAAAACCAACATATTCGAACGTAGCATGAACTCATCAGATCAAGAACTCAAAACAGCATTGCAAACTGGGTTTCCATCATCAAAACAGTTTGATCAACTACAAGAACCGGCGGTTTCAAAATGACTTCCGGCTCGCCGTCGCATCATCGATCAACTTCAAGCTACCTATTACGAAATTCCAGCATCTGCTGAGGTAGAGTTTGATGCATTGCTCCCAAGGTATTAATGAAAATTGAGAGGGAAAATGTTGGGGGCAAAGATTACAAAACAATTTGACCTTCATCTATAAGGCAGGGAGTCGGGTTGAGTCGAGCGCAGCATTGCAAGAACCAGACATATTAGCTGTTTAGAGTGGACAGCATTCCTCCGGTTGCAGTCGGGATCACCACCTCCCAACCAGGTCCCTTTTGAGGAACAACATTTGGTTTCGTCTTGGCTGCCTTCTGGTCTTCTGTTAGATTAACCAGATCGCTACGGTCAAGAACTTTGTCTAGATCTTCATCGCTAATGTCTGTCTGAATCCATTTATCCTCTTCATCTTTATCGTCTTGAAGAAGAGCCAGCAGTTCCTCTTCCTAAAATAAGAGCACAATGACAGCAAAATATTGACATATATACACGCAAATATGACATTTATGGCGGGCTTGGGTCTAATACAATGCAAGGGAATAACAATTTTGATGTATACTAACAGTCATGACATCTGTTCCATCAGACTTGGATCTTTCCTGCTTGAACTGTCCCTTCCCAATCACCACGTGTTCCAACTTCAACTTGCTAAAAGCTCTTCTCAGAATTCGACCCTAGAAAAATTTAAAATATGACTTTTGCCATTGATGACAGCAAATGGAGGAGGGAAAGGTGAGAAGAACATTGAATACCTCAATAGATTGAGCAGTGGCCAGTCGATATACATGAACAGGTTTTGTTTGACCGATTCTGTGGCATCGATCCATTGCCTGTAAATCCATCTGGGGATTCTGGAATGCAATTGCAACTTCCTTAATTCCTCTTATAAAAAGATTCACAAGCCTACCCAGAAATATACATAGATACAATGTGCTCCAAGAAGTTGCTAAGTGATGATGGTAAGAATGTCGAATTAGGTACCCAATCACTGTCGTATAAAATGCAGGTATCCGCTGCAGTGAGATTAATACCCAGACCTCCTGCCCTGGTGCTTAGGAGAAAGATTCGAACATTACTGTCCACGTCATTGAATTCCTCAATCTGTGGTTTCACCAAAGTAAAACAATAACCAGTTCACCATCAATAAGAGGTTATGATTATTTAGCTTAGCTGTAGGTCAATACTAATCGATAATCAATTAATCCAAATTTTTTTTTGAAAAAAAAAAAAAAAAGTGTGATCCAAATCAATCATTTGGTAACTCAGGCATCACAAGAATTTGATTGTAATTCATAGAAATAGTGCTAAAAACATTTAATTAGTGATTTCAGCCATGCTTGCCAGATATAACTCATGAACAGAAATAGTGAGAACAGTGCATGGAGCCAAAAACAACCAACTAAGAGTCCAAGACTAATGTGAATGTGAATGCAACCAGAGGACAAACAACTATTTCTCATCCGAAAAACAGTATCGCCTGAGAAAATTTACAAGAAAAGTGAAACAAGAGCACAAAAAATAAAGAAACTAGCAATTATTAAAGATGCTTCCCACAAGAAGAAAAAAGAGAAACAAACAATAAAGAATTGAATGATAGAATATAAAGACAGTGGAAACAACAATACTTGTCTCCTTCGATCTTCCAATTTAACATTGCCATCAATTCTGCAGACTTCAAAACCTTTTTCGCTGAAATAGTAATCCATTATGTCCAAGATCTTACACCATTGAGAAAATATCAAAACCTGTCATTCCAAAACAAAAGTCCATATGAAAAATCAAACAAAACAAAAATTCAAACTCTCGTGTTTATCTCCACACAACAAAAGAAACAAGCTTGAAATACTTTGTGCTTGAGGGCAAATAATTTGGACAATAATCTGTCCAAGAGCCGAAACTTGCCACACTGCTCCACTATCTGTTCTACAGGAGGATAAGTATCTGCCAGAATAAGGATTGAATTAGATCCTTGGGAAGAATGGTGTTAAAATTTAAATTATTTTCAAAAGTATAAACATACAGGAACCATCAAATACAGACTCCAACAAGTCAGGATGGTTGCAGTTCTTTCTAAGCTGAATCATCAAATTATTGAGCTTCCCTTTCATGCCATAGGCTGCAAATCAATAAAATCACTCATTCAGGTCAATTGTCTTGGTATCACTTTGATGAAACTAGACTAGTTAGCTAACAGCACTGCAGATAGCATCAAAGACATACAAAAACAGAGGCACAGAAAACATGCTATAAATAAATAAAAAGATGAAAAGATACCATATTACAAAATAAAAGTTTATTGAGATTCAAGTTACTTTGACAATATATATATATATCACCACAACAAGAGTAACACAAGCCAATGTAAATTTGCTATTTACATAACATGGTGTAAGAACAAGACAGTTCTGGCAAAAAATTTATACCAAACTCTGAAATTAGAAAATATCCTGTTCATCCACCAATTCATGGTGTCATTATATTCAAGTAATTCTAAGAATCACGAAAGATTAAATACCACAAGTAGAAGATTGTAACAACACACCTAATTAGTTTTGATTAAATTCATGTAATTGAAGGCGTTCTTTTCATTTATACCTAGGCAACAGTGCATCAATCACAAATTACGAAAAAATAATATCTTAGATCATTGTTAGATGTATTCTAAATAACCAAGCCAAGCCACTCATCCTTTATTCTGAATTATTTATTCAAAACCTAAACATTAATTAAGTTTAACAATGATAAACATAAAGTCAAGTTGAATCATCATTACCAAACTGTGTCTTCTCTCTGAGGTGACCTTCCAATGTTCTATTAATGAGATGATCCTGGAAATCTTTTTGGCAGGTAGTCATTGTAGCATAGAGAATAATCTCTTTCTTCCGAGGAAGCAACTGTTCCACATCTTCTTTCATTCTACGTAAAAGAAATGGACGCAAAATAGCATGGAGTTTGGCCACAACCTGCAAATAATGAAAGCTTTTAAGTATGAAAATAAACACAAAAAATTCAATTCATGGTCAGATGCACACCTGCGCCTTTCTTTTCTCTTCTATTTCTTCCTTTAGGTCTTCACTAGTGGACCTTCCTGAAAAGTTGAACCTGGAAGATGCAACACACATATATGGAAAATAATAGCTTTATATTTAGTACAATCAATATTGACACTACTTATAGCTCAGATAAAAAGCATATCTATATAAGTTTCAGAGAAATTCAACACAGTGCTGCATTTTCATTTTCATCTTTTCAGCCACAATGCAACACTCTGATTTGCAATGAAATTGATTACTACCACTATACAGAGTAGAATAAAACTAATATCTCCAACCATGCAAGTCAATTAAAACATCTTTGGAATTATTGTCAGTATTAAAGAAACTAATTTTATCAAATTGATTCAATGTTGATGGAGTATCTGAAACACGGATTTGAAGGTAAAATAACGAATGAAAGTTTTAACAGAAAGAAGCTTATTACCATGATTCGAACTCTTCATGAGAGGAAAATATATCAGGAAGAATGAAATTCAGCAACGACCATAGCTCCGCTAAGTTGTTTTGCAGAGGTGTTCCAGTCAAGAGAAGCTTGTTCTCCACCGGTATGAATTTCAGTTCTTTCACCAATTTACATTTAGAGTTCTTTAACCTGTGTCCCTGTAGTGTATTGCATCATATAAATATAGCAATCGATTCTCAAAAGTAGGTATAACGTGAACACACAAGTATACCTCATCAACTACCAAGTACTTCCAGCTGTAGTGCCTCAATGTTCGTTTTGCATCCCTTAGAGCCACTTCATAAGAAGTAAGGACAATTGGGAACTTAGGACCTATAGTCCGAGGCATGTGCTTTCTTATAATTTCTTCCCTTTCTGTCTTATCTCCATGGTATAAGACAACATCCATAGATGGCACAAACCTAGAAAAATGGAAATGAACAGTTATCCTGTGTCACAGTCATATTATTATATGCAGAGAAAGCAAATTGAAAGAAAAGTCTTTCACCAACACAAATACCAAATATATATCAAGATATATACCTGCGTATTTCATTCACCCAATTTGATAGTGTGGAAAGTGGCGCAATAATCAAATAAGGACCATGCAATCCATTTCCTTTTAGATGGGCAAGGAATGCAATGGTTTGAATTGTTTTTCCAAGACCCATTTGATCAGCAAGAATTCCATTCAGTCCATTCTGCCACAACGAGATCATCCATTTTACACCTTTAATTTGGTATGACTTCAACTTCCCACCAGTCAACAAGGGTACCAGTTCAGCTTGCTCTTTCTCATCTTTCTCTTCAGCTGTAAGAGCAGAATCTTCTACAGAATCACCGTCTTTGGATCTGGTGAGCATGGCTGCAACAGCTCTTTTGGCTTTCCTCTACAAATGGATACAAGATGTTTCAATAAGGACAGAAATGTTCAGATTCGATAAAGCATAACAGCACACATTGAGACATTACATCAATAGGCAATTAGGGTAATCAAAATTCAATTACTCGAAACTACAAAAAGATAAGAAGTAAAGATCAACACACTTACATCATTGTAACTTGAACCGGCCTTTCGTTTGGAACCTCTACCTTTCTTGCCTCCTGTAGTGGGTTTCGTGTCATCCTCCAACCGACTCTAAGAGATTGAAAACAGATTACATTAGCTACTACTATATCATTCCAAAAGACTCAATGCTTCAACATTGAAAGAAACCTTTGTAATATCATCCATCTTTTCTAGCAGAAACTCCGAGAAAAGTTGAGTCTGTGTTAAAAGTTCATCCAGTTTACGGAACTGAATATCACTCAAATGAGGTTCTTCCTTTGGCTCATCTGCTGTCTCCTCCTCTTCCATCAGCGGCTCTTCCTTAAGATTCTTTTCTTTACATACCTCTGATTCAACATTAATGTTCTCCTTGCAATTCTTCATCACAAAATCACAAGAGAAATATAGAAATGAAAAATAATATCAGCAAACGGCAAACAGCAATCTACATTAGAAATAACCAATGAGAATAGCTCAATTGGCAAAAGATGTAGTGTCATAACACAGCAAAAATGGTTCTCCATTTTCCCCGGAAGAGCCGTCAATTATTCAAAAGTAAAGATCGTGTTACAAAAACGCCCAAAAAAAGGGTCTGCAGTGAGATTTGTCTTTTCAGAGAAAATACTAAAAAAAAAAAAAAAGAAGCTAAACTTGCTGTAGCTGTACCTCGTCCTCGAGCACAGAGGTAGGAGAATCTGCCACAGTTTCGCTCTTCACTTCGTTATCCGCCATCGTACCTCTTCAAGTTCAAACCCTAAAGCCCAAAAATATTAAACCAAAAACTTCGCAGAGCATTAATCAAGCAAGAAAAAAATCTTCCCCAAGCACTTCATCTACATATATTTAAAAAAAAAAAAAAAAAAGAGCAAACAAACAGTTCCAAAACCACCAACAAAAACAACCGATCAAACCTTACCCACGAAATTCAACCGCTCGCTCAATATCCGAAAAATGTGGGACTATAACCAGTTACCACGAAGTTTGAGGCACCGTACGACCTTTTTCCGCTCCTTGCTCCCGGGCTAGCTTCGTCAGAGGAAGGCAAACCAGAGAGAATGGAGGCGGGGAAAATGAACAGCGATGTGGGAAAAGGAAGTACGAAATACTGTGAATGACAGGATTTGAACGCTCACAATGTATGGGAGGCGAGCCGAGGGTAGGCTAGGCTAGGCTAGGTGCCGAGCGGGAAACATACGTCTTTTAAGTTGCCCTCATAATTAAGGTTTATTTCTAAAATGCCACTCAAAGACAGCTTTTTGAATTCCATACTTTGCACGCTGCCCTATAAATCGTGCACACGTTTTATTTTATCATTATTTTACTCCCTGCATTTCATATTTTATGTTTAATTTTAAAAATTAATTATTTTTTTTGGCCGATAAAATTAGAAATTAAAAAAATAAATATTTTATTAAAAATACGATGAAAGTAAAATGATATTTAAGAGTATTTTAAAATTTTAATTAGAATTGAAAAAAATGAAAAAAGATAATGTAATAGTTATTGTTGTAAATAAATATCGAATAAAAATAATAGTTAAATATTAATTTATTAATAATTAAAAAAAATAATAGTAGTAAATTTGATATAGAATGAAGTATTATATAATATAATTAATTATAAATTAATATTAAAATAAATAATTATTTAATTAAAATTAAAATATTATTAATTATAAATTTTAAAATATGACAAAGTTTATAAATATTGTTCCTTTAAAAAACAAACATAGAAATAATGAATAAATAAGATGAGACTAAAAAAATTGTTTTTTTAGTATTTTTTAACGTATTTTTTTTTAAATATTAATATTAGTATATTATACATATTCATTATTTTTATATTATTTATACAATTCTCTATAATTTATATAAAAAAAAATATTTTTTTAAAATTATTTCTCAAAACAACAACTATATGTACTAATAATTACAATGGGATACTCGTAGAGGATGGACACTTTCAAATTTTACTTGCCGTGAATGTATAATACAAAGTTTTATATAAGTAAAAAATAGTAAAATATCTTAAATAGTATTTTCTTTTAATAAAATAAATAATTTATTAACCATTTATTTAATTATTTTTTGGAGCTGAGTTGTTCTCTAGTAAAATTATTTAAAGAGATTTTTTTTATTTAAGATATAGAAAATTGTGTAAATAATATAAAAATAATAATTGTGTGTAATATATTAATTATTTTTAAAAAAAATTAAATTGGTGGAAGAATACACCCCTAAATTTTTAAAATAAAATATAAAATAAATAATCAATCAATTATTTATTTATTTTATTTAAATAAGGCTAGTTTGAATATTTTTTATTTATATAGAATTTGGGTAATTATGTCTATTTACAACTTTAGAGGAAAAATGTTGTGTTTATTTTAATTTAACACATGAAAAAAATACATAATAACTAAAACACGAAGTATTTGATGTATTTATTGTAAAAATAAAGGTGCTTCATCTGTTCGTCTTTAAAGGTTATATTTAACTTTTGCGTCGTTATATTTAATATTAAAAATATCTTTATATTATTTGCTACTGTATAAATTTGTCTATTTTATTGTTGTTGGATAATTTGTCTTGTTGTTACGAAATTTGTTTGGTCTTGTTGCGGTGTTACGAATTATATATTGAGTATTGTATTAGTAATTTATTAATAGTAACACACCTTGGAGAGAATTCAGTTGTTGGTTGGCCAACTTGTTTGAACGATTAAAATCTGTTATGCCATATATATTGTATTTGAAATCTCCTTCTTTTTTATTTTTTATTTTTTTATGACGTGGGAATCTGCATCCGCTGTCCGAAAATACGCACTGGGTAAACCCCCGGTCGAACCTAATACTCTGAAAACCAGGCTCGACAGAAAAGGCACACTAGGTGAATCATGTATGGCAGGTGACCTAAGGCGTCGTGGGTTTGATTAATAGAACTTTGTTGTTTTTGTCTGTTTTTATGTAAATTTATTATGAATCGTGTAAATTGTATTTATCTAAATATGCATAGAATTGGGGCAGCAACATGATTGTTCTATTCTACCAAATAATACATTCAACTCTAATTTGGCACGATTGGCCTGATGACCGATCGGTTGCCCCGTCCGAACCGCAGCTCATGCGGATGAGCCAAGCCGGTTAGGCCCTCTAGCTTTTCTCCACGGGTTGAAGTGGTCGAGCCGTATGGTCCAACACTCCAAAATAATATTTTGAGGATAACAATCCATTAACATATATAACAAAACAATGTTTAGGATTTAAATTATGTATCGAGACGTAAAATAAGATAATTCGACATAAATCTTGATTATTCTTGTCGTCATTTTATTTTACAACTTATTGTTATTAATTTCTAATTTTGCCCTGATAGAAGCATGCTACTTGTTAACACGTGCTACACCTTGTCCTCACTCTTCGCTTTTCCTTAGATTCTTCACTATTGAAACGTCGTCTAAGGCATCGACTATCTGCAAAAATAAAAAATTATATATATCAATATCATTTTAAAAAATAAAAAATTAGATTATTTATTGTAAATTTGTTGAAGAACATCTTTAAATTTATTTAAAATAAAATAGTTTTGTTTGGGGGATTTTTCCCCAAATACACTATTCATTCAATTTATTTCTCTAAAAAAATATCAAATCAAATACCTATTTTTTATTTTTTATATTATACTAAAAATTAATTTTACATTAAAAACATTACATCAACACCTGTTTATATCACATCATACAACTATTCAAATTTAAAATTTTTACTATTCAAATCCCAACTCAAAATCCAAACTCTCAGACAAACACACCCTAAAGTTTGCATGACAAGCATAATGTGTAATTTGGCCATTTGTTACCCTCATAATTTACTATTCAAGCATAATGTGTAATTTGGCCATTTGTTACCCTCGTAATTTACTATTAAAATACACTTCTTCCGTACTAATTTAAATGTACTCTTTGAAGTTTTGTAATATACTAAAAAAATAATATTATTTTATTAGTTAGTGAAAATATGTAAGAAATTTTGATATTTTTGCTTTTTTACTTTATAATTGTATATTTGTAATTTAAGTAAAATAAATGTATTTTAGTATTATTAGAATATAATTATTTTTTAAAAAAAATATAAAAATATTACTTTTGAATGAAATTGACGAAAATAGTAAAAAATATACTTTGAATTGAGACGGAAAAGTATAATTGTGTTTCACAAATATAACATCCAAATTATAATTAATATATATATATACATATATACATATCAACTAAACACACTAAGGGTGTGTTTTTGAATAGTAAGCCCCAGCCGGTAAGTCACATTAGGTGTGAGGTTTGAACCCATGACCTCATGGGTCACAAGTTCAACCCCACACTATCGGGCCATTCCTTACGGGACATGAAATATGAGTTTTTGATTTGATATTTTTGAGGAAAAAAATTTGTATGAACAGTAGAAATCTATCAAAATCTACCAAACAAGTCTACAATTAAGGATTAGAATTAGAATGTTAGGATCGAGATTATATTTAGCAAAAAGCAACAATAATAATAATAATAATAATAATAATAATAATAATAATAATAATAATAATATGTGGATTAAATTAATTAAATATATAAATAACCTGGGTCATTTTAGGGCGCCGTTTGTCGGAATGATGTATACAAGCTGCAGCGCATGTAGCCATGACCTCCAACTCATGCACATTGTAATTGCTTCCCACTCTTGAATCTATCATCTCATCAAAATCCTTCTCCTCCAATGCTTTTACTAAAATTGGCCTCGCCTAACATTATTTCATTAATAATTTCATTTTTGTCATCGTTTTATTTATATATATATATATATATATGTATGTATACATACCCATTCGACTAGGTAATTGCCGTCGGAGTCCACAGCTCTCCGGCCAGTTATAAGCTCCAAAAGAACAACTCCGAACGAGAAAACATCGGATTCCTTTGTTAGTTTTCCACCACCCGCGCGCTCGGGAGCCAAATACCTGTTAATAATAATAATTCATGTTTAATTTTATTTTTATTAAAATATTTTAGATATTAAATTTTATATTTACTAAATTTATATTTATATTTGATTTTACTTAGATTTATATTACCCAATATATCAATAAAATAATTTTCTTATTTTTTCTCAAAATTTCTAACAATTTTATTTTATTTTTTTAAAGTGATAATATTCTCAAATTTTGTATTTTTCTAATTTTAATTTGCAATTATGCTCATAAATTATACACTGTATTAAATATTTATGATACTGTAGCTGTACTAGATTGTAGGTTTCCTTAAATTTTAATGATTATTTTTTAACTTTTATTAAAAATTATTTAATCAAATAGTATTGTTTTTATTATTATATCAAAAAATAATTTTATATTTAAAATATTACATTAACCTTTATTTAAATTATACTATTTAATAACTTACCCAGATGTTCCCATGGTATCTGCTGACAAAAGCTTAGCCAGACCAAAGTCTCCTACCTAAGTACATAAAAAATTCAAAATTAAATGTTACAACATATAAATTAATAACATGCACTGGTATATACTTAAATTGAAATATTTGGTACTTCACTTTTATATTAACATACCATAGCTTCAAAATCACCGTCAAGAAAGATATTCGTAGCTTTAACATCACCGTGAATTATTGCAGGATGACCTGTAATAATATAAAATTCAGTACAGTAACTATCGTTCGAAAATAAACATATTTTTAAACATTATAATTTACATATACGATGTAGGTAGGCAAGCCCTTTAGCCAATCCCGCCGCTACACGAACTTTCTTCGTCCAATCCATCGGCGGTTGTCCTTTTTCTGCATCGTATGAAAATAACAAAATTATACATTATTTGATTTTTCAAATTTTATACTTAAATATATAAATAAAAAAATTTAAATGATAAGTATCGAAAATATTACCATGTAGATGACATTCAAGATTATTGTTCGGAATAAAATGGTAGACAAGCATTTTTTGGCCATTTCCGATGCAATAGCCAACGAGGGACACAATGTGCCGGTGATGGGCGCTGCCGATATTTTCCACCTCCGATTGGAATTCCCGGTCGCCACCGTCGCCGGAGTTGAGCCTCTTCACCGCCACCTCCCTCAAGCTCCCATCGGACAATATGCCTTTGTACACGTCCCCGAACATGCCCTGTCCTAACAAATTTAACTCGGAGAATCCGTTTGTCGCTATCGCCAACTCCTCGTAGGTGAATTGCCGCACAGGCTGCTTCGGTGAATGGCCGGAGAAGCTCGATGACAGGCTGATAAGGCTTCCAGGGGATGGCGGGGAGCTTGTCATTGGTTCCGATGGCTCCGGACTATTTTTTCCCGGTTCATTCCATCGGCTGTCGCCTATTTGAATTTATAATATGAATTTAAGGGTGTGTTCGTTCCAAAGATTTTTTTCAAAATTTATTATTCATCAATTTATTCTTTTATAAAAAATATTAAATCAAACGTCTATTTTATATTTTTATATTATACTAAAAATTAATTTTATATTCAAAACATCACATTAATACATATTTATATCACATCATATAACTACTCAAATTCAAAATTATTACTATTTAAATCCAACTGTCAAAAAATAATAGTATATTATACCCGTATGTCCTACTCTCAGAGTCTCATTTATGTTTTTGCATTATTGTGCTTAACATTAAAAATATTCTTATTATATAATTTTTTTTGCAAAATTATCATTATAATAGTGTTTTTTTTCTTCTTATTTTGTATTAAGTTTTCATATAATAATTAACATTCAAAAGTAAATTGGACATTTAGAACTGAATGGGATGGGGTAGAAAAAAATATGTATTTGATGTGGTATTAATAATTGAAAATATAAAATTTAGAATGGACCTTTGGGAGGGCGTTCTGGATCTAGGTAATGAGGCGGTACGTCGTCGTTTTGACTCCAGCTTCTTCTTCTGTACATGAACAACCAGAAAAGGCAAGCGGCGACGGCGGCAACCACCGCTGCGCCGCCAACAATTCCGGCGATTATGGCCGCGCCGGTATTTGGCACGTGCGTGCGCGGCGGCGGGGGTGGGGATTCCGGTTGGGGAGCATTTTCTGACGGCGAGTTGCACTTAACTGACGACGGAGAAGGATCTGCCAAAGCGAAGGAAAATTTGATCGGCGAAGAGGCTGCCGGAGAATAATTGGAAGACGGTGTGATTTCAGGAGAATAAGGAACCGCCATTCATGGATTGGCGCCGCTCAGATGGAGGACGGAACGACGCCGTAGCCGTAACCGGTGCCCTACGTATTCCGATTGTTTAGTGCTCTCTGTTGTCCAATTCAGGGAAAAAAGGAGTAATTACGATGCGGAGAAGACGACCATGGCCGCCGTTCCCTGCAAAATCAAACAACAGATTGATCACGTGGAAGAAACACAATGGTGATGAGGATGATGGAGAATTGAAGAATGAAATGCGTAAATGCGTACCCTGCGATCGAAATTGCAAAAAGGATGGTGCGTCTGGGAGCCATTAAAATTTTTACCAATTAACGTGAGGCTGGCTCTATGGCTCTTTCGTTGCTTTATACCAAGTGGAAAAAATTAATTTGGATTTTGATATTAAAATAAATACTAATATATAATGAAATATTTTATTTTTTTCAGAAAAAAAACAAAAAATCAGATTAAAATTTTAGAAAATTTGTGTTAAAGTAGTTTGCAATGTGAAAGCCCGACATAATTTTATCATCTTCTTTTCTTTTTTCTTTTTTATTTAAACAAAATTAATTGAAATTAATTAAATAAACCAATAAATATATTTATAAAATAAAACATATATCTTTAAAAAATTAACAGTATACTTTGCCAAATCTCGTCTCATCTTTGAAAATAGGATATTATGATTATTATTATTATTATTATTATTAATGTCATCTTCTTAAAATTAACTAGGGGGACCACTTGATAGCCTCCGAATTCCGATTCACAAAAAGCGTTACTCAGAGGCACAAGAAAGCGCTACTAAGAGTAGTGACGACATCCAAAAATTGCTTGCCTTCCATCCCAAAACAAGAAACGTCGCCGTTTAACCATGCATCGCATCAATACAATGGACTCAGCCACTTGTTCGCTCACTCACAATGAAAGGCTCAGTCGGCTGGCGGCTAGCCCAGCCACCTGCAAAACCCACACTAATAAAATCAATGCGTAAATAGTAAATAAAAGACCCAAAATAGCAAGGCAAGGCAATCCATGCAATCACCAAATAAATAAATAAATAAACAAACAAATTAGAATAATATACTGGCATATAAGATGATAGATAAGTTGGTGAGTGAGGGCGCGAGTTGAACCAACCAACCAACCAACCAACTCGACTCGACTCACAACACAACTGCCATTTGAAAATCACAGAAAGACAGACCAGACCATATATATAGCGGGAAATGTAACTAAGATAACTAACTTTTAAACATTTTTGTACTGTCCCATCTCTCACACACCACATAATCAGTCAAGTCAGGCTATTTCCCTCCAAAACACAAACACCCCACCCAAACTAATTATTTTTTAAACTCTTCCCTTTTCATTTCTTTCCCACCATTTTTGTTTTCAGAATGGAATCGAATGGAATCGAATCGAAACTACTTTACCACTGGCGCCATAGTTTCTTCTTCTCTTTTTTTTGTTCCTACTGCCGCTTTGAGGATTTGTTGTTCTGCACAATGTCTTCTTCATCGCTGTTACCATCCTCGTCGTCATCGTCATCGTCGCTGTTGCTTCTTTTTCTCTTGTTGGAAGAAGATGGAAGCACTTCCTGGACTTCACCATCTTCATCATCTTCGTCTTCGTCCTCGCCTTCGATGTCTTCTTCCTCGAGTTCGGGATCTTCACCTTCGCCCATGTCACTACCTACCAATTCTGGTTCTGGGCGTCTCACCGGCTGAACCAGGTACTCAGAGCCACCGAATTCATCTTCCTGGAGTTAATTGAGTAAAAAATTAGCAAGACATGGAATAATTTCAAATACTCTAACTATATCAACAAACTTCATGCAAAAAAAGAAAATAAATTCAATCTACCAAAGCTCTAGAAAATAAATTCAATGGAAGACATAATAAACATGAGGCTTCTACATTTGAAAGCAGACAGACCATGAATAAGCAGAAAAATCTGAGTAATCCAACCACTAACAAGGAGGATTTTAGCCATAACAAAACTGATAAAACATATAAATAAGTTAGCACATTCCTGAACCATATAATTAACAGTTGAACCCTAAATCACAGAGCCAATAAATACAAGAAAATCTACTATTTTTAAACCTCATAGTCACAAAAATAGGAAAGTTGACTAAATTTCAGTATCAGCAAAAGAGTGGTAACAATTGTCTCATTCAAGAGAAAACACATATTCAAAAGCTTGAATCTCATTGACTTTTACATAAATAACAAGGGATTATAAAGCAGATGAGCATTACCAAAAAATAGAAATATTTTTTGCCACGTACTACTGAGGAAAATAAATAAACTTCTATTAATAATTCATTTTCTGGTTAGGGGAAAAACACAAAAAAACATAACACCAGCAGCTCATTAAAAATGCCGGGCTTTGAAACATGGCTGTTCTTGTTTCAAAGTAAAAAACTTCAGTAATCCACACACCAGATCAATTGCAACCATGAAAAATTGGTATACATAAACAGCAGACAAAATAACTCAACCAGTCAACCAAGGAGCAAGATAATTCACTTGAAACAGGTGCAGTCACAAAAAAATCATCAAAGAATTCAATACTTCAGTATACCAATTAAAAACGTTAAACTAGAAAACACAATTCAAAATTTTATGACTTATGAAACCTGAAGCACGTGAAAAATCAAGAACAAACAACTAGAACACAAAATAAACTCTTAGTATACCAAAAATACCATACCATGTATAGCTATATTAAAAAAATTTGTCAAAAAAAGGATCAGATATTCAATTATCAAACAAGAAACCATATAAAAGCACATTTTGGACAAAAAATCAGATACTTCACAAGTGATGTTTTGTTGTTTCAAACGCATGTGGATTATCACCTCATCCTCAGCCCTTTCATCGTCCTCAAATTCAGCATCCTCCTCAACAGCCTGTTCCTCTTCCCCCGTCTCCCCATCATCATCCTCATCCGCATCATCCTCTCCCTGTTCGTGACCATCAATTTCTCCCTCCGTGCTAGGCAACTTCCCTGCACTTCCAGGCTCCTCAAAATCCCTCTCATCATTGTCCACCTCTTCTTCCTCCTCATCCTCATCATCATCCACGTCATCGTCATCATCCAACCCATCTTCCCCATCATCACTATCGTTAATCTCATGAACTTCCACCACGTCTTCGTCTACTTCATCGACTAAATCATCCTCTTCTTCCCCATCGTCATCATCATCCTCTTCTCCATCATCTTCATCCTCCTCTCCACCAACAGGCTCCACTCTAAATCCGTTAGAATGGTGATGGGAATTGCCACTGGTGGCTATCCCATTAACTCCTCGGGAAATCTCTGGTTCTTTCTCATTGGCATCGCTCTCCTCATCATCATCAACGTCCACAACTCCCTCGCTACCTGCTCGCTCCCAGTTATTCGGCCTTGACAAATGATCCTCACCGTCGATCTCTCCACTCTCCGGATCCTCCTCCTCCTCCTCCTCATCTTCCTCATCGTCATCCGATTCCAGCCTCTCGTTCTCCTCCGCGTCCATCTTATCCAAATATTTCAACGATCCAATCAAGCCGAACACACGAGATCGATAGTCCTTAACTCGCGTAACCGGACACTCGTAGAGATCTAGAGACACCAATCGCAGCTGCGCCAATGGTCTCAAGTCGTCAATCTCCGAAATACGGTTATTCGATAAATCAAGGTCCCGCAGCGATTCAAGCCCCGCCTCGACCAAATATTCAAGCCCTCCGGTGATCCTGTTGTCCGACAGGTTAAGCTTCTGCAAATTACGGAGGCGAGGGAACTGCTCCAGCGACGATACACCGATATTGGCCATCGACAGATGCTGCAAATTTTTAAACTTCTCGAAAATCGACGGCTGAGGCAAACGGCCATGGACGCACTTCACCATGCTGTCAAGCGTCAACGTCCGGACCAAATCGGCGTTGGTCTGGCCATCCAATGCCGTCTCCACCGCCCTCTCCCAGATCTCATCCATCACTCCCCAAACTCTTTCCCCCTAACCAACACGCATACAAATACCTACACAATCAACGCCTTCACCGACAAAATTCGTCAAGGAAACGCTTAAAACCCTAGAAACAGGATGCTTATCCCCTCTCTCCCACGTTCTCTCTCTACAAAAGCTCTGCCTCTCTCGCTATACATACCAGAGGTGAGTCACGGTCGAGTTAGATGAGTTAGGGTTGAGTTATGTTTGACCGCGGTAGGGTTAGATTGACGGAGGAGATAAAGCGTGATCCTCGATCAAGCAATCCACAGCCGTTCGATCACAACCTCACGGATCGATGACGTGGATTGGAAACGAAGGGCTGAGATTGATGGATGGTGTGTTTGTTTGAAACAAGGAATGGAAACACTAAGAGAGAGAAACAAATGCTCTTAGCTGGATTTATTTATATATATATTAGCGGGAAAACACGTGCTATGCGCACGATACATTAACGAGTGGGTAATTAAAAGTAGTAAAATTATATTTTTACCTTTGTTTTTTTTATGTAAAAGTGATGATGTGATGTAAACTAAGGGTATTTGTGAAAAAAAGTGAGGTATTTAATGAAATATTTATTTTGTAATTGAACATCCCAAAATAAAAATATGTATACTTTCTAACTGGACGGAGAGAGTATTTGCTTGTAAATTTTTACAAATTTTTAATTATTCCTACAGATTAATATAAACTAGCGGGAGACCCATGCTACGCACGGTGAAATCGATAAAAAAAAAAATGTAAATACTGTATATTAATTTTTACAATTTATTTTAAAATATATTATTAAAATTATTTTTATTAGATTTTATGTTTATTTTTCATGTATTTTAATATTTTGATAAGTTTAAGAATATTAAATTTTTATAAAAGATAATAATTAAATAAATAACAATGGCTAAATATTTTTAAAAAGACAATATTAATTTATTTTTTTTTTCGGTTGTCATCTAAATTTATTTCGATTCATTGTTTAATAAAAAAATAGCAATTTTTTTTTTTACTTTTTCTGTATCCTAAAAAGTATAAAATATTATTTTTATATATATTTTAAAAAATTTGTACTTGGTCAAATGAACATACAATTGAATAACACATGAAGTATTATTTAATCATAAATTATAAAAACTAAATATCTAATAATAAAAAATTATGATTTATTTTATATATTTGAAATAAAATATATAATATAACTAAAATAATACTATAATATTATAATAATATTTAATATAAAATAAATAGATATTCAATATAATATTTTAAATTAAAATAAAAATTCTTCATTCTATTTAAATAATTCTATTTTTTATTCATTTAATTTTCTTACACCATTCTCAATATATTATTTTTTTACAAAAATTAATATTTAATATAAAATATTATTATTTATATTAATTATACAATTATTTATATTTCATATAAAATAATTTTAGATCAAAAAACTAAACAAACAAACCTAATAATAATAAACAACTCATATAGATCAAATAAAATTAGAAATTTATTTCATTTGGTTTCATACTTTAAAGGAACAAAACATTGTGTTAATACAATATCTAATTTAAAATTAATTTTCTATATTTTTTTGAGTAATTTTATTAATTTATGGGACTTTGTCATTCAAAAAAAAAATTCAAAGTATCTATTTTTTATTTTAGTAAAAATAATTATATACCAATACCAAAATAAATGTCATTATAATTATTTACTAATTTTTATTTCCTTATTTTTTTATGAATTATAATTAGTAAATAGCTAAGAAGTTTATTATTTTTAGATTATTATTAAAATAAATAATAATTTCATTAAAATTTAAAAATTATAAATTATTAAATTTAAAAATATAATTATATTTTTTTAAATGACAAATTATATGTAACAGACAAAATAAAAAGTACGAACAATGTATATAGAATGAAAAAATATATATTTTAATATAATGTCTATTAATAAAAAAAATGATAATTTGATTATCAAATATTATCTAAACAAAAAATTACTTCAGGATAAAATAAAAAATTATGAGAACATCACGGCAGTACGAAGTTGCTACAAATAATTAACAGCACAGATCGTATGCCAATGGTTTATTCTTTGCGGTTGTGACGATTATTCAAATATTATTATCATAATTATATTTTAAATATATTTAAATGATATATTAATATAAAAGAATTTTTATAATGTTAAGTATGGTATGAAATATATCAAGCACCATGATCCATAGGCATAAAATAATTGTATTTGTATAGTAGTGACTTGCTTAGCCTAATTTGTAGGGCATTAAATTTAGCCGAACGTTTGTCCAGTATACACTTTCGGGTAACGACTGCGGGTCTTCACATTATAAAAAAGACTGTCTGCACGGTCATAATTATCTTTGAATTATAATTTTTTTACTCTATAGATATTTATGTCTTTAATATGTTTTAGAGTAATTATAATTATAGTTATAAATATTGATAGTTTGATATTATAATTTTATTTTATCTATATTTTTATAAGTTTGCTTTATATATTTTTTTATTAATTACTTTAATCTACTGTATTATTTTACTAACTAATTATTATATTTAGGTAACTTTATGGAAAATATTATTTATTTATTAGAAATAATATTTGATAGATTATGTAGATCATGTCATATAAAATAATAATTTAAAAATTATAAAAAAATTGAAATTAATATTTCACATTTTTTAACTTAATTTTTTCCCCTTTTAGATAATATATTATAATTTTGTACAATAAATTTTAAAAAATATAATAAAATACTTTAATTTTATAACTTTTATTTTTAGTATAGCTTTTGTATAGATAATTTAATAGTATGTATTTTATAGTTAATATGATCAATTCTTCTTTTGCAAATTTTCTTTGGTAAATTATTAACAATATAATTATAATTAAAAAATAATTTATTTTTATATATTTTTAATTAAAGATATATATAAATATTTTTTTATTTATTTGAAATATTTATAAAATTAAATAAAAATGATATAGCAATTAAATTTAATTATAATAATCTTGTGCACAACACGGGTTTAAACGCTAGTAGTAAATTTATAATGTATATATTAAATTGAGAGTGGCTTATAAAATCTTTAAAATTAATTGAGTTATGGTTTAATTTCATAAACGTATATTGTTATGCTATATGTTATTTATCAGTAATAAATTTTATTAAAAAAATATAAAACAAAAATAAATTATAAAATAATGCTAAATTTTAAATTTAACAAAATAACTGATTATTAAAAACTAAAAATCTTTTCCACTTATTTTCAATTTCACTGCCATACTTCTTTCATTATCTTCATTCTTCATGCAGATTGATAGTCATAGTTATTTCCAGAAAATGAACCAAGATAAATTAGAGTATATTTTATACTGTATTTTACTACATAATTCATATTTTTAGATAAAGTCAGAACAAAATCAAATAAGAGAGAAAGATGTCAATAAACCAAAAAAACATTCAGTACGATGTTAGTTAATTCATAGCTGCAACAAATCAAACTATACTAAAAAAAAAGCAAACAAACTGCTACAAAAGTGTTACAAAAAATATTATATACACATGAAATTTACACATCATCGGAGAGCATTAATTACTTCGATAACAATAGAATTGCACACGATCAGGCTGTTCAAAGCTGTTGCCCGTAGAGTAAGGACATGACTACCGACAACCAAGGAGAGAACCTGAACTGCTCAATTCGGCAACAATATCGGCCTAACCGACCTCGGTAACATTCGCACAGGCGGTGACATCGGCAGGAATGAGCCTGGTGAGTTTGATCGGGGTTCTCCCTGCGCTAAGGGTCTTGACGGCAGAAAATTTCGACGGCGCGGTTGATGGAGATGGCTTTGGTGTAGCATTCAATGGAATTGGCCGATGAGATCTGTACATAAAAAAGATATTTATAATCACTAATTAATTTGCTAGTTTTATTTTGTAAAATAATTTTTTAAAAAAACGTTTCAACTTCCAATAAAATTATAATCATGGTTTTCTCTTTTCCATAACAAACACTTCGAATTTCTGCACTGTTTTAAATAAATTGAAGATTACAAAAATATATATATATATATATTATGTCATTTATATAAACACTCAGTATAATTAATTATCTATAATAAATACTCCCTCAGTCCCACATAATTTGTCCCTATTTTCTATTTTCGTCCGTCCCATGTAATTTGTCATTTCCTTTCTTGAAAAATTAATTATACACTTTAATCGTATTTTAAAATTTAAATTTAAATTTTTTTAATCTTAATTAAACTATTTAGTTATCTTAATCTTAATCTATAATTATTTTTATTAAATAATAATTATTTTTTCTAATACATTTCTTAATTGCTTATTAATTATACTTTACCTAAATTTTTGTGTCTACAGTAATAGACCCATGTTACATGGGACGGAGGGAGTATTATTCATCCTTTTTCACATATATAAATATATTAATACAATATATATCCATATAAAAATTATTACAATAATAATTAGTTTAAAACATATATTAAATAAATAAAAAGATATTCAAAATTCTTTAAAATTATATTCAAACAGATATTATAACAAATAAAAACTTTAAAAAAAAAATTAAAAATAAATACAATGACTAATCAAATATCATATCCAATTAAAAAAATGAAAAAATAAATAATTACAATTTTTATTTTTCTTTTAAATTCAAATTTCATGCATATGAATTTTTTTTTTTTTTTTCACACTTATATATTAATACGATATATACATATACCTATAAACATATTCATTAAATAGGTAGAAATTTTTATTTTATATTGTAATAAAACTCATAATGAAGTTCAAATATATATATATATAATATATATAAGATTGCATAAATATATATATGTCAATCAAATGTATTAATCAATCAAAAATTTTATAAAAAAATGCAAAAACTCTTTTATTTTATGCTTTTTGTTAAAGTGGAGCTTACAATCAGTTAAAATATATAGATATATATGATATGATATACGATATACATTTAAAAATAACCATTAAAATAAATATATATAACAATTATTATATATGATTCATATTTTTATAATCATAATAAAAAATAATGGCCAATCAAATTATTTTTAAAAAAAATGCAAAATTGCTAAAAAATTCAAGTTTTTTGCACCAATGGACCCCATAATGAGCTCCT